ATATTGTCCATTATTACCCAAGTTCGGAATCCAAGGCTCGAGCTACCAATTGTGATCGACTGACGTCCGTGTCTCAATAGCGTAACAATATACGCGTGCTTATAACTATAGATGCATTATTGTCTACTCCTTATTCTGTAAATTTATGCAATCGAAAATATCTATGGTGAAAAAAACCAACACAAGAAACAACATATTTTAGATTTTATACAGTTCTTCATTTGCAGTGTATTAACATTGTCGCACATGTCTTTTATCATTAAAAAATAATGTAAATTCAAGTTAACATTGTGAAATGTTTCAAATTTAGATGGGTTCTTTTATACATTGCAGATATTGATGAGTGTTCCGGTCCATCACATGGATGCGAACATGAGTGTAGAAATACCGACGGTTTATACACGTGCGCATGCAGGGAAGGCTATGTGAGAAATCCAGATCTTAAAACATGCACTGGTAAGTGTTTTTATTACTAACCTATCAAATAAGCCGGAACAATATCTAAGTATTCTCGTCAGTCTGTACGACGGATTTTAACGCTAAATACCTGTTTATGAAGACAAGTTTTGTAAATACCGTTTAAAATTCTATCACATTCAATATTGTTATGTATGCACGATAACAAAATCACACTGGTAGAGTGACGGCATGGGCGAGTGGTTAACGCGTCGGACTAGTAATTTCATGATCGCTAGCCGTATGGGTTCAAACCTTGTCAGGGGTAAGTCGTTGTTTCCTTGAGCAAGAAACTTTACACTCATTGCCCAGTACTGGTTGGTTCCAGGAACGGATTCGAAAATGTGTCCATAAGCTTATAGCTTCCTACACAATCGAACTAAAAAAACAATCACACTGGTATGCTTTTTCTGCCAACACAGAGGACTGTGGTCACCCTGGAAACATAAAAGATGGCACTGTGTCTTTGACATCAACACTGTTAGGCGCATCAGCAAGGTACTCGTGTCATCAGGATTACGGTATGGCCAGTGGGGATGAAGTTCGACAATGTCAGAGTGATTTTTCCTGGAGTGGTCAAGAACCTACATGCATATGTATGTAAATATGATTTAATATTTACAAAATATTAACCTGAAAATGCATGTTCATTTCAACAATTTATGTAAGATGATGCAATTAAAATTGTTTGTATGCAATCAATGAGATTCTAGTATTCTTTCTACAATCTCTAGAAATGTGTGTGTGTGTCACGCAGATATTTATTTTTTATAAATGTGTCATGGAATATAAAAATGAAATCTATTATGACCAAATGTAATGCTTTTTTGACTTTTACCTTTTTACTCATTTATACTTTTTGTTAAACATAACGTTACTCGTATATAAATTTTAATGTTCTTCAATTCGTGGACATTTCCGACGAAATGGAAAGAAATATAAAGGAAAAAATTTGTAGACTTATATTTTATTTCCAGTCGCCAACTACTGTGAAAGTTCACCGTGTCTTAACGGTGCTACCTGTGTAAATCTACTCGGCAGTTTTCGGTGCGAGTGCGCTCATGGCTGGAACGGGAATATATGTGAAAATGGTAACAATTATCATTGGATCATTTATGAATTTAAAACACACAATAGAATACATTTTTATTTTTGTGTATTCATTGTTTCAGTAAAATGAGAACGTACTAAATTCACCAAACTCACAATCAAGGTTTACAATTGAATTAGTTATTTTTTCTATCACACTCTTTTTGCGTTGTAAATATGTTCCTCTTAATATTATTTGTATTGAGTATTTGTTTTAAATGTTGTATTATTGTTTTATATTTTTTTCCATATTTATCTTTTTATTACCATTTTATTAGATTTTAAAAAAGTTGTGTATTGTTTTGAACTTATAGAATCTATATAAAAACTACCTCCTTTCGATAACTGAATACATTATTTGTGCAATTTGAATGCATATTTTGTAATAGACATGATAGAAAAGAATAAAAAAATGAAACAAAGAAAAACAATTAAGATTATTATTAGATCGATCTATAATACCATGCATTAAAAATTACAACTTTAGATATTTACGAAATATGAGAAATCTTTAAGAGCCCGATCATATTTACTGTGAAAAAGTTATGCCTTTTGTTTAAATAAATGGTTTGAAAAACTTTACAACATTTAAACTTTAACAACATTATTGTAGTATCCATAATGTTAAAACTTTTAAACTTTCAATCCACCAGTAATCTTTGCATTTTCCGCTATTTTCGTAAATATCCAACCCTTTCACCATTTACTGAAAACGAGACTAGGTGTATTCTTGATTGTATCGATACATATACATGTAATGTTATTTAACGAGTCACAAAAATTGATGGAATATGCCGTGTTTCAACAAACGATTCGTGGCACTAATGAGAAACTTTCTGACGTTAATCATAATTCAATTTACAGATATAGAGCCCCCAATGGTGACCGGATGTCATGAAGATATTCATGTCAATGCCACAGAGCAAACTATTGAATACAGCTGGACTGAACCCCAGTTCTCTGATAGTAGAGGGTCTGCCATAGATATTGTGTCCAACTATCCAACTCCAGAGTTCACCTTTCCATGGGGTGATTTTACGGTACAATACGTTGCCACAAAAATCTCAAACGGTCTAAGAACCGAGTGTTCGTTTAAGATCAAAGTTAGACGTAAGTTCTTGTTATATATACAGACTGAGCAGGACTATACAGTATTATTGGCAACACTAGTTCTTTCTTCGATAGCTTCAAAGCAACAAGGGGGCTAACTAGGACTGTTTAGAATGGTGTCTTGTTAAATGCACCTTCATAGGGATGCAGAAGGGAAATCTATCTGGTGAGGTGTTGCGGACCATGTTTAAATAAAACTCGCGCACGATTTAAATTGTTTGTTTGTTTGTTTCATTTTACGCCTTTTTCCAACAGTATTTCAGTCATATAGGTGGGTAGTTTCCTAACCATCGTTCCTGGAGAGTTACGCCAGTACTAGACAACCTTCCTCCGCGCTAAACTACCAAAGCATCTCCCGGGGATCGAACCCACGCCAGAGAGGTAACTGGATTAGAAGTCATCGACTCTAACCCCTCGACCACGGAGGCGGTACACGATTTAAATAAGAATGAAGCAAAAAATACAAAACTAAAATAAAATAAAAAATAATAAAAAAAATGAAAATATGAAAAATTAAGCAATACGTATAGGAAAAGCAATTTCCTTGCACTCGAGAATTTATTTCTGCATTGCTAACTTTATTAAATTTTGTTGTTGGTAAATCTTTAATTGCTTATACATTTAAACGAGACATTGTAGAAACGTCACCTTCGAATCAGATGACATTAATTTAGATAAAAAAATATATATATAATAAATAAAAAGTATCAATTAGATATTAAAGAAATATTGACTGCGACTTAGCAAAAATAATTCTATATTTAACTTGGGATTTCCATCTTTGTTTTTTAATCTTATTCAAATATTATTACAGAAATCATTTGAAACTGCAGTTAATGAGTTTTCAACCCACTTGTAATGTAAAGAAGTATTTATAGTCTGTCTTGCTGAATATATTTTATGTTCTTCCATACTTGTTTTTATATTGTTTTAGCAACAGCATGTAGTCCTTTAAATGTTCCTATTAACGGAGCACTGTTATGTAACGGGTGGCAAGCGGACTATGGCAGGTTCTGTATGATCATGTGCCAGCAGAACTTCACGATTGGTCCATCCTTCAGCTATAGCATGTGGTATGTGTGTGGCGCCTCTGGTAATTGGATCGCCGCCAGTCCTGTACCAGACTGCCAAGGTTTGTTCTGATTTGGGATGCTATTCTTTATAATTGTTCTACCCTACCAAAATTTCTGCAAATATGTCATAGATTTGAATGCAAATTCATCAAAATGTTTTTCATTTGCACCAATATACACTCTCTTTGATAAAGAAGAAAAGGATTTTATACGTAGGCAACAGTCACTGTTAGAATATAAAGCTTATATTATAGAAAGATCAAACCATAAATGTCTGTCCATATGTCATAGTTTTGAATGCAGATTCATCAAAAAGTTTTCAATTATACAAATGTACACTCTCTTTTAAAAAGAAGAAAAAGATTTAAATATAGGCAACAATCACTGTTAGAATATAAAGCTTATATTACAGAATGATCAACATAAATCATATTGGTATTATTGTACACCCCAGACAAATCTCTCAATTGCAGAAACATCAACTTGCCATGTATATATAAAACATAAAAGTGTATTTAGTGTTATCGTAAATGAGATGATATGTCTTTCTTAGGAAATTTCTGTGCTATTTTTTACATTCCCACCTATATTTCATGATATGTTCCTTTCCTGTGTTTACAACAGTTCCTGTCGACTCAGAGAACGAGGGTTTGTTCTATCACCCAGAATACGCTGGCTACGTGTTTACTCCATCTTGTCAAGATCAAGTCACGAAAAGCACGTTGCAAAATCTATATATAGAATATCTGAAGGGCACTTCTGGATTTTCTTCGTTTTGCACAACTTATGGCAATGAATGTGTAAAGGAAAATGTTGACGTTCAATGTTAGAGGCCCTAATGTACAATATGTGTATAACTTTACATTGTTACATACTCCAAGAATACAACATCTTGTTCTTTGCCCTAGAATGGTATTTTACCGGTAAACAACATTTACGTTTCATAACATAAAAATGTATAGATCAGTTTGAGGTTAAATGAATTCCTGGATAATTATAACAATTAATAATTATAACAATTAATACCATTGAGAACATGTTTATTTGATATACATTGCAGGATATTGATACCAATTTAAAGGCGATAATATAAGTTTCATATTCGCTAAATCTGCTGCATTAGATTTTAATAAAGTCATAAAAAGTATATTAGGTGGAGGTTGACATTTAACATGATTATGTATCACTTTGTCTTAAATCGTTTGCTACCGTAGTTAGGATTTGCATTTATTGTATAATCCTTTCCATTCTCTTTCTTCTAAATTGTTAATAACTGATAGTTCCAATTCTTCCGTTAACATTATGAAGTTTGTCGTTTTATATATAAACCGTTTGTTATGTTAGTAAAGTCTATGATTGTATACATTTGTATATTTTGTTCTTTGGTTTTAAGTGATCGTTATTGTTACATTTGTGATGTTTTTGTTATTTTGTTGTTCTCATTATCTTATCATGTTTGTTACCATAACGACAATATTGTTTTGTTATATACCTTCATTATATGACAGACATATTATGCTCCGAAATGTTTTTTTTTATTTTATTTCTCATCAGGTTTTTTATCTTTGGTTTCCTGTTATAGTTTCCATAAAGTAGCTCAATGGCCAAGTTCGTGAACCAGCGTTTGGCTGGCTCTTTAAAGCAACATACTAGTAATTTCTCTTACAATTTGATGTAGAAGCACATTATGCTTCAAAAATGAATAAAATTTTACTTCTTTATAAAAGCAAATATTAATTTTATAACATTCAAATAATGGTTTGAGGGCATGTTAGATGCTTGTCACCTGAAGAAAATAACACTAAATATGAATGAATTTGTCACAAAGGTAGCAAAATGTAAACAAAGTCATTTTACTTCAATACAAAATCACTATAATTTATAGCATTTTCTTCATAGAAAATTATAATTAGTGTTGGTGACGTCATTTCTATTTAGCTGGGTTAACTGTTATGGTTCATTGAATTTTTGTATTCCTACGCCGTCTTTAAATATTCAACATTGCGCGTAATCTGCACAGTTTTTGTCAGACATCGTTTCTTTAGTTGTTCTTCAATTTCGTTAAAATTGTTTTGATGGTTTTAACTGTATTCGTCAAAAATCGTTGATTTTTAATTAATCTTCAAGAGAAAGGAACTGTTTAATGTAGTACTGTGGTATTGTGTGAACGGAAGGAACTCTCGGAATTGGGAATTTCCCGCCGAATGAATTCCCAGAGAATTTCTGGTAAAAAACCAGGAGAAAATAGATTATAAGATGTTAGATGAGGAAGGAGTGAAGGTGTTGGTTGAAAATGAACCTAAAATTGAAGACAATGAGTTGGGCGCTAAACCTAAAAATACGAAAACGAACAGTGAGAAAATATTGTCCAACTCCAATGCTGATAAGTCAGACGAATTGAAATCTACCAAGTCATCGTCATCTAGTAAACAAACAGGAAAACCCGTAAATTTGGAGAAAAATGTGATGTAAGCTCGTTTTAATCAGGTAGACGAGCAGCAAAGACGTTTAGAGGAGTAGAGATAGTTAAACATTTTGAAAAAGCAGATTTTGGAAAGAGAAGCATTTTTCTCCTTATTAGAAAAATCATTACCAACAAAGCCAGAGGCAGAAATACTCTCCCCACCCATTCTCAATTCACGAGTGAAATCCGAAAGTTTAGGCGCAAATACATGTACGATAGATCCCCTGGGTTCAACGTCTATCTCCAAGGATAAAGTGAATAAAGAGATCAGTACTGGTAAGAAAACTCGCATTGCAGCTGCCTTTGACAGTCCTTCGAATCCGAAAGCTATGAACATTGATTCTTTACGCAAAATGACAAATTTGCAGAGAAAGGCAAAGAAAAAACATTAGCACAATGTAGTTGAAATGACAGAATCAGAGACTAGTACGGAGTCCGAAGATGAATCTAGTTATTCATTTTCGTCTTCAGAGGCAGAAGAATTTTGTTGAGATCCTAAAGAGAAAAAATCTAAAAATGTTGAGAGACAGGTCACTAAATCAGGAATCACTTCCAAGTCTTCAAACATGGTTAAATGGCAGGAGAGTTGGAAATTGTCATGTCATCTAGACAATTTAGATTTACTCAAGAAATTAATGTATTTGAACAGTTCTTATGACTTCTCAACCATTAAAGCAGTATATGCTGCTATTCTCGGAGAAATTGAGTTAGACCATGGCACTTGGAGTGATGATTATCAATATGTGGATTAAGCAATTTAGCAAAGCCTAATAGAAAAGTTATATCTTAAATTTTTGCTTCAGGAACACAGAACTCGTGTTATCATTTTAAACTTAGGCATGAATATACTATGCAAAATGATTAAACTTTTGTGAGTTCTGGTGATGAATCTAAAGTTTTCTTTTGTAACAAATTTCAAAGAAATAAAAGTACCTACACATTTAATGACATTAAATGGCAGAAATAGGTTCTGTTAACATGTTGGCAAACTGATAGGAAAGAATAAGCTCACCTGGAATGTTTCAGTTCTTGTTTGCATTCTCAGGATTGACTTACTAATGGGTTGTGTATTGTAAATATTTCTGAGTCGAAAGATGAATAAGATTCAGAGATAGTTGATATTTTCTTGCCAGAATTTTGTAAGCATTCTGTTTTAAATAGCAAGGACAAGGTTTCCAATGTAAGCCATAGTTGTGATGTTATTAGCAATCATAAGAAAAGTTGCAAGATGTGTGCTTCACTGAAGCAGGTTTTAAGTGATGGCACTGTTCATGTTTATGAACAGGTTAAAGTTTCTAGAAAATATAATTTTGAATTATGTAAAGTTCTGGTCAATGAAAACATTGATGTCGAGTTCATGAAACGGATGTTTTGTTCCTCAGCATACAATTAAGTTAAGTTTTGCTTGGAAGAAGCACATCTTTTTTGATACTGTTCTATCCATGGGACTTCGGTCATCAGCTCATATTTGTCAGAGAGTGACAAATGCCTTTGCCTTTATGATGTGGGAATGCGGTTTGACCTGTTCAAATTATTTGGATGATTTTGGCGGTGTTGAAAATCAATCATCGGCCAACTTCGCCTTTTTATTTGTTACGAGAGTTCTTTATCAAGAGTGGTATAGAGGAAGCTGTGGATAAAGCGTGTCCTTCTTTAGGATTTCTTAGGTGTCTTGTTTGATAGTGATACTATGACAATGGAGGTTACTAAGAAAAGGCTCAAGGAAGTTAGATTTTTGGTCAAATCTTGGTTAGATCGATATTTAGCATCTTTAGAGGATATTCAAAAACTGCTTGTAAACTGAATTTTGTTGGGGACTCCGTCCTTTCAAGTATGAGTTTTGTTAACCGAATACTGATTTGGTTACTTGAATGTTCTGCTTATGTTAGTGATCAAGTTTTCTAAATTCCTTTAGAAGTCAAAAATTGATAGAAACTGTTTTGCTGGTTGTCTAAGTAAATGGCATTTGTATTGATTGTATGTTATCAGGTATCTCAAATTCCTCAATTGACAGATGTTATTGTCACTGAGAATCATTTTAAGATGGTTCATAATTGGTAATTTCTTAACTCAGATTTAGAAATTAAGACTTTCCGGCAGGAACTTAGACATTCTATTTCATCGGTATTTGCTGAGGGAACGAATAAAAATCTGAAAATACAATCATACATGCTTCTTTAGATTTTTCAGACCAAGATAATATCGTTTACTTGTGATAATTTTTATTTGCTTTCTTTTTAGTGACCAGGAAATCTAATTTAGTTCCTACAAATGCATCCGATATTGTCAAAGGTAGATATTTAAGCACCACTTGTATCAAATAGTTTGGTTATTACATTTGAGTACATTTTAATTGGTCGAAAACCATTCAATTTGGAGAAAGGGAGGCAATAAGTCCGAATCAGAGTTATGTCCAGTGTATGCTTATGAATTAATGACAGGTTTAAATTTCATTGACAGAATGATTTATTTTTCTCTTTAAAAGATGGGTCGTATATATCGTATTATCTGTTCCAAAAGAAATAACGTCTTTGTATTGAAAATATTGGGTTGATTCCACTCATTTATAGAAGGGGTCTTGCTTTTCGTTCTAACATTTCTCCTGAAAGTGTAAAATTAATTGGTAACTGGAAATCAGATGCCTTTTGTCATTTTTTACTACAGTTTTCCCGTTTAAAGGGTACACTTTGCAAATGATGATAAATCAAAAAGATGCGGATTCTAGTCTGGTTAAAGCTCCATATATTTTGTACACGTTGGAACCAATAATATTAACTCGAGAGAAAAGTTTTCAGTTGATGATATTGTTAGGTTAACACTAACACTAGATGAATTACTTTGAATGAATTACGTTATTTGGATTCAAAACCCTTCTGCACATATCATAGTATCTAGTATTTTACCTAGACCTGTTGATTTTGATGTCACTAATGAAAATGTTAAATTGGTTAATGAAAGATTACAACTAAAATATTAGGAAAGACATTGTCAGTTTATTAAGTCGTATAGACCGTTCCTCTTTAAGAGTCGTCCTAAAAGGAATCTTTATGCTATTAGGGATGGGGGACTTCATCTTAATTTTGCTGGAACAGATGTTCTTAAAAGTTTTTTTCATAAACACCGTATCACATATTGTTAAGGGCAAGTTTGCCATGTAAAGTGGATATTGTCATTTTAAGAGGTCAACAGGCGGCGCATACATGATATTAGTTGTATATACTAGTAGTTAAATGTGTTTATATTTCAATTTATTTTATTCTTATTATTTGATTATTAATTATATGTAAGTGTGGTCTGGCAAATGAATGTTGGCATGCAGGCTATTTTAGTCACATGTTTTCAAAGGTTTTAAGGGGTAGTAGTTATGCTCTTGACCTTTGATCTCCTACGTGACATCTTGTGTTTATGCCAGTATGTTAACATTCATTTGTTGGACACCTTGGCTTCATTTGTCTGGTCAATATTCTAAACTTAGTGTAATGACATGTTATTTTTTATACATTTTAGGATTATTTATCAGTCAGATATCTTGTGTATCTCGAATTATTTTTGTTTTCATTGTGCTGTTTAAAAATGACATTAACTTCTAGTTGAATTTAGCGTAATTGTTAAAAGGTTGCTTGATTATTAATGTTTTTTATTAATTTGAACATTATGGGACTAGATTTATCCTGCACCTTTGCTTGGATTTATTTACTATTAAATTATAGTAACTGTCATTTTCTTACGTTATTGGGAGATAATGTCAGTTGAAAGTTCTTTTGTGCTTGTGTTTGTGGAATGAAAAATTGCTTGTTTACTGTGTATTTTTTTATTTGCTAGCTTTATATCATATATACAATTTTTTGCTTTTTTGTTTTGTGTTTGGCGGAATTATTGTATTCACATATGCTTTGCTTATTAATATGACTTACTTTCTATTGTATACTTTGATTGCATTCTTAGTCATATTATCATTTCTGATTGTGATATTTCTGACGTACCTGATCCCTCAGTGAAGTGTTGATATTATTATGCTTACTTGCTTTTTAGTCCTTTCTTTTCTTGACGTAAGTCTGGGTTTAACAGAATGACATAATTTATAGCATTTTCTTTATAACAAATCTTTTAATTATGAATTGGCGTGGAATTTTTCTTATCTATAATTAACGTTGGTGTTTACCTGGGTTAACTGTTTTGGTTAATTGAATTTTTGTATTCCTACGCCGTCTATAAATATTCAACATTCCGTGTAATTTGCACAGTTTTTGTCAGACACGTTTAGTTATTAGTCATTTCTTTAGTTTTTTCTTCAATTTCGCCACTCCCTCCTACCCATTTTTATTTTTGCTTATTATGTTAGATGTTGGAATGTGAATGCATTATTTGTGTTATGTTAAAGGTTTTAGGTGAATGAATTTTTTGTGTTTTGATTTGTGTTTTTCAATTCTGATGCTTAATTATTTATGTGCGGAATTGTTCCATTATTTTATGCCTTGCTTATTAATATGACTTACTTTCTATAGTATACTTTGATTGCATTCTTAGTCATATTATCATTTCTGATTGTTGTATTTCTGACGTACCTGATCCCTCAGTAAAAGTATTAATATTATTATGCTTCCTTGTTTTAAATAGTCCTTTCTTTTCTTGACTTAAGTCTGGGTTTAACAGAATTACATAATTGTACTTATTGCCAAAAGGCAAAAAAAAAAAAAGAATAAGAAAGTGAGTAACCCCTTGGAAACTGTATAATTACACCGAAAATAAAAAGCTTTTCTTGGGCATAATGGGCTCTAAAATTACATTATGCCCATCAAAGAGAAAATAGTTGGTGAAAAGGTGAAAGTCAAAATAAGTCTAAATCTGCCATTATTCTTTTCAGTTTTATTATTTACTCCGCGTGAGCGATAAATAACTTGATCCAAGAGTGTCTCTTATTTCTTTTATTATCCGACAGAATTCACCAGTAAAAATCAATTTATAAATAGAGTCGGGCAGTAATTTTGTCATAAAAATAGTTTTCTTTTTTTTTATCCTAAACATGTTTCAAAATCAAGTTTTGGTCAGAAACCATTATACCAGTCAAACTTTTGAAATATATAATAGTCAATTCAGCTTAACTTGTCAATGAATAAATAAAAATAATGTCACTTTAAGTAAGATAGTAAAATATCGTCATAACAATCCGTGGTCGAGGGGTTAGAGTCGATGACTTCTAATGCAATAACCTCTCTGGCGTGGGTTCGATCCCCGGGAGATGCTTTGGTAGTTTAGCGCGGAGGAAGGTAGTCTAGTACTGGTGTAACTCTCCAGGAACGATGGTTAGGAAACTACCCGCCTATATGACTGAAATACTGTTGGAAAAGGCGTAAAATGAAATAAACAAACAAACAAACATAACAATCCAGATTAACTACAGAAAATGTATTTGAAAATCACGCAAATTTATAAAAAAGCAACCAGAATTAAGTCCTACGCGTTAACTTCACGAAATACGACAATCAATCCAACTGCGAATATATAGCGGTCTTTCATGTGGTTTTATATGAGATGAACTGCAAATTTCTTTTATATATTATCATAACGCAGTTTGTAAACTGATCCATTTTCATATAAATGACAATTGTGTAGATGTAATACGAGTTTAATGTTACCTTCATTAAGGTAAATCTTAAGATATAGCAAACATTGTATTGATACTGTTGTTAAATGATTGTTTTGATGATACAAAAAAAACGCTGGACGAGATTATGATAATGATTGTGGTGATGGTTATGATGATGATAATGGCGATGAGGATGATGATGATTATTATAATTATCATTATTAACATTATTGTTTTATCATTTATATTATCATGGTGTTGATGAGTATAATAATGATGTTTATGATGTTAGTGATGATAATGATGATGAAGGTGATTTTTATAATAATAATAATAATGATAATAATGATGAAAATAATAATAATAATGATTTTATTATTATTATTATTATCATTATTATTATTATTATCATGATGATGATGATGATAATGCTGCTGCTGCTGCTGCTGCTGCTTATGATGATGATGATGATGGTGATTATAATTATTATTATAATTATTGTTATTATTATTATTATTATTATAACGTTTATATTATGAAAATTAAATGTGGCCAAGATATATGTTATAGCTATGGCAATATAATAGTAATAAGCGCTTATATGAATGTCTTTCAAGATAGTTTACGAAAGACGGGTAGGGACATTTCATTTTCATGAATTCCAGATTTCATCTTCATGCTTTCATGAATTCTTGAAGTTGAAATCGTGTATTTATGAAGTTGAAATGTTGAATTCGTGAAGTTCATGAAGATGAAAAAAGGGAATTTGTGAATTCCGTATGTTGAAAACCGGAATTCACGAAGTTTAAAATGTGGAAATCTGGAATTCATGAAGTTGAAATGGCCCTACCGGTCTTTCGTAATAGTTGTACAACATTTGCTGCGTAAAAGTCGTTGAATAGTTTCTATGCATAGCTCCCCGGATGTAAATAAAATATCTAAGGAAAAATTTAAAAGCGAAAACGAAATAAGTAATATTTAAAGATCGTAAATTATCCAGTTGTGTTTCAGTAGGACATCTATTATCATACAATATTTTGAATTATGTTCGTTATTCAAATCGTGGTTGTTGGACTTCTTTTGAGGTATTATTTATCTATACTATTTATTTTAGATTTATATCCTAAAATTATTATTCCTGTAATATATATTGATACACTCAGCGTTGAAAGGTAGTGGTATTTTAATTATGAAAAATAATCCTAATCCGAGAATTTCTCGTACCCGTAATCTCTAGGTCATTTGACAAACACTTTAGCCATCGTCATATGATAATTCGATTGATTGTTCGATTGATTGATTAATTGATTGATTGGCCAGTTAATTAATTGGTCGCTTGATTGATTGATTGACTGACTGACTGGTTTGAATTTGTTTAATGATATATTAAGCAGTTTCGCAGGTTCTGTTTAACAGAAAAGACACTTTGATACAATTTAGTATTGAACTACCTGGATATAACTTTCTATTTATCACATATCTTAAATAAGCCTATATCATAACGCTAATATAAGCACGCTTTGACGTTATGTTTGTACAACGCAAATGGCGTAACTATTATAATACATGTAATAATCGTTTCTATAAAATGGGTTTATTATCCAATTTTATCCAATTTCAAATTTTATTGCCTGAAATATTATACAATGTTTATAGCAGGTAAACAATATAAACATATATACCTGTCCAATGGATAGGACGTGGTATTACACTTCTCCACCGTGGTTTATGGGATAAAGTTCATTATTTACAGCTCTATCTTTAGCTTATTTGTACTTTTTTAGTCTAAAAGTAAATTGGTGTATAATCGAAGATCGTTAATGTGATTGATAATTATTTATTTTGTATTACACATACGTAGACAAGAAAGTTAAAACCATGATAAGTACAACAGGTTGGGTTCGATTGTACCTATTGGTGGACGGTAGTGGTAATTGTAAGCTACCGTCCACGAACCTTTGCATCGGCTTTTGCGAAATTCGGAATTTTAACATGGAAATGTTGAAAACTTAATTTAGAAACATCTGCAGATTTGTTCATTTGACGGTCATCATGGAACATTGAATGTGACGCATTCGTACCATTTTATGAAAAGCGGCGTATTGATCGTATGTAAAACAAATACATGTGTCCCAAAAAGATAAATAATGGGCATAACACAATAAAATGGATATTTTAATGATCAGACGTAATGAAGTCTGAATATTATAAATCAGACAGCATTTCTATTAAAACACGTACCTAGTCTTCAACAATTCATATATAAGATAAGCAAAACAAGAAAAAGAAAACACTTTGGTATTACAAATGGTTAACCCATTGATAATAATTCAATTGTATTAGATAATAGCAATATTGTATTTAATACAGTCAACGTTTCGCGTTAAATATATGGTATTCAAACTGCAGCAAAGATCAATATCAACTTGTTCTGCTTGATTTCACTTGAAAGGTCATTAATTGCATGTAAGATATAAATAAGACTATTGAAAAAAATAGGTGTTTTCCCTTCATTTGAATATCATAATCACTTTATAAATCTATCACTTACAAAAGCCACGTCAATATTTATTTGTATAATATGCGTGATAGTTTGATATTATTTAATAATATTGATTCATTTCCAAAAATAGTACATGATAAATAACATTTATGACACACTTTTCAATGAAATATTAATGAAAATATAGATGAAAGAAAATGCGTTCTTTTTATTAACCGTATTTCCACTGTAAAATTATTCAATTTTCACCTCAGTTAATGATAATTTCCGTGTTTTGCATGGGATTTAACTCAATACAGGATTGGAGCAGTACCTCTAGACGCTTGCAGAAATCATGATCACAAAATAGACAAATATCGTTTTTTTCGCCGATTTTTACATTATTCCTTTATTATCGTACTTAATTCGGTGTGATAAGATGAATTAGACCTGTTAAAGTTCATTCCGTTAGGTAAAAAGACAAGATTTTAGCATTTTATCATTCAAGCGCCTTGTCCGGTATATACCGGAATACGGAATATAGTGTGGTGCTCCAATCCTTTTTTTAGTCTCACTCTTTGCATGTGCCCTGCCGGATAACTCTCTTCTGCGTTAATTTGCAAGGTAATTGGTAGTTGGATATTCGAATAACCAACTACCTACTTTATGTAGCTGGTAGTTGGTTATTCGCAATTCCCAACTATTAAATAGCTGGTAGCTAATAATCCAATCCACTATAATAAGCAGGAAATTTTCGAACACATCATACATTTTTAAACATAGAATAAAGCAGGGAACAACCTAGTTGGTTCTTTGCGCGAATCCCCAACTACCTACCAGGAGAAAATTGTTAATTCGAAGAATGTTTTACCCTCAAAACAAAAAGTACTCTCCCGGAAAATTATAACGGATATATAGCAAGATAGATTTGTTTTTCAACATTGAAACACCCTGTCTCTTTATGTCAACCAGGAGACTCAGTCGCTTATTCGAGCAAATCGTCAAATACCGTCAAGAAGGTAGTTAGTAATTCGTATATTGCATATATCCCTCTGAAAACAGAAAATATTTTGATGAAACTCGTGTAACGGTAAAATAAATGATGAAACAAATGTTACGGTTTTATAACAAGATATGTGTTTTCAATAATATTGTTACGATCCCTTAACCATAAATCGACCAGTGGACTCCGTTTGTTATTCTCGTGAATACCTAACTACAAACCAGAAGGTAGTTGGTCATTGGAACATTACATATTTTTCTCTGAATCTAGTCTAAGAATTTTTTTTTTCAAAATAAAAGTACAAAGATATATGACACCAAATGGTATCACCTCGTCTTACCACATCGACCAGGTGGCTTAGTTGCTTATTCGCGCAAATCCCCAACTATATACTAAAAGATAGTTGGTAATTCGGATATTGCATATATTCGTCTGTAAATAATTAGTATTTTGATAATAACAAATGTTACGACTATATAAAGAGATGTGTCTTTGCTATAATATTCTTATAACCTCTTCATAATGAATCGAGCAGGGGACTCAGTTGGATATTCGTGCGAATCCCAAACTACCTACTAGAAGGAAGTTGGTAATTCGAACTTTGCATGTTTTACCTTCAAAACGGAAAGTACTTTTCCCTTATAAATATAACGGATATATAGCAAGACAGGTGTGTTCTTCAATATTGAAACACCCTGTCTCCCTCCCTATGTCCAATAGGGGACTTAGTTTGTTATTTTCGCGAATCCCCAACTATCTACTGGAAGGTAGTTGGTAATTAGGATATTGCCTCTATTCGTCTAAAAACAATAAGTATTTTATGAAGCAAACTGTATGGTCATATAACGAGATATGCCTTTCTTATAAAATTATTACACCTCCTTCACAATAAATCTATTAAAAGAAACAGTTCGTTGTTTGCAAGAAAACACAAACCAGAAGGTAGTTTGTTATTGTAACATAACATGTTTTCCCCTAAAAACAGAAACTATTTCTTCAAAATAAAAGTACCAGATATGACATTTTCGTCTTCAAAGGGCACCCAAAGATTGAATTTATTTCGTCTGCGAATGATTCTGAGGCATTCAGAGACTTTCAGAAATGTAAGATGCCAATGGATTTAATGACATTTTTGACTGCTAGGGACCCTCCGGAGTCAGTTTTGTTGCATATGCCCGACATTCAATTATGTAATTATTTCCATTGGCACAAAACATTCCTGAAAGTCTGCAAGAGCCAAAAAAACAAAAAAAAAAACAATCGCAGACCAAAGAACGACCCTAGAGGGTCTTTAGAAGTCAAACAAGTTATTATATAAATTGGCCCCAAAATTCCTAAACGTCTGCGGAAGCCTCAAAATCAGCCATAGACCAAAGAAAATCCAGTCCATTGAAGTCGAAAACCTCAATACCTCCATTTGCACAAAAATGCTGAAAGTTTGAAAGTGTTCAGAAATCGGACGCAGACCAAAGATGTGGACTTTGGAGAGTCCACATGAATAAAAAATATCATTATTTGCATTGGCACAAAACTTCCCGAAAAGCTGTTAGTGCTTCAGGGAAAATCGCAGACCAAAAAATGTTTATTGAGGGCCCCTAGAAGTCAAAATATCATGATCTCAATTGGCACCAAAATTCCTAAAAGTCTGCAAGTGCTCCACTCACCCAAATAGTTTGGACTTCTAGTCCCTAGAAGAAATATGTCATTATCTACATTGGCACAAAAATGACCAAGAATAAGTCGCAGTAAACTGATATTTCAGAATTCTCTGCTAGATTAAACTGCCAGCTGAGTATTCCTGCTGAGCATTTTTACACTATTTTTGGAATGTGTTGCTAGATTGTTCTGCCAGTTCATCATTCTGGCAGCGCCATTTTATATTTACGAATGCCCAGCTAGATTGCTTAGACTGGTGTGCATACAAGCAGAGCATCTTATACAATGTCTTGCCAGCTCAGCATTCAAGCAGAGCATATTAACCATATTTTAGAATGTCCCACTATATTGGTCTGCCAGCTGAACATTCCAGCAGAGCATTTTTATGCCATCGCAGCATCTGAATTATAGCCATTGGGTCAAAATTGGCCCCGGGGGTCATTGATTTTAGTTATGTACATATACAAAACTCTAGACAAATCTTCTTGTCTGAATGTACAAGGCTTAGAGCTTTGATATTTGGTATATGATATCATCTATAGCTCCTCTACCAAAGCTGATTGATTTTCATTATGTACATATAATAAAAACTTAACAAATATTTTTGTGTGAAAAGCAACAACTTGCATTGAAATGTCAAATACATGTTTCTGCAAACTTTATGTAAGATATTCAATAGCTGGGAGTAAGTCTAAAGGTCATGATTTATAGAGATATTCATTAAATGATTCAGGTCATGAACTCTAGCAAGACAGTTGTGAGGTGTGTATAGATGAACAGCCACCGGGAAATATTTGCACCACCGGGATAGTGGCAAACTTCACTACCATTTATACTTGCCCTAAACACTTAAAAATCATTTCATCCGAAAGATTTAATGTTAATTATAAATTTTTCTTATCAAAAATTGTATTTTAAAAAAAATTATCTGGGCGGAATTTCATGTATTCCGCCCGGAATTATGCTGTCCGGGCGGAATTTATTTATATTCCAATTGGATTTTTTGCTAACATTTTTATTTATTTCAACGGGAATTTCAATTTTTCCAACAACCCTTAAACTATAAAAATCACCATGAATACATCCTATAATGACTTTCTGACTATTTTTGAAGAACGTATTCTCTAAAATAAAATAATCCCATTTTGAAAGCTGGAAAAAATTCTGAATGGATTTTTACAGAAAAAAATTTAATAACTATAAAACATTTCAACTGGAATTGTTTCCAATAAAAGTTTTTGGAGAAAAAATCCAATTGGATTTTCATCAATTGATTCATTTTCAAATGATTTGACAGTTATCCATTTGATTTTCTTTTAACAAGAGATTACGAATTATTTATAAGTATAATGAAAAAAAATTTATTATATGCGATTATAATTTACATAAACATTACTTTTATTCATTATTATTATTATTATTATTATTATTATTATTAATGGTGGTGGTGGTGGTAGAGGTGTTGTGACAGGGATGATGATGATGATGATGACGATGATTATTATAATTATTATTATTATTATTATTATTATTATTATTATCATTATTATAATCATTACTATTATTGATGATGGTGGTAGTGCTGTTGTGACAGGGATGATGATGACAATGATTATTATAATAATTGTTATTATTATTTATAATATTATTATTATTATTATTATTATTATTATTATTATTATTATTATTGTTATAAGGATTATTATTATTATTATTATTATTATTGTTATTATTAATAATAATAATAAAATTATTACTTTGTGATTATTATCATTATCATATTATAATTATTATCATGATTATTACTTTGTTATAATCATTATCATTATTATGATTATTATAATACTTATTATTAATATTATTATTACTATTATTATCATTATTATTATTATTTATTATTATTATTATTATTATTATTATTATTATTATTATTATTATTATTATTGATGATGTTAGTAGTTGTGTTGTGACAGGGTTGATGATGATGACGATGATTATAATTATTACTATTTTTATTATTATTATTACTTTTACTATTATTATTACTTTGTTAATAATAATAATTTAACAATGTATTTCTATACACTATCATAAAAAAACGGACATATATATCTAGGAATGCATTCATTTATCGTAATGTATATATGTTTCCCTACAATAGGATTAGTTTCGTGAAGTAAATCAACACATTATGAAACACACCGATTTGCTTGTATTGTCCGAATAATCCCGGTGGCTGTTATATTAAATGAAACAATTTGAGGACCTTCACACCATGTATTTAATAATGATTATGTTTTTTAGAAATTGGTAATGCTTACTTGAAAAGATGGTTCTTTAGAAAAAATACTGCACATGCATTTCAGAGTTTAAGACAGCTATGTTATAGTGTCAGTAAAGATCCTTTTAGTTTGGAATCAATTTATGACCTTTGTATCTTAACATTAGACACATCTGCACGTGTGTCTAATGATTTAACATGCTAGAATATGACATTAAACCCCAAAATCACTAGACACTAATGCATTATGGCAAAGATCAATTATATAGAACCAATAAAAATCTACTTCTGTTATATTTATGCGGTGGCATAGCATTTTTCACAAATACAGTCTTGTTTGCATACTATTTTGGGACGAAGTGCTTGATTACTCGGCCAGCTCGGCACCTCAGCAGCACAATTTCATACTATATTTAAGAATGCCCCGCTAGTTTGCTTAGGCAGCTGAACATTCCATCAGAGCATTGTTATACAATCTTTCGGACTGTCCCGCTAGAATGCTGTGTCAGCTCGGCATTTCAGGAAAACAATGTTATACTATTGTTACACAATATTTCAGAAGTCCCGCTACTGCTAGATTACTTTGCCAACTGAGCATTCCAGCGGAACATTGCTTTCACTATAAAATTACTATGCCTTTTTGCTTAGTACACTGTTCACTGCTAATTTCTCAAAATTGAAATGTTTAATTAGTGACTGAAAATCTTCTGCATCATAAATTGTATTTCGATGTTTTAAATAGACAAGTAGTATTGAGCAAAGCTAACTTGCAGAGACACCTGGTCGAACGTTATACGTTATCATACTTATACTTGAAAAATATCATTACCATACTTTTATTCCATAGTTTAGATATCAATGCTGCTGTATGAATATTTTCTGAATTGAGAATCTACCTTTTTGTTTTGCACGGACCAGCGTTGTTTTAAAAGTGTCCACTACTCACAAATAAATATACACTAAAATTTTGTTTGAAAGCGATATTTTATATCATGTTATGAAACGGAAGATCTATGTACACAGTCGTATGCCTATTTATCAGAAGAGATCTAAAGAAGTAAGAAAAGTAAGAAAAGACATAAATTGTTAAAATCTACCTGATTATCAATTCCACTTCAGGCTTTTGTTTTCTGTTTTATTTATTCAGGATTGTGAATGCTGGTTTCTGTAAAGTGTCTTACGATTGCCAAGTAACATGCACCAGAACAAGATCATCATATTATAGTTGCGGATTTTTATGGCTTGGCAGATGTACAAGATACAGGTAACCTGAAAAACTAATTTCATATTTCTATTAATGTGAATAAGAGCACACTTTACTAAGAATATTATATAATTGATGAAAGTAAGTAAGTGTGTCAGTAATACAGTGAGTGATTGAGTGCAGTCAGTCGGTCGGTCGGCAGGCAGTAGTGAGTAATTTAGTTAATCATTAATCTAGTAAAAAGTAAGAATTTAAGATTTGCAACTTGCCAGCAAATTAAGATGCTGCTCATTTCACTTCTGCCAATAACAGGTGTTGGAATTTGAGATTTACATAACAATAATTGTATAATTGAACTTTGTTGATTATATTCGTCATGTAATTAATAATGTAAAGGTTTTAAAGACGTAATGATAAAACTTAGATGGTGACTGCTTGAGGGATTAATTACAAGAACTTAGAAATAAATGTCACACTTTGCTTCGGTTCCATCCACACAATTTTTTTCAATTTAAGTACGAGTGTATTATCAAAATTCATGTATGTAAGAACGGATAAATATTGGCAAACAAAGCGATATCTTCAACAAAGTTCATTAATTGGAAGAGACTTGTAAAGATACAGAAACGTTTTTGAATATTTCTATTGCTTTATAAAGCTTTTGAGGCTTTGTAATGAAAAAAGACTTTGATAAAAATCAATGGTTTTGTATGTGATTAAACGTATTTTTTCAGTCGTGGCTACACGCGATGCCCAGGTATCTGTTACAAAGATGAATGTTGTTCCGGTTATATGGGCACCAATTGTAACATACGTAAGATGTTTCGTATTTCCTCTTTAAATATTTTGCCCAATGCATTTTTTTAGAGATAAGGATATATAAAATAAACGATGGTAGTTCAAAATATATATGTTAATGACTCATAAAACCACATACATGCTTTTTTCCAAAAGCTTTTGTTTAATGATTTCCAAATATAACCCATTGACCGTGTAGCAAAGTAAACTTTTGCTTCTTATACGTTTGGCAACTTTTTACTTAAATCACAAGGTCATCTTCAACCAGTAAAGTTACAGACTTGCAAAATGACCTTTTACACAGTGTTACTGCAACCCTACCTTATATACTTATTTTGTTTAATGAGGGCCAATCATTGTCATATTTTGATATTTCACAAGAGTTTATGGAAATTTTCTTCATTCAAGCAATACCTTTGCTAACATTTCTTTTATTATCAGCGCCAGAATAACAAACAAATATAAACTTGTTATTGCTCAATTTGGATTACACTTAAACTTGTTGGCAATACGTATGTACATGTATGATTTTTTACAGATAAAAACCTAATGAAGAAGACTTAATCGTGTTTGCACATAAACTATGGTCCCGCCATAAAAAATAAACTAATTTATGAAACAAATATCCATAAATATATAAATTATTTCAGAGATAGATTTTTCTTGCCCTTAAGATCACAAATAATCAACTAAATTTATACTTAAATACTCCCATAATTTCAGCTCTCTGTGATGGTTCCACAACGTGTCCGAATGGCGGCACGTGTATTTCCCCTGACAAGTGTAGCTGTCCAACTGGCTTCTCCCCACCTTTCTGTGCTGGTATATAGCCTTTATTACTGTAAAAGTGTGAGATGATGTATGAAAACTTGTTTGCAAATTATAAAAGAAAGTTTGCCTAAAAATAAATAATATTTGCGCGATCAATTATTTCCGAATAATTTCATCTAACAAAAAATCGCAAATATTTCCACACCACAGAATGAACTACATATACCATATTCTAAATACATCTGCATAAATAGTTTTAATATATGTGTATGTAAGGCTAGTTTTTGTGATGACCAAATGCAAGTTAATATTATAACAACATTTACATGTATTATTTTCAATTAAAATATATATGTGTTTATAACTGACAAAACTGCAAGTCTTCGTGTTTAGGCTTTTCGATAATCGTAATCTGCCTCAGTACATTGACAAAGTTGAATCATGTTTAAAACATGATTCGTTTTCTTGTTTGAGTAGTATGGTCTCAATATATAATTGGAACGTTGGTGAGATGGTTCACATGGTGATAATTTTTCAGATACTAATGAGTGTGCCGGTCCATCACATGGATGTGAACATGAGTGTAGAAATACCGACGGTTCATACACGTGTACATGTAGAGGAGGCTATGTGAGAAATCCAGATCTTAAAACATGCACTGGTAAGTGTTTTATTATTTACCTATCCATTAAATAAGCATAAACAATATCTAAGTATTCTCGTCAGTCTGTACGAACGGACTTTATCTGTAACGCTAATTACCTGTTTATTTAGACAAGTTTTGCAAATACCGCTTGAAATACCAGATTCAATATTTTTATATATGCACGATAACAAAATAACATTCGTATGCTTTTTCTGTCAACACAGAGGACTGTGGTCACCCTGGAAACATAAAAGATGGCACTGTGTCTTTGACATCAACACTGTTAGGTGCATCAGCAAGGTACTCGTGTAATCAGGGTTACCGTATGGCCAGTGGGGATGAAGTTCGACAATGTCAGAGTGATTTTTCCTGGAGTGGTCGAGAACCTACATGTATATGTATGTAAAAATGATTTAATATCTACAGACAATTAACATGAAAACTCATGTTTTATTTCAACAATTTATGTAAGAACGTGCAATTAAATTGTTTGCATGCAATCAATGAGATTCTAGTATTCTTTCGACAATCTATAAAAATGTTTGTGCGTGCCACGCAGATTTTTTAAACATGTGTGATAAAAAATAAAAATGAAATCAGTAATGACGAAATGTTAAGTTTTTTTTTACTTTTAACTGTATCCTCATATTCACTCTTTGTTGAACATAACGTTACTTAAAATATAAATGTTAATGTACTCCAATTCGTGGAAATTTCCGACGAAAAGGAAAGAAACAAAAACGACAAAAAGTTGTTTGATGTTCTATTTCCAGTCTCCAACTACTGTGAAAGTTTACCGTGTCTTAACGGTGCTACCTGTGTCAATCTACTCGGCGGTTTTTGGTGCAAGTGTGCTCATGGCTGGAAAGGGGGGAAATGTGAAAATGGTAAAAAAATGTCATATTGTATGACGAATTTAAATCACATACTAAAATATCTTTAAAGTATTTTATTTTTGTGAATTTATTGTTTCAATAAAATGAAATCTTACTAAAATTAACTCTGTGAGTTATCTTTCATTATAACTATGTACATCCAAATATTATTCTTGCTTACATTTGAATAAAATTAAACCTTATTGTTTGTTTTAAATGTTTTAAAATTGTTTGTTAAAATTTATTTATTTAAAATAATCTTAATATCATTTTATTAGATTTTTTTAAATCTCTGTGTATTGTTTTGAACTTATAGATTTTACTTAAAAATAAAATAACTTCTTTCAAAAATCTTTATAACTGAAGAACGACATTATTTGTGCAATTTGAATGCATCTGAATAGAAAAGAATAAAAAAGAAACAAAGAAAAACAATAAAGATTTGTATTAGATCTCTAATACCATGCATTTTAAATAACAATCATAAATACTTTAAAAATATGAGGAATCTAAAAGAGCTTGACCCTATTTGGTGTGAAAAAGGATTGCTTATTGCTTAAATGAATAGGTTAAGACATTACAACATTTACATCTTAACAACATGACTGAAGAACCTAAAATGGTCAAACTTTAAAGCTTTCCACCCAACATTAATCTTTACTTTTTCCTCCATTTTCGTAAATATTCAAACCTTTCACCATTTACTGAAATTGAGACTAGATGTGATCATGGTCGATACAAAAAGTTTACGTGATATTTAATGAGATGAGAAAGTGGACGGAATATGCCGAGTTTCAACGTTAGCGACACATATGAGAAATTTTCTGACGACAATATCAATTCTATTTACAGATATAGCACCCCCAATGGTGACCGGATGCCATGAAGATATTCATGTCAATGCAACAGAGCAAACTATTGAATACAGCTGGACAGAACCCCAGTTCTCTGATAGTAGAGGGTCTGCCCTAGATATCGTGTCAAACTATCATACTCCAGAGTTCACCTTTCCATGGGGCGATTTTACGGTACAATACGTTGCCACAAAAATCTCAAACGGGCTAAGAACCGAGTGTTCGTTTAAGATCAAAGTTAGACGTAAGTACTTGTTATACATACAGGCTGGGCAGGACCATACAATAGTATTGGCAACACTACTTCTTTCTTCGATAGTTTCAAAAAAAGAGACTGTTAAGGGTGGCGTCTATTTAAATAATAGGGATCATGCAGAAGGAAAATATATCTCGTGGGGTGTTGCGAAACATATTTAACAAAAAACTCGCGCACGATTTAAATGAAGCACTGCAATAAGAATGAAACAAATCAAACAAATAATAAAAAAGAACAGAAAAAAAAATGAAAATATAAAAAAATAATATAATACGCGTAAGAAAAGCAGTTTCCTTGCACTCGAGAATTCATTTCTGCATTGCCAACTTTCTTTAATTTTGTTGTTGGTCAACCTATAATTGCTTATACTTTTAAACGGGACATTGTTGAAATGTCGCCTTTGAATCAAATGACGTAAATTTAGATAAAAAATATCTATATTGCTGTATCAAGTATCAATTACAATTAGCAAATGTGATTCTATAATTAGCTTGGAATTTTCATGTTTGTTTTTTAATCTTATTTAAATATTATTACAGAAATCATTTGAAATTGCAGATGATTACTTTTCAACCCACTAATATTGTAAACAAGTATTAAGTCAGGCAAGCTGAATATCTTCAATGCTTACACTTTCATATATCATTTTAGCAACAATCTATGACAACTTTAAGTTCTTCCATACATGCATTTTTACATATATTCTAGCAACACCGTGTGAACCTTTAAATGTTCCTATTAACGGGGCAAGATTATGTAACGGTTGGCAAACGGGTTATGGCAGGTTTTGTATGATCATGTGTCAGCAGAACTTCACGATTGGTCCATCCTTCAGCTATAGCATGTGGTATGTGTGTGGCGCCTCTGGTAATTGGATCGCCGCCAGTCCTGTACCAGACTGCCAAGGTATGTTTATCGATCTTTTTCCGATTATTGATGATTTTTTTATTCTACATACAGGTACATTGTTTTACACTACCATAAATTTTTGGCAATATGGCATACATTCGAATTCATCCAGGCTTCTTCAATTATACCAATATACACTCCCTTTTATAAAGAAAAAAAAGAAGAAAAACGGTTTTTATGTTTTAACTGTAGGAAAGTTTCACCGTAAAAGTATCAAGCTTATATTCAAGACAAATGATATTTCGTATTGTACACCCCAACAAAGCTCTCCATTGCAGAAATTGTCATGAATTAGTGAAGGTGTATTTAATGTATAAGTACATGCATTTCTATAAATAAATATCTATGTTATTTGTAACCTTCCAACCGTTATTGCATAATATGTTCCTTCCTATGTTTTCTACAGTTCCTGTCGACTCTGAGAACGAGGGTTTGTTCTATCACCCAGAATATGCTGGCTACGTGTTTACGCCATCTTGTCAAGATCAAGTCACGAAAAGCACGTTGCAAAATCTATATATAGAATATCTGAATGGCACTTCTGGATTTTCTTCGTTTTGCACAACTTACGGCAATGAATGTGTGAAGGAAAATGTGGATGTTCAATGTTAGAGGTCATAATGTACAATATGTGTATAATTTTACAGCGACTAACATTGATATAAACTCATAAAATTCAACATTTTGTTCTTTGCGGTAAACAACATTTACTTTTGATGAAACAATAATGTAAAGATCAGTTTCATGTTAAATGAATTTCTGGATTACTATAACAATTTATATTTATTACTTATATTAGATTGATTTTGTTACTTTGTATCATAGCATTTTTCTGCCAACAGTTAATTATATAATGATCCCGTTAACTATCTGCCTTACTTGTGATTGTTCATGTTAACACGATAAATAACAGATATCATAATTATCTGATACCTAAGTTTGCAAACACAAAAGCTTTATAGATAAACAGATATTTATCTTTTATTTTATTTAATTGGTGCAGTTCTGAGCACTTTTAGTGTTTTTGAAAGTTAGATACTTATTCGTAATTTATCTATCTAACAGAAGAAAATATCTAGTCTGTTACATATACGTTATTTATTGTGTTAACACGAAATATAACCAGTTACTCAGATAGTTAACGCGATAATTTTATTGCTTACTGTTGTTTGAAATATGCCACTTAATTTTGAGAACATACTTATGTATAACACATTATTTCAGGATATTGATATCAATCTAAAAGGCGTTATATACATGTATTCGCTACATCTGCTGCATTATATTTGAATGTAGAACGTTAAAAGTATAACAAGTGAAGTTTGACATTTAATGTGATGTATCACCATGTTTTTAATCATTTTCTTTCGTACTTTTCATTCATTGTATAATCTTTTCCATTCTCTTCTAAAATGTTAACAACTGATAGTTCCAGTTCTTCCATCAACATTATGAAGTTTACCTTTTTATATATAAACTGTTTGTTATGTATATTAATGTAAGTATATTTCTTCTTATTTGGTTGAAGTGTTCGTTTTATTTATGTTGTTTGTATGTTAATTGTTTCATTTTGTAATATTTTTGTTATTTTGTTGTTGTCATTATCTAATGTTGTTTGTTTCAATAACAAAAGTATCTTTCTTTATTATTTGCTGTTATTAATGTTTAAATTATAATGTTTCCCACAAATTTTGGGAGACATATTGTTTTTTTGCCTTCGCCGTCTGTCTGTCTGTCCGTCCGTCTGTCTATCCGTCCGTCCGCATTCAACTTGTCCGGCTTTCACAGGTCAAACTGCTGGTGGGATTTCAATACAACTTCACATGAGTGATCAGTACCGCCCCTAGTATTTTAATATGGCCGGCACATTCTGCCTCTTTGTATTAAATAGCCACCGGAGCTATGAATAGAAAAATCTTTTCTAGCTTTCACAGGACAAATTGCATGCGGGATTTCAAAAAAAAAACTACACAGGTGTGACCAGTACCATCTGTTGATGTGTAAATGGCCGGCACATTCTCCATCACTGCACAAATGGCCGTCAGAGCTATAAATACAAAAATTTAGTCTGGCTTTCACAGATCAAACTTCATGTGATATTTCAATGAAACTTCACAGGAGTCGTCAGTACCATCCCTATTTGAGCCTATCTCTGGCACGTTCCTCTTCACTACACAAACTTGCTGTCAGACCTTCAAATAGAAAAAGATCAAACTGTTTGCGGGAATTTGACCAAAATCCACAGGAGTTATCAGTACCATATTTTGTTTTGGGAAATATATGCTTCTGTGACAAAAATCTTTTCCAGTTTTTTTTCTTCAGCATTACCATACTGTAGCCCTTACGATATTGCAATTGTTTGTTAATGTTTTCTCTATGTAATTATAATATACATTCTTATTGATCTACATACTATTACGTATAGGCGACCAAATACCATAAGGTATTGATTTGTTTTTTTTTTATATAAGAATTTGTTAAATTGCTCTTTATGGACGCTTTGTTTGCTGTGAAGGACAGTAATATGATAGGGTTTTATGCTAATATAATTTCATAACTGAATTATGATTAGACTTCAAATCCTTGGTCTATTATTGAGGTAGGTCTAATTTCTGTTAAGTCATATTTTATTTGGTCAGGAATGTGTGACAAAAATTATATAAAAGTGTTTACTTTCCCGTTTTTCGCTAATATACTAAATTAAATTATTTTGAGATTAATCAATTCATAAAATTGTCAGATCAAAAGAAGTAAAATATAAAATGAAATTTGTTGTCGATTAAACCCCTCGATACCTTTTATATGTAGGTTCATAATCTCCTATTTTTATAAACGAACTTCACTGCGCGCTAAAATAGTTGTCGGGCGCTGTTTTGAAGAAGGCTTAGTAGTGATGTGATTTTGATTTTGATATGATTTTTCAACCGCAATATTACTGAAATACTTAGTTTGAAGCAGAACAATTGTTTCTCCAACAAAAATAAAAGCTTAAGTCCGCTTTGAAGGACCTAAGTTCAACTTTGTTGTAATTGACAACCGGATTTTGAAACAATATGAATATTTGATATTAAAGAAGTGGCTATATTTCATATCAAGGAAATGGAATGAGATATGATGATTATGCAATACACAGTAAGAAAGCATGATAAGATGAAATAACATGTTATTTAAAGCTGACAAATGGTAGACTATTAAAAGGTTAAAAGACTCGGTTTCAGTGTTTCTGCTCTGTTCTGAATGAGACACTATGTCAGGTGCAACATCTATCGCGATGTATTGCTTCAGTGGTGTAATGTTTCTTGTCTTTTTATGTTTTTATGTTTAAATATATTATAGTAATGATACGGAGTTCGGTAATTCACAAATGTGAATAGATAAAAGAAAGAACACAGATGTGAGCTTTTCAAGTTTAATCCCAGAACTGCTTAGTGGCGGGAATCGCCTGACTAGATTCTATATTATGAACTGCCCATTCAAGCATTATTGGATTAATACTGACATGTAAAGGTTCAAGGTAAAAAATGCATGCAGGGTAAAATGATATCATTACAAGTGGTGTAAAAGTCCTGATACAATAATAATTGAAAGTAAGAGTACAACTATAATGATTTGATTTAATTTTTGTTTGATTTACAGTTTGTTATATGATAATATATGGAAATGGAATGAAATATAATTGAAACTGAATGTGATATCATAAACATATCAAAAAACGTCTATTGTACGTCTAAATAATCACTATACATTTTAATATAAAAATGGGATCATCCTGTTCTCAGCGATTGGTATTCAACTTGTTGATTGATAATACATTTAATTATTGTTTGGTTATATTACTTGCAATAATAATTTCATTTTTTATCAATTTTGTTACTTTAAGAAAAATATAATATTAGAAATTATGTTTAAAGAATGGAAAAAACGCGTCAAAATTAAAAGTTATTTGTATTCATGGTTTTGGAATAATGTAGTCTTTGAATAATGTGCTCTTCTATCTTAGAACTGTCTTAGTCAGTAAGATTTTGATATTCTAGAAGAGTTGTTTAATATTTTGGTAGAGCTTTTGATTAAAGAAAATTAAACTATGGTATACATGTATCACCACCTTAATTTTATTTTGAGTTATTTGCTTTCAATGTCGCCTTGGAAATAAATTAAAGTTTTAAGGAAACTTTCTGTTATGGACCTGATGAGAAACTCTCTACCTCGCCTATAAGGCGAAATAGTTCTGCAAAAGAACAATGAGATAAAGAAATATTCTGCTTTTTGAGTTATTCATTTTCAGAATGAGCTTTGATATAATACATTTAACATTGTTGTTATATTTATCTCGTTTCTGAAATAAAAACTAAGCGAAGTAAAGTATAAATTGAAATTTGCCATCTATTAACAGTCGATTCCTTAATATGTCGATCCGCTATCTATATGTAAATTAGTTAAGCGGACGATTCGTTTCCCAATCTTCTATTTTCAGACTACAAAGTACAGATTTTTTTTGAAAGAAATAAATACAATATGTAACAGGTAACAATTCTGTGAAAACTTAAAACAACATTGAATATGTGATCAGGCGCACGCAAGCTATACAATAGATAACGTTCATAAATGACGTTGGAAAATAAATACAAGATGTAACAAGCGTCATTTTAGTCTGAAAGTATTCTCCCTTGTGCTTAATGTGTCTGAATCTTGTAACCGTAATCATGCTTTTTTGTGGAGATGAATTGAGGAAGAAAGCGATCTCGCTCTACAATCCGAACGAATTCCCCGATAGCCTGGCTCTTTTCGATTTTTTCACTTGGTTTATGAGTTATATCGAAACTCAACTGGAATGGACTTAAAAGTGATTTTTTATTATTAATTTACTAATGTCGCTGAACGCTGAAATAAAGATTTAAAATCATCAATTGAAATATGTTCTCTTCTTCTGAGCGCAGGCTATCATTCATTAAACAAATTTAGAGTAAATAAAACTTATAATTGCGTTATATAAATCATTATATTAACTTATTGATAACACGTGTATTAAGTTAAATAATAGTGTCTAAAACACATGTCTCAAATTCAATCGTTTGGTCAGAATGAATGTGTAGACCCGATGGAGACATCAAACATGCCGGACAATTCGCTGACTGTTTACCGCCAATCCTTTTCTAGCCCTTCTCATATTTGCCGCCTTTGTATTGTTTGCGCCAGCTTAAAATGAGTTCCCAGATTGCCTATTTATTGCCTTGTGTTTTTTAATATTCTCGTTTGTAGATGACGGAGAATGGCTAATCTGGTGGCACTATTTATTGCTCGCAAAATTTTAAAGATTTTCAATGGATGACATATGCTCAATCAAACTGAGTCTACATTTTTATGTAATTTGCTATTTTTAATGCTTTAATATGATCACTTTTTTCCAGATATTTCTATATCACAACAGCAGGGATCACGTGCTGTGTGGCAGCCGTAAAAAGGTTGTCCCGTTCTTTATATCAGTATTGTTATTTTTTTTTATATTTTTCTGGTCCTTCGGGATCATTGATCCTAGCACTTTAAAGTGTTGATAATCGAATACTGCTCAATCCAGTGCTATGGAGGTGTGGGGATGTTGCTTTTTTTCATTATTCCTCATGTATATACTCAAACCGAGTCTGCAATTTTCATGTAATTTTGCAGTTTTAATACTTATCCAAAGGATCACTTTTTCAAGATATTTCTACATTTAATGCTATGACCATTTCTGTTAAAAAACATAATGTTTCTTTAATATGATTAAACATGTATCTCAAATGTATGGAAAAACTGACAACATATTATGAATAAACTAAAAGTCCGACTAAGCTCCAAAAACATTTTTGATGCGCTGCGCCGAGTACATGTTACCATAGTTATTAAATAACAAGGTGAACACACGTTTAGCACACTAATTTAATATAAACTTATTTTTAAATCGAAGGAAACATTTTACGATGGCCGCGCACATGAACAGATTCCAAATTAAATGGAATATGAAGATGCAAGGCCCTTAGTCCTATGATTTTTTTTCAACTATCTTTGTTATTGGGATACACAAATAGTTGATACTGAAAAATGTTAAGAATAGAATAAAATAAAACCAGCTAACTTATTAAAAGAAGACTTGCCCACTCTTTTTTAAAGAAAAATGTACGTTACCGATATACTCCTAACGATATTTATAAATGAAATGTCTGTAGATCACGCGTATTGTTGGTTATTTTTGTAAAGAAAATATAAAATTAAACACAATTATTTTTAAATGTAAAGCTATTTGGCTGTTACCTTTGCACTTCTCATATTCTCTTTGATCGGCATAATGTTATGTTAAGACAGTATTGTTTACATATATAGTTTTTAATATACCACGTTTATAAAGTGTTCTTAACTACGTACTTTACTTAGATCCCGGATGTAAATAAAGTCTTGAAGAATGAAAAACGGAAGATTAATAATTCACTGAAAAGGTCGTTTAAATCTGGTTTCAATTTTATGTTTTAAACGCATTGCTATTCACTTTAATTTCTCATGTTCAGAAATGATCACTCTACGACTCGTGATTCTTGGACTACTAATAAGGTAACATATTTCGAGCAAAACGTACGTATTTTTATCATATTGTTATTGTCATTTAAGATTCCAGCAATAATGTTTATACGTGTGATTTTTACCGTAAGACATTGAATTTGATCAACTGAATGATTTAATTTTTTATATAAGTGTTTTAGTATAACTTTCAGTGCTTCCCACCTAACTAGAGGTGTACTGGTAAGAAATCCAGTTAATCTTCGCATGTATCAGTGCTTAAACTAGGCATGTAAAAGAACCAAGGGGTCTTTTCAATAAGAGCTAGGGACTGGTTCCCGGATTCCCTTGTATCTCATAGACTAGTCTAGAGTAATGTCTACTAAACCGGCCTGATGTTCTGCCCTGAATACTACTCGTACATTACATATTACAGTTAACAAACGAATTTTGAAAGTTTTACCTCTGGTTTTTGTCCATCAAAATTTGGAATAATTTCCTATAATTTAAAAATGAATAAAAGTTCAAAACCATTTTGATACACTTACCTTTTTAATGGGTTAAAAGGGCTTTTATGTTCATCTAAAATTTATGTGCAAAATTTCAAATTAGATCATGATAATAAATAGATTGTTTTAAAGTCTTAAAATGGATTTTTCTACAACGGGCACATTTTCTATAAGTATTTAAATTTTTTATATAAATGTATCATTTAGATATTCTTATAAAATATAGTTTGAACATTTATATAATTATAATATAAATAGTATATAGATTGATAATATCTATTCCAGAACATTCTATCACATGCTATAAAAATACAAAAATGTACATGTAATATGAAGTCATGTATCTTACATTTTCCAACAACATCCATATATAATTTGTGAGGTTTGTTGATATAAAATATACTAAATACAAATACAAATAATTATTTAGTACATTACCGATGTTCTGTTACAGTTAAATTTACATACAGACTAATATTGTAATAATAAGCCGAATACAAAAAGTTGTAAATAATGATTTTTTTCTAACATAAACTACGACGCAGGAGTGTAATAAAGCCATTTACTTAAAACAATATATATCACATATAACACTTTTATATGGCATTCTAATGATAGGGTTACACAAAAGACGCGTTAGTGAAACAAAAACACTTTTTAACTGTAAACTGTTCTTAATTTAGATATGTAATAAATTATAAATAATATTTGTGTAAATTCAATACTTAATTTTTTCAATTCAATGAATAAAATAATATTATGCTCGCCAGAGGCTCGCATATTATTAATAAATCAAACTCCCTTACTTATATATTTAGTATTAAATCTACACCCATTCAATATTCTCTATCAGGCATATACGTATTTATAACCATATACAGAAAGGTTTAAAAACCGACTCGGTTTGATTGAACCCTTTCATGGACGGTATTGGTAATTGTAAGATTATTTTAACACAAAAATGTCGAAATTTATCATTCAGAAACATCTGCAGATTTCTTCATAGCGCGGTCATCATAGAACATTAATTGTGACGCGTTCGTGTCGTTTAATGAATTTTTTTAAAGCGAGTAAAAGAATGCATGTGTCACAAAACAGAAAACAATGGGCAGAACAAAATAAAATGGAATTTGACAGGGTATCAGAGGTTATAAAGCCTTCATATCATAGATTAGAAGTCAAAAGACATTTTTTTAACCATTCATATATTACATTTGCAAAAAAGAAAAACCCGCGTAGTTTTTCAAATGGTAACCGATTGATAATGATACATTTGTATTTAATAAAAGCAAGCCTGTTCAATGTTGCGCATTAACTACTGCGTATTCAAACTATAGAAAAGATAATATAAACCGCATTGTCAATTGCATGAAATATCTAATGACGCGTTTGCATACCACATAGTTTATATTTTTGGCAGTATTCCACGTTAACCTTACAATTATACCTCTGGTACTTAAATCAAATGCTATATTATATACAGAGATATTGTATGTTAAAATCAACGAATAATAACAAACCACACCGAAATCTTATCTCAGATATTCAATAATGTAAGTCATTAATGCCTGGTTGTATAACATGTGTGTCAGTTTGAAATTATATTTAATAATATTGCTACATTTCCAAGAAGTACATTCATTTAATAGATAAAGAAAATTCTCCTGATAAATGCCAACTATTAATATTTAATAATAATAATAATAATAATAATAATAATAATAATAATAATAATAATAATATATCAATAATAGTAATAAAAAGTATAATAAACATTGACTTAACAATAACATTCACAAGCGATAGGTTAATTTACTACCTAAAAACTTGCCAACATTATTGTGCAAAACTAGCCCCCAGAACGGCCTGGTAAAAATTTAAATGTTATCAATTTTATACTGGATAAACTTAAACTTCTAATGCATTGGTTCATTTCCAACAAAGACAATGTCATTAACACACCTTTATTCAATATTTTCAATCTTAATGCTACTAATTTTCGATTTCATTTTAGACTACTCATAAATATTTATTGAATTGAAAACCTAACGCTTGTCAGTTTTTCGTTGACATTTGTGTGTTTTATTTATCTCGTGCGCACGAGATACCATGTCATAGCCACGAGTTACTAAGTCGTGTGCACGAGATAGATATGTCTTGGACACGAGTTGCTTTGTAGCGCGATCAAAAGGTCACCTACTTGCCAAGGGAAATGTACCCTTCAAATAAAGTAAACCAGGGCTTATTCCTTCTCGAGTTATCGTATGGACTGGGTTAAAATTCCGTTACGTACATACGTATCAACCCTAACACAGGATGGTCCCCTCAAAGGGCCATAACTTAATTTCTGATTTATGGCCATTGGATAGTGTACCTTAATATGATATCAAATTAAAAGTGAAAACCTTCACTTGTTGTTTTTTTTTCTTAAATTAAAGTCGCATGCAAAACTTTAACCATTAATTTTGTAAGTTTATAGAATTCTTAAATCATCTCGTGCGCATGGCTTAGTTACTTGTGACAACGCCATAGTATCTCGTGTTCACGAGCTAGATAAATCTCACACATGATACAACTACGATGTGCCATCGTAGTTTTTGCCGAAACGAGCGATGTTTTAAAATTGTCCCTTATTTATTGCTTATTTATTGACATCGTTATTTGAAAGAGATATTTTATATAATGTTATGAAACGGTAGATCTAGGTACAGTCGTCTTTCTTTTTTATCAGCCGGGCCCACAAGTGTAAAACAAGACATAAATAGTTAAAATGTACCTGGTTATCATTCCACTTCAAGCTTGGGTTCTTATCTGTTTTATTTATTTTTAGGGTGGTGAATGCTGGTTTCTGTACAACATCATTCGATTGTCAAGTAACATGCACAATTACTCAGACATATTATTATAGCTGTGGTTTCCTTTGGGCTGGCTCATGTGCAGCATACAGGTAACTTAAAGCTTTACCCATTTCACATTTCAGTTAATGTGAATAACTGCGCACTTTACTGGGAGAATCATAGAGTGAGTGTGTGAGTGAGTGAGTGAGTGAGTATTACTATCATTATGGGCCCAAACGTGCATTTTCAAACTTTGGTTTGGACACATTTTGAGCTGGGAGAGTGAATGAGTGAGCGTGTGACTGTGCGTGTGAGTGCGTGTGCGAGTCAGTCAGTCAGTGTGTCAGATGTGAGACATTAATTTAGTAAGTATGAATTCATGATTTGCAACTCATCTTTTTCTCTCACCAAAGAACAAAAATTACCATTAAGATGTCGCCCATTTCATTATTTTCCACTAACAGATGAACATTGTAACGGTATTGAAGTTTATGAGATTTATGACATATCGATAATTGTATAAATGATCTTTGGTTTTTGTCTTTCGCTATATCTTCAGGAAAATTTATAAATTACATAGGACTTGTAACGATACTGCAATTTACTCTTGATTTGCTTAAAAAAGAAATGTTTTTTGAATATGTCGGTTGCTTAATGAAGCCTTAAGTTTATAAAAATGTGTTTGATAAATGTTGTTTATATAGATTATGATGTGTGTGAGTATAAAAATTATAATAGATGTTTCGTATTGCAGACTTGCCTACACGCAATGCCCAGGTACCTGTTACAAAGATGAATGTTGTTCCGGTTATACAGGCGCGAGTTGTGACATACGTAAGATGTTTTGTATTTCCTCTCTTAAATTTTGTCCAATTCAATTTGTTGTTGGGATGAGTTAATTTCATATAATCGATGGTTGTACATAATGTATATGTTTAAGACCATATAGCCATACATATTGAATCATTTTTTTATTTTCAAAATCTTTTATGTTTGTTGATCTTTGATAATTTCAAAAATATGTCTTTTGACCGTATAAATGATCGATTGTTTGCCTCTTATTCTTTTTTGCAACTATTCACTAAATTTTACGAGGTCTTCCTCAGCACGTTAAGCTGCAAAGTCGCAAACTGAGGTTTATAACTACGACTTTAAACAAACCCTACCTTTCAGCTACTTTTCTCGTTACCATTGTTATATTTTGATATTTCACAAGCGTTTATAAATGGAAAATTTCTCCATTCATGCAATATTTTGGCTGAACTTTATTTTGTTATATTAGGATGAATTTATTTTATGGAACATACAGAAATCTAGCAACGTGAGTAACTCTGGTTGCTCAATAAGATTTATAACCTAACCTTTCAACAAATAACATTAATATTTACCCATGAAAAAAGACTTAAATGTGTCTGAACATAAACTCTGGTGCCGCCACAATTAAAACAAAAACTTTTCATTTATGAAGCAAATATGATCTATAAATATGTTACTTGCATACATAAATTCCGACCTTTTTTCATATGTGTGAGATTACAATCTATCAACAAATTTATACTAAAGCGTCCTGCGATGTTTTCAGCTCTCTGTGATGGTTCAACAACGTGTCCGAACGGTGGCACGTGTATTTCTCCTGACGAGTGTAGCTGTCCCACTGGCTTTTCTCCGCCTGCCTGTGCTGGTATATATCTTTATGATTAAAACATACACATTTATTCACAAATATAATATATATGTGTGTTTATAACTGACAAATCTACAAGTCTTAGTTTTAAGGCTTTTTCAATAAACATAAACTGTCTCCTGACATTGAGAAAGTAGAATCATGGTTGGGACACGATTTTGTTACTTGTTTAAGACAGTCGCAATGATTATTATACTCAATGTTTTTAACGTTGGTGATATGTCTCACATGGTGATAATATTTCAGATACTAATGAGTGTGCCGGTTCATCGCATGGATGTGAACATGAGTGTAGAAACACCGACGGCTCATACACGTGTACCTGCAGGGAAGGCTATGTGAGAAACCCGGATCTTAAGACTTGCACTGGTAGTACTGTTATGTGTAAAATCTAAAATACTTAGTGCCACAACATTTATTATATAATTATTGTCATCGTAAGTTATCTATATATTTTGAAACAGTTAATATCTAAAAGACAGTCACATTGTTACTGAATATATAAATGACATGACCTAGAGTCAAAAAGATAAAAGAATTTATTTTGTAATAAAGAAAATGATAATTTTGTAATAGAGGACTGTGGGCTTCCTGGAAACATAACCGATGGCACTGTATCCTTGACATCAACCTTACTGGGCGGCATAGCGACCTACACATGTAACCAACATTATGATATGGCCAGCGGAGATGAAGTTCGACAATGTCAAAGTGATTTTTCCTGGAGCGGCCAAGAACCTTCATGCAAATGTATGTAAAGAAATTGGAAAGGATTTTTTAGAAATAAAAATTGTTTTAAGACATGGTTTGGATAAGATATTCTTAATGAATACTATTTTTATTTTTTCATTTCTTTTTTATTTTTTTTTTGTCTTTCGGAAATCTATTCAAAGATGTGAGGTAAAAGCTAAGATATGTAATTAAATAAATAAATAAAAATGAATAAATAAATAAGTAAATAAATAAGTGGTCCATAACATTAATTAACTTGCTTCTAGATTAATAAAATTATAATTACAGTACTACCCATACTCTGAAATGTACAAATAAAAGTCATGTGACATTCTATGCTTCATCTTTCAATTATAAATATGCGGCTATAGTCGAACATAACAGATCTTTTTTGAAATACCAGAACACCACAAACCTTTTTGTTACGATTTCAACTAGATGTTCAAATTACTCTCTCATTAGATAAATATATGTTTGAAGCAATCTCTCGACACTTTTTTATTTATTTTTTTAAAAAATAAAACAGCTACTTTTTGTATATTGTGAAGGACGGTGTATTACTATCTGTAAGTTAAAACAATACTGCAATTATAGAATATGTATATTCTCTAATTTGTAGGAAATTCTAGATATACACATTTGAAATAAAAACGAAGCAAATCTTAATTTTTCATATTTTATTTTAGTAGCCAATCACTGTGAGAGTTCACCGTGTTTAAACGGTGCGACCTGTATCAGTCTTATTGGCAGTTTTCGATGCGAGTGCAAAAATGGCTGGGATGGAGAAATATGCGATAATGGTATATGAAAACTTACTGCGTCTTAAATTTTTTATTAATGTTCATTGTTTCACTAAAATATAAGACATAAAATAATTTATTTTAAAAGATCATCAAGATTTATTTATCTACATTTTATCTTTTAGTGACTTTTTTATTTCATTTTATGTACACCAGAAATATATAAGTTTGCTTCCATTTGAATAAAAAAAAGCATTGACCTTTTACTAAGAGGGAACGTCTTCTTGACATTTTTCTTTCTCTTGGTTAAATAGTTACTTTCACATTTAAATAGACACGAAAGTTTACGAAATATGCTGCTTTTCAAACGGTTGATGACACTTAAGAAAACTTACCGATGATAACAATACAATTCACAGATATCGAACCTCCAATGGTGACCGGATGTCATGAAGATATTCATGTCAATGCCACAGAGCAAACCATTGAATACAGCTGGACTGAACCCCAGTTCTCTGACAGTAGAGGGTCTGCCCTAGATATTGTGTCCAACTATCCAACTCCAGTGTTCACCTTTCCATGGGGTGATTTTTCGGTACAATACGTTGCAACAAAAATCACCAACGGACTGAGAACAGAGTGTTCGTTTAAGATCAAAGTAAGACGTAAGTACTTGCATATTTACAGCTTAGATAGGGTCGTGCGAGCGCATTCTTTCACACTATCGGTTCAAAACATCAAGGGGAAAGTTTAAGGGTATGTTAAAACGCTTTTTAAATTCAAGTTCTCCAACATATACCAACATTAGCCTGAAAAGTTACAAAGGAAACTTTAAAATAAAACTGTCACACACTTATTCTCATATGCTTTTAAGCATTGCAAGAAAATATATACTTGCATTGAAGGGTTTAATTGATATTGTTTGATAAGTACCAATAAAAACAATATTAAACATAGCTGAAATGCTTTTTCTTTGAATAACATTAAATTAGTTTCACCTGTGCATAAAGTTGTGTTTTTTTTTGTTAAAATATCACTTTGCATATTTATCACTAAGTTATTTACAACAAAGACTGCAACTTTGAATGAATATTTCACTTATTTTTTGTTTTGTATTTTATGCAAAACATCGTCATAAAAACAAATGACTGACTGCTGCTAATGTATTGTAAATCTTTAATACATGTATAAGAAACAAACACTTTTAGAGGATATTCTTGCATTTTTCTATACTTACATTTTCGTATCATTTTAGCAACACCCTGTGAACCTTTAAATGTTCCTATTAACGGAGCACGGTTATGTAACGGGTGGCAAACGGACTATGGCAGATTCTGTATGATCATGTGCCAGCAGAACTTCACGATTGGTCCATCCTTCAGCTATAGCATGTGGTATGTGTGTGGCGCCTCTGGTAATTGGATCGCCGCCAGTCCTGTACCAGACTGCCAAGGTTTGTTCATCTAATAGTAACTTCTTCTGATTAATGCTTTCTTTTATTCTATACTTCATAAAAATGTTGTGCCCTACCTAAAATTTCTGGCAATATGTCATACATTTGATTACAAATTCATCTAGAAGTTCAATCAATATACACTCCCTTTTATAAAGAAGAAAAAGGTTTATAGATTTTTAATGTAGGCAAGAATCACAGTAAAGTTTATATTCAAGACAAATGTTATTTGGTATTGTACACCCCGACAAATCTCCCCATGAATATCCATTGCAGGAATTGTCATGCATTCGTGAAGGTGTATTTAATGTATATAGGAATGGGATGACATGTCTTTGTATAATGAATAGAAATATTCTGTGTTATTTTAATACGCCCTCGTAGCATTTACATTGTAAATACTTTAATAGAATTTTTAACAAATAGGATTTGATATTATATAACCCAGACAAATCTCTCAATTACAGAAACATTGAACTTGTCATGTATTCGTAAAGGTGTATTTAATATATAAGGAAAAAAAGATGACATGTCGATCTTACAACTACTTCTCTTTGTTATTTTAACCTTCCAACCATTATTGCATAATATGTTCCATTCCTATGTTTTCAACAGTTCCTGTCGACTCAGAGAACGAGGGTTTGTTCTATCACCCAGAATACGCTGGCTACGTGTTTACGCCATCTTGTCAAGATCAAGTCACGAAAAGCACGTTGCAAAATCTATATATAGAATATTTGAATGGCACTTCTGGATTTACTTCGTTTTGTACAACTTATGGCAACGAATGTGTGAAAGAAAATGTGGATGTTCAATGTTAGAGGTCATAATATACATTATGTGTATAATTTTACAGCGACTAACATTGTTATAAACTTGAAAATTTCAACATTTTGTTCTTTGTCCAAGACTTGTATATCATCGATAAATAAAATTTACTTTTGATAAAATAAAAAAGGTATAGATCAGTTTGAGGTATAATAACTTCCTGGATAAGTATAACAATTCATAATTCCTGATATTAGATTTTTTTTGTATTTTTTTATTTTCTTATAACGTTCATTAAATTGAAATAGGTCGCTTTGTTTCCTTATGTGTACATTACTTTTGTTTGCTTTAACATTACTATGCTGTAGCCCCCAGGAAATTGTAGTTCGTGATTAATGTAAATTTAAACTTTATGTAAATTATATATAAATTCTCGTTGGTGTACATTTTTGTTTAGCCCATTAGGTATTGATTTGTTTGCGTGTTTATTGTGAATTGCTCTTAAAGATCCTGTATGTTTGGTGATTGATATTGTTACTGTTATACCACACTTGCAAAATGTTATATATGTATATAATTATGCAAATAAAACAATTTTCAAACATCGAAGAATATGTAAAATGTGTACTGCAAATATATGTGCACATTATATTTAATCAATAAATTATATGCATTCATTTCTTATTGGAAAATTTGACTTAGAATTTATAGAAAAATAAATTTCTTATTACCTTCCTTTATTTACATGAAATGTTAAATTCGGTAATATCTTTATAAATAATGCTTTTTGGAACTTACAATATTGACAAATCTTCATTTGAGCATCATATTTATGACAAAAAGCCATGAAAAAAATGTGTTACAGGATCTTTCATAGACACTTTATTTACTTTGAAAGGTCATTATATAATAGTGTTGTATGATAATATAATAACATAACTGAATTATGTTTAGTCTTCAAATCCTGATCACTGGACTGTTGTTGAGGTAGGTTTTATTTCTGTTTAGTTATAGTTCATTTTGAATTTAACTCACTACAGTGTTGCAGCAGTTCTTCCCGACGCTTTCAGAAATCATAATGTGTGTGTTTTTTCGCGCCGATTTTTACATTTTCCATTCCTTATCATATACATGTATAAGTCGGTGTGAAAAGATGAATTAGGCGTCATCAAGTGCATTCTGTCAGTGAGTGAAAAGGCGGGATTTTAGCATTTAATCATTCAAGCGCCTTGTTAATATGACATTTAGTGTGGCGCTAAAACACTTCATAGAAAAGAATTCATCTCTTTACGTCAATGTATATACAACAATGAATGAAAAATGTAAGAATCGGCGAACAAAGCGATATTTTTCTACTTTGTGATCATGATTTCTGCATGGAAGTGCTACAACACTGTAGTGAGTTAAATCCTTCAGAGACTGGCATGTTACTTTAAATGTTTCTGACAAATTGTGTTCAAATTTTTAACTCGTTACATAAGACATTTTAATAATGTTACGACATGTTTAATTTTCTTTGATCTGATAATCAGGCAGTAACATAAATTTACATATATGTAGTATATATTTTGTATATTATTCATACATGTATGTGTTATAATATACATATGGCCGATATACTTGATATATGAGTTGTTTATGTTGCGTTTATCGTATTGTATTTCTCGTGTACAAGGGTCGTGTTTACTGCTTATTGTACAACATATAACTGTCAAAGCAACTGCACTGCCACGCAAGAATACAAGACTGGGTGCGGGTACTTTGAATGGCGAATTTTCACGGGATACCGGTGATCTAAAACTCTTTAAACAGCAAGACTTCAGATTCATGCAATTTTTCATGATTTTTTTTAAATGTTTAAAGAGTAAAGTATTGCTAAGTGAACAATGAAAGCAATTTGCAAATTGCAAACGGCACTTAAAATCTACGAAAACAACCAAAATATACCGTCATATGCAAAAGTTCACCCTTATCGCGCGTTAGTAACGTAGTAGCAATATGATGATATTAAATAAAAATTGCATAAATATGTAAATTATTTCTTGAATTTTTAATTTTTGCTTTTTTTAAATCTTAACACATTTTTATCAAGATTTCATTTTCTTGAAATATTTTGGCTCATCTAGAGGCATGCAGTGTTAACTAGTTTACATTGTTTATTTAGTTTAAGCAGATCAACTTAGTACTACATTCTTTTCTGAAATTTAAATCATTTCACCTTTTTTACTATGGATAAAAGATATGATCGATTAATACAAATTTACCTAATTCATTTTATAAAGGCTTAGCGAAAGTGCTTAAAAGTCTATGCTCTGAAACATTACTTTTTCATATTTTACCTTGCCTGTACATACTAAAAATGTAATTTGTCTTTCAGCAGTGTGTGATAAACTTTATTATAATGAAGGGAATAAAATTATAATTTCTATTCCACACTTTTTCGCATAATCATCATAAGTCTCGTCATCATCATCATATATTATTTTAAATTTTTGTTTCTTATTCAGAACTGATAGAAGATTATGTCCAAGTACTTGCACCAATGAAAGTTGCTCTGTGTGTTTAGTTTAGTGTGTTTTACTCGTGAAAGTTTGGGCTTGAATATTACTTGTACGTATAATCAGCGCAGGTGTAAGTGTTGTTTCATTAAAGAGTACTGATTTAAGTAAGGTTTTGACACAAAATTTGTTTAAGATCGGTGCAAATTTGAATATGTTCGCTGAAATAGACATGCTAGTGATTTTTCTATTCAAAATGAAAGAAGAGTAAAATACCTTTTAATTTTTAGAGTCATATGTTTTTTCTTCATATAAATGATTTTTGTAAACACTGATGTTTGGATAATGTTTAAGGGTTTTAGGTTGTAGAAGGGGAACGGGTTATAGTTTAAGTCATGGCCACGCGCCGAACACCCGTGATTGGGAGCAAATTGCAGTTGCGCGATAACGTTGTATTCTACCATTGTATAAACTGTTTGAGTTCAACTCCAGAATATTATATAAAAGTGAATAAAAAATATATTAAAACAAAATACATTAAAATCTGTTAAAGATGTTATTTTTGCTTTTACCTTTGCACTAACCATATTCTCTTGAATGGGCGTAATGCTTATTTAAGACAGCATTGTTTACATATATAGATTTTGATATACCACGGGTATAATGTATTCTTAACTACGTTCTTTATCTAGATCCCGGATGTAGATAAAGTCTTGAAGATTGATAAACGGAAAATTAATAGTTTATGGAATAGCTCGTTTAATTCTGGTGTTAAGCTTTATGTTTTAAAGGCATTTTAATTCATTTTAAATGAGGAAACATCATTCTCAAATTCAGATATGATCATGCTACGAATCGTGATTCTTGGAACAATATTAATGTAACATTTTGCGGGCAAAAATGTATTTCTTTCAACATGCTTTATACATATATAACAGAAAGTTCATTTCCGTGAATTTATTGTAAAACATAGACTTTTCATATATTGAACGATTTACTGGCAGTTTAGCACCGTTTATTGTTTGTTTGTTTTTGTTTTTTGCATAGTGACAATAGCACGAGGGGTGTTATTTAAGAAATAAAACGGTTTGGTATGAGCGGTGTTTATCGCCTATTCAACACCGGTTTGGAGTTTTGATGCGTAGGAATTACCCATACAGACCTGAAGCCTAAGTGGGTTTTTTTATCAAAACCATACAACTGTCGTAAATAGCCGATAAACGCCGCTTATACCGATATTAGTTCGATTCCAACTAGACAAAAATGAGGGATATCTCTAACGCTATTTTGTTTTCAAGCGGAGATTACCCCCGCTGCCGATTTCCGTATGACGCTGTAGTATACTTATTACCTTACTGTCTTTGTTATACATGTATATAGTATATGTAAATATATGTTAAAGTGCATTTGATTAAACTTTTGATATGTGACATGTTTAACATTGATGTTTATGTATTAAGATGATATACTTATGTATAAGTCTAATAAAATGTCTGTTCTGTTCTGTTCTGTTTAATTCGCACCCTACAGTCGATAATTATTAAGCAAAGAAAATATTAAGAAAAAAAAATCAACTTATTATACACAAATAATTAAATGAAGTTTTCAACAAATTTAAACGTACATATCAGACTGGTCTGAATTTTGCTTACATCAGTGCTCGTTTAATAATTCTTCAAACCCAATCAATGTCAGTTTAAAATGACGACATTCTGGCGATTGCATTCTTGTTAGAATGTGAAATATATCACGCCTCTGACTTTCTTTTTTAATGGAAATCTCCGATAGTGTTAGTATATGCAATAAAATCACTGTTGAAGTTCTATATTTAGACATGTGATCGAATCATTAGACATGTGACGTAACCAATAACAATGTGACATACTGAAAATGAGTACGATAAAAATTCAGGCGCAATTAAGCTTGATATCAGGTACAGCAGCATTTCTTTCGATGTCGTGTTAAAATCGAAACAAGAAAAGCATTGATGCAAAGCATCAAAGGGCATCCAAGCAAGGAATGCAGCTATTGACGAGGAACTAGTAGACATCTGATGACCAGATATCTTTTAATTAATTTTTCAATGATAAATTGAATTTTACATACTTTTTCATAGAAGAATGGGCGAATGAAAGACATTGTTCATCTCGACCTTTGGAAGGCTTTCTATATATTTTATTATATGTATTTTGTTTAAAACATATAAAACGGTAGTCAAAATAAACAAAGTCAGTCTATTTTATTTCTATTATAAATATAACAAATATACAAACAGTATATAAAGATGGTAAGAAAGGGAAAATAAAGTAATATCACAATCAATATTGCATTCTTTTCAAGTCAAATTAAAAAAGTGGTTTCTATTAATACCCGGACGTAAGATATAGTAGTTTTATTTTAAGTCCCAGATATATAGTGAAAGTAGAACACCCAGCGGAATGAGAAATTTGGGATGAATTTCAAAGTGACCAAATTCAGGATTTTTTGTTGTTGTAAAACGTGTTAACAAAACATAATGGTGCGTTAAAAATCATGAATAGATCTGCATTGTATTTTGATATAATGACACATTAATTATCAATAAATGGACGACTGTTACTTGAATTTTAGAAAAGTATGAGGAAATTCACTAACATCATGTCTATGCGAGTCAAAGATATTAAAGCTAATTGACATTGGTGATAAATAAAGAGCTATTGTTAATTGATCCATTGGGAGATCTATCTACTATTTTGTTGCATTGCTTAAAAACCCTCGTCTGGCCCACCAGTGTGTTTGTAAAACATTTCTATTGATAAATCCATATAAAAACTGCAGAAGAAAGTTTCTGTTTTTAAATGTTACAGTATTCGGCAATTCAACATTCCACTCAAACCACCATCAAATCGATTGCTTTTAAACAAAATAGAATCAATTCGGAAATTAGGGTCGATTTAAATAATCAAGGTAAAGAAATGTCAAAAGTGCAATCGAGCCGAAAAAAAGAAAGAAGTAATTAATTTTCCGGAAAAAACCTACGGAAAAGACAATTTCAGAATGGTAATACTATGATATAACAATTCATTAAAATGGTCTACGTTTATACTTTAAATAAATTTTAGATGAATTTATAAATAGTTAAATTTATTGTGAAATATGTTTGCATTTCATATCATGAAAACTTCTCCAGTTCGTTATCTATTACCATAACGGGACATGAATGACCGTTTCGTTTAAACAAACATTTCTCCAATCGGAACGTCCGTAAGTTGCAATTGCCCCTATTCATTCCATAAAGGGCGTCGCGCTTCGGCGTATCGCAAAAATTAATTTTATCGCTACGCCCTCGTGATATAATTCCTCTAAACATACACTTTATTAAGCGATAAAATCACTGTTTAGGATAGATTTATATAATTTCTTAAATATAAAAACTAGCTTATCTAATTGTTAAAAGACGAATTGAACATTACCGATACATTTCTTACGATATTAATAATTGCAATGTCTGAGGGGCACACATATTGTTGGTTATGATATAAGATTGATCACAATTATGTCAAAATTTTAAAGTTATTTTAGCTTATTCACCATTCATACTCTTTAATTGGCATAATGACACTTTAAGACAGTATTATTTACATATAGTTTTTAATACACCGTGTTAACTACGTACTATACTTAGATACTTTATGTAGATAAAGTTTTGAATACTGGAAAACGGAAGATAAATAAATTATTGAACAGGTCGTTTAATTCTGGTGTTCAGTTTAATGTTTTAAAGGCAATTTTGTTCATTTTAAATGAGGAAACATTATTCTCAAATTCAGATATGATCACTCTACGAATCGTGATTCTTGGAATAGTATTAAGGTAACATTTTGCGGGCAAAATTGTATTTCTCTCAAGCATGTCAAGATGTTTTATACTTATATCACATAAATTTCATTTTTTGATTCCTGCAATAATTTTTGTGAATTTGTCGTACAACATAGACTTTTCATAATTTAAACCATTTATTCATTGATATAACTCCTTTGTGAAAGCGTACCATTTCAGCTCGATGAATGGAAAACCTCGACTCGTCAGAGAAAAGAACGCTTTTTAATTGTTGTCTAAGCCAGCGTTGGTGTGTTCGTGCCCCATTAAAACGATTTACGCGGTGACGGCGCTCAAAACTCAACCAACGTATGGTCGAAGTCCATGTAGCCCCCTGCCCCCCAAACCCCGTCCTCTAGCAATCGTTTGCCCACAGTTTGGGCCGATATACGGTGTTATGTGTACCAGGGGTATTAACAACAGTAGGTGTGGCAGTTTGGAAGCGTTTGCGCAGGTGGGTGTTCCGAAAAGAGCGGTCTTGGACGTCCACTACGAAGTCGATCTTCTGTATGCCATTTTGCTTGAAAACATTATCGAATAGCACGAGTAGAACATCCGATAGTCATAGCGACGGTTTTCATCGTCATTTCAGCATCAAGCATATTTCATATTTTTCTTACTGACATGAACGTCTATAAGACTACACTGAAAGGTTTCATAAAATATATAAGAATCTACTTGTTTGAACATGCACGTGAAATTCCCGTTCAGACGGTTTCTCCTTCAAAATGAGTTAAAATCGAGTTAAATTCTGTTTTATCGGACACATAATCGTTCGCCCGAATATCTGTAGCTCATTTAACATTTTGACTTTTTAAAATAATACTAGATCTCTACTTAAACACATGGGAAGTTTCTTTATTGTTCAGTATATGTAATATTGAATGAAATGCGCCAAATATAAAGTAACTGTTGCAAATAATAAATTCCGTCAGATACGTTTTTATTACCATAATACAAGAAAGTTTAAACCAATCGATGGATTGAACCTCTTCATGGATGTAAGTGGTAATTGTAAAACAACTGTAAAAATAAATCGTAAACAATTCGATCAGATTTTCCAAAAATTGCTTAAATTGACGCTATTTCAACAAGAAAATGCATAGAAATACACATTAAGTATTTGCTTATGTATTTCGACAATTTCAAAAAATAACTAATTTCAATTGGAAAAATATATAATGCCGGAAAATAGTCCGATTGGAATTAGAAATTATCCGGGCGGACGGCATCCATTCGAACAAATTTTTTAAGATAACATTTTTATAAGAAAGAGTAACATAAAATGAAGTCAATTATCTCTAATTTATCTTAAATCTATCATATGTAATTGGGTTTTTAAAGCGTTTAGAGCCGGTAAAAATGGTAGAGAAGTTTGAAACATTTCCGGTGGTGCAAAGATTTTCGGTGGCTGTTAGTTGTGAATAATAAATATTCTGTCAGATACGTATTTATTATCATAATACAAGAAGGTTTGAGACTGTGATAAGTACAGCAGGTTCGGTCGATTGAACCTCTTCATGGACGGTAGTGGTAATTGTAAGCTACCATCCACGTCCCCTAGAACTGGCTTAACCGGAATTCAGCATTTTAAAATGAAAAATGTTGAAAATTATAATTTAGAAACATTCGCAGATGTGTTCATATGGCGGTACTTAAGTCACATTCAATGTAACGCGCTCGGACCATTTTATGAAATACGGCGTATGGTCCCTAAGTAAAAGAAAACATGTGTCCCAAACAAGAAAACAATGGGAGAAGTAAATAAAAAGGAAATTTTGAAGACCAGGTGTGGTGAAGACTGCATTTCACAGATCAGACATCAATAGACATTTCTTTTAAAATAATCTATAATGTCTTCAATAATTCATATAGATTTTATTAAATAAGCAAATAAGAAAGATTTACAAATTGTTACCCTTTGATAATGATTCAATTGTATTATTGAATAATAGCAATCTTGTACTTATTACAGTCAACGTTGCGCGTTTAATAAATGGTATTCAAACAGTAACAAAGATCAATATAAACATGCTTTGCTTGATTTAACTTCAAAGGCCATAAATTGCATGTACGATATAAATAAGACTATTGAAAAATAGGTTTTTTACCTTCATTTGAATATCATAATCACTTTATAAATTCGTGACTTACAAAAAGCCACGTCAGAAATGTTTGTATTGTATTCGAGACGGTTTGATATTTTATTTTTAAAAAATTGCTACATGTACAAAATCGTGCATGATAAATAACATTATAAGATATAGAAAAGGCTCCTGATGAATACCAAATTGATGCCAGCATTATTATTATTCAAGTATTATACTATAAAAGTAATAGTGATATTGATAATAATAAGTATAATTAAAATTGATATACTTTAACAATCATACAAAACCGACGGGTTTATTTTTTTAGCTATGTCTTTATTATCCCGTATTGTTTCAAACCAGCCGCGCCTGATTCACTTTATTTGATTCATTGTTTTAGTAGTTCCATCAATTTTACTGTGTGTGTCAATGAGTATATTATATAGGAAAGTAATGTTAAGATGTTTGGATGTTAGCAGCATACCAAGATGAAAATGAAATTCACCTTCTGTTTCTCCACATATGATTTGCAATCTATACCTTTGTTTCTGTTTTTTATTCTGACATACCATATGTCTTTAAAGTAAATTGAACAACTACAGTTTGCACATCTTCCATAAGCTTTCAAAAAATGATAAAATCTATAGAAAAGCATCATTTGGTTATTTTTATGATTAATTTCTTCAAGAAACAAATTGTTGTAAAATGTTTAAGTGATTTAGTGTCATTCTTTAGTGGTTTGTTGTTATGTGTGGTATTGAATATTATCAACGTAAATATTCATTGTAATACAATTGATAATAGATGCGTGATGTCGTAGTATTCTACCATTGATAATATATGCATACATTACTCGCAAAGTCTTTATCAAACCATCTGATTTTGAAATGTTTATTTAATGACTTTATTTCTCCTATATCCTAAACACTGAGCTTATTTTTTAAAAACATTCCCTGCAGTATTGAGCAAAGCTCACCACAGAGCCGCCTGGTCAAATTATTTGTCTTGTTATTCTAATATTCGAATACCTTAAAGGTCTAATGGATTGTTCCATAACAAACAAAAACAAGTTCAGTTCATTTACACATTTTTATTTCAAAGTGTAGATATTGATGCTGCTGTTTTAGACTACACATAAATATTTCTTGAATTGTAAACCTACCATTTGTCAGTTCTTGCTCGGGCGAGCGATGTTTTACAAATTTCTCCTTTACCTACGTATGAAATATTAATATCTTTGTTTGAAAGCGATATTTTATATCATGTAATGAAACAGTAGATCTATATACAGTCGTATATCCTTTTTATCAGACGAGCCCTACAAATGTGAGACAAGACATAAATGGTTAAAATCTATCAGGCTTTTGTGTTCTGTTTTATTTATTTCAGGATTGTGAGAGCAGGTTTCTGTACAGAGTCTTACGATTGCCAAGTAACATGCACAAAAACTATTACATCATATTATGGATGTGGTTGGTTTTGGGCTAGCAGATGTGCAAGATACAGGTAACCTGAAATTTGTGTATTTCAGGACGTAATAATAAATCTTACAGGGTGACTATTTGAGTGATTTATAACAAGAACTTAGCAGTAATGTCACGGTTCCACACAATTGTTGTCAATTCCAGCACGAGTGTTTTACCAAATTTCATAAACGTAGTAACTGATAAATAGTGAAATAAAAGCTGATGTCTTCAAGAATGTTTATTAAAACATTAGAAGAGACTTGTAAAGATACAGAAATGTTTTTGAATATTTTGGTTGCTTAATAAAGCATTTGAGGCTTTGTAATGAAAATCGTTATTGATTAGAAAAATCTATCGTTTCTTATGTGTTTCAACATTACCATAGATACTTCGTTTTCAGTATGGCCTACTCGCTATGCCCAGGTATCTGTTACAAAGATGAATGTTGTTCCGGTTATACAGGCGCCAGCTGTGACATACGTAAGTTGTTTCGTATTTTCTCTTTAAATATTTTGCCCACTACAATTTGCTGTAGAGATTTGTTAATTTGAAATAAACGATTGTAGTTCATAATTTTTATGTTTAAGACTCTTAAAGTCACAACTATTCAATCATTTCTTTTTTTCCAAAAGCTTTATATTTGATGTCCTTTCTTTTTGCTTTCAAAGATGTGACCAATTGACTGTATTGCCTCATGTGCCTTTTGGTTAATGTCTTATCTTACGAGATCTTACTCAACCCTGTAAAACTGTAAACCTTTACAATGTTACTGCAACTTAAGACCCCGTATACTTTCATTTACTGAAATCTTTTGAAGGAGCCAGGTCAACCATTGTTATGTTTTGATATCTCGCATGCGTTTATAAATGGAAAATCTCTCCATTCAAGCAGTATCTTGATGAACTTTCTTTCTTTTTATTCGCGGACGATTTCTTTCAAGGGACATGTAGTAATCTAACAAACTGTGTAATTTCTGTCGCTCAAATAGGATTATATTTAAACTATTCGACAATATGTATGCGTACTTATATGTATTACTAAATGAAAATATTCGTGAAACAACAAAATGTATTGTTAAGGCACTCCAGTCCAGACAAAATAAGTTATATTAATAAAGTTCAGACATTCATTTTAATTATAAACATGCATGTATATGTATGCCTGTCATGCCCAACATGTTCAACTGACAATACACCGTAGCATTTTATCACATGTACTTTACCTTTTACCCCATGAAGACGTGTTTTGACGCTTTCCGCCCCCTCCCCCCTCTTGAGGCCTGAAACAGTGAAAAAATGCCCTATTTTAAATACACTGTTTTTCGTTTGAGAATGTTTTTTTTAAGTGATCTCTTTTCGGCGCCACCTCCTATCAAGGTACATCAAGGGGTTGCCGGAAGTGGGAATGGCCCCCTTCTGTTTGGGGGGTTTGAAGGCCTAAACATGCCATCAGGTCGAGCTTAAGGTAACGTGTAGCTGAAATGCCTTTCACTCTATTTCTATCCATTGAGAAGTTGCAGCACTTTGAAATCAGTTTTGAAAGGGAAAAAACAATACAAAATAGTGATTTTTTGCAATTTGGAGACGTCCTCCCATTGTCATGATAACAGGAAATATAAGATTTAGCATGCTGTTACAGAGGCTATGGTCCAGTCAACATTTGTGCCAAGATTCATAAGTATTGAAGCATTTTTTTTCATAATTTCATAACAGTTTGAACTTGTAACAGGAGGTATTTCAATGAAAACAGACATATTTTACAAAATGCTCATGCGGTAAAAGGTTAATGTAGTCTTTTATTTAAGTCGACTTATAGGCCCTTGGGGCCGGGTGTTGATTTATTTTATTTTGTAAAAATATGTTCATAATGTCTGTTAAAACACATGTCACTATAATAAACATTTTATCTCTATACATGTTTAACTGATTTACACATGAATGTCTATTGTTTCGGACATTTTTCATGCCTTTACGATAACAACTTATCAACAAAATTTAAACTTAAATACTTTCATATTTTCAGCTCTCTGTGATGGTTCAACAACGTGTCCGAATGGCGGCACATGTATTTCCCCGGACAAATGTAGCTGTCCAACTGGCTTCTCTCCGCCTTTTTGTGCAGGTATATCCTTTATTATTCTAAATATATTTGCTTTTATGATTAGAATATGTATGTGTTTGTAATGCAAATATGTATGTGTTTATAATTAAAACATATACATGTGCTTATGATTAAAACATAAACATGTGTTTACAATTAAAATATCATGACTTGTTTTAATAACTAAAAGGAAGTCTCAGTATTTATGCTTTTTAATAAACATAATCTGTCTTTCGAAACTCAGAAAGTTAAATCATGTTTTGGAAACACATTTGTCTTGTTTAGACAAACGTAAGGATGAGTATAGTTTCAAACATTTTTAACGTTGATGATATGTCTCATGGTGATAATATTTCAGATACTAATGAGTGTGCCGGTTCATCACATGGATGTGAACATGAGTGTAGAGAGACCGACGGTTCATACATATGCACATGTAAAGAAGGCTTTGTGATAAACTCGGATCTTAAGACTTGCACTGGTAGTATTTTATGAGTAAAATCAGAGCTACATCTCTGGTAAAATCTACAATAATTATTACCACAACATTATCGTTAATTATCTATAAAGTTTGAAACTGTAAATATCTAAAACATGTAATATATTACTGAATATATAACTGACATAACTAAAGACAAATACAGGAGATATTATTTAAGGAAAATAGCAAATAACCATTTTGTCATAAGAAAATGATTTTATTATAACAGAGGAATGTGGGCATCCTGGAAACATAAAAGATGGCACGGTGTCCTTGACATCAACCCTAATGGGCGGCATAGCCACCTACACATGTAACCAACATTATGATATGGCCAGCGGGGATGGTATTCGACAATGTCAGAGTGATTTTTCCTGGAGCGGACATGAGCCTACATGCAAATGTATGTAAAAATTGGAAAGCATTTGACAGAAATCAAAATTGTTTAAATGCATGGTTTGAATAAGATATTCTAATTGTATTTTTTTTTAAGTTTACTCTTAGATAAATATATATTTGAAGCACATCTCTTGATACTTATGTCTATTTTGTTATTTAAATAAAACAACTACGATTTGTATATTGTAAAAGACGATGCATTATTATCTACAAGTAAAAACAATACTGCAATTATAGAACATGTATATTCTCTAATTTGTAGGAAATTTTAGATATACACATTTAAAAAAAACAAAGCAAATCTTAATTTTTCATATTTTATTTTAGTAGCCAATCATTGTGAAAGTTCACCGTGTCTTAACGGTGCGACCTGTGTCAATCTAATTGGAAGTTTTCGATGCGAGTGTACAAATGGCTGGAATGGGGAAATATGTGATAATGGTATAAAAATTGTATCGCGTTATAAAACTTATTGTTGATTGTTCATTGTTTCAGTAAAATATAAGACATATATTTTTAAAGATTATCAAGATTTATGTATCTACATTTTATCTTTTAGTGCCTATTTATTTCATTTTATGTACAACAGAAATATATTTGTTTACTTCCATTGTAATAAAAAAGCATTGACCTTTTACTGAGAGGGATCGTCTTGTTGACATGATTTGTTTTTTTTTCTCTTGGTTGATTCGATACTTACACATTTAAATAGACCCAAACAATTAAAGAAATATGCTGAGTTTTAAACGGTTGATGACACTAAAGAACATTTACCGATGATAACAATACAATTCACAGATGTCGAACCTCCAATGGTAACAGGATGTCATGAAGATATTCATGTCAATGCCACAGAGCAAACCATTGAATACAGCTGGACAGAGCCCCAGTTCTCTGATAGTAGAGGGTCTGCCCTAGAGATTGTGTCCAATTATCCAACTCCAGAGTTCACCTTTCCGTGGGGTGATTTTACTGTACAATACGTTGCCACAAAAATCTCCAACGGTCTAGGAGTTGAGTGTTCGTTTAAGATCAAAGTAAGACGTAAGTACTTGCATATTAACAGCTAAGATAGGGTCGTACGAGCGCATTCTTTCACACTATCGGTTCAAAACGTCAGGACTATTGACTATAGGTATATAAAAACGTTGATGAATCTAAAGTGTGCACTTTTTGTGTTTGTCTACTCCAACATGCACCAACATTAGCCTGAAAGATTATTGAGGAAGACTTTAGAATAAAACTGACACACACGTATTCATATCTGTTTTAAACATTGCAAGAAAAGATATGCTTGCACTGACGGATATTATTGATATTGTTTGATTAGTACCGATAAAACAATATAAACCATAACTGACATGCATTTTCTTTGAATAACATTGTTTCACCTTTGCATAAAGTTGGTTTGTTTGGTTAAAATATCACTTTTCATATTTATCACCAAGTACCAATTTGTCGTTTTTTACAATCAGGACTGCAACTATGCACAAATATTGTATATTTCACTTAGATAATTTTTCGTTTTGTATTTTATGCAAAAATCTTTATAGCAACAAATGACTGTTGTTTATGATTTGTAAATCTTTAATACATGTATAAGAAACAAACATTTTTAGAGGGAATTCTTGCATTTTTTTCTATACTTACCTTTTTATATATTATTTTAGCAACACCCTGTGGACCTTTAAATGTTCCAATCAACGGAGCACGGTTATGTAACGGGTGGCAAACGGATTATGGCAGGTTCTGTATGATCATGTGCCAGCAGAACTTCACGATTGGTCCATCCTTCAGCTATAGCATGTGGTATGTGTGTGGAGCCTCTGGTAATTGGATCGCCGCCAGTCCTGTACCAGACTGCCAAGGTATGTTCATCTATATTTATATAAGTATTGCATCTTATAATTCTGAATTTGAATAAATTTCTATGTACCTTTAAACGCATAATCTCTTAATGACCTAAGAGCTTGATTTCAATAAAGAATTTATTGTTTATTATGAAAAACGCGGGCAGTTTAAATATTGCAGCAGTAACAAGGTGGAAAACTTTAATCAATTGTTAGTATCACGCACATCTGGAAAATATTTTCATTTTATGATCTAACTATGATTTTCTCTATGATTTCATGAATTGTGTCGTATAAAGATCCGAGAGAACATCTCTTTTTTTCTTAATGTTAATCTGATTGATAGATATTTTGCATGCTCTTGATTACGGTAATAGAACAAGTACAACTAAAAATCTCCTTATACTTGTCACAAAATCATATAATCAAGTAGTTCTCCTGAATGTATCTATTAAACAATGTATGTGCATGTAACCATCTCCAGAAATAGAATTCCCGAACAAGGATTGATGGATTTATTTAAGAATGCTTATTTTGTCAATAACATCTTCTTTTTGTAATTTGAAAACGTATTTATTTGTAAATGTGTAACACCATCTTTACTCTGAATCAAAGAGTGTGCCTAACGTCCCAGGCACTAGCAGAAACGATATCAACCGAACGTTTCCACGATATAAATATAAGCAATGTACATCTCACTCACTCACTCACTCACTCACTCACTCACTCACTCACTCACTCACTCACTCACTCACTCACTCACTCACTCACTCACTCATATCAAACACCTTTCTTCAACTCTTTGACCAAGAATATCAAATTTAATTGCCCGCATGAACATGAGTATACAATGTCCTTTCCTATGTTTTCTACAGTTCCTGTCGACTCTGAGAACGAGGGTTTATTCTATCAACCAGAATATGCTGGATACGTGTTTACGCAATCTTGTCAAAATCATGACACGAAAAGCACGTTGCAAAATCTATATATAGAATATCTGAATGGAACCGCTGGATTTTCTTCGTTTTGCACAACTTATGGCAACGAATGTATGAAAGAAAATGTGGATGTCCAATGTTAGCAGTTAAGGTGTTACCATCTCCAGAAAAAAACATTTCAAACAAAGAGGCGTTGAAACTATTGAAGAATTTCTTTTGTCGATAAAGATCATCTGTTGTGTGCCATTGTTGTTGTTTGTTTGTTTGTTTGTTTTCTGTGTGTTTTTGTTTGTTTGTTTGTTTGTTTGTTTTTATTGTTTTGGTGTTTTGTATTTTGAAAAACATTTTTTATTCGCTTATGTTTAATTTGTTGAATCGGAAACTGTTTATCTTTTTTAATTCAAAAATCTTATAAATTAAATAAGAGCCATATTTGTCACTAACACTTTCTATTAGGACTGTTTTGTCGCTTTTTGTTTTATATTTTTCGTGTTTGTTCTGTTATTTATATTTGCCATTTCACATATGTATTTCTAATTTCAAAGATTTTTTTAACACATATTGGTTACTAAAAGGCTTTGCATTTCCAGCTGTCATTTTTATACATTTTGTTTCCATTTACGATATTGCTTTTTGGTATACATTATTTATTGTATATTTTTTTCTTTTTGTTAGAAACGCCGTTTCAGTTTCTTTTGTGCATTCATTTACGTAAATATTTAATACACTATTCAGGGTCAGGGTTACCATCCGTACAGTTTTTTTCACGATTAATGCTATTGCTTGTATATTTTGTTTTTCTCTGTTTATGTATTATTATTGTAAAAGTTACTTTTAAGACATTCACGTCTTCTAATGGCGTGATTCATATTGAAATAGTTGTCCATTTCTTTAAAAAATTGACTTTTTCTTTTGTCGTTATAGTTTAATATATTCCGTTTTTATTAACATTATTATTCATTATATTTTGCTCTTTTGTTAACGCAATCATTTCATAAATGTGTCTTTTGTAAATGTTATGAATAAATTAACATGTTTGGCACGACGAAAAACTAGTTACTGATGAATTTACAGATAGAAACGCAACAGACACCATTAAAATATTTGTTTCTAAATAAAATTGTTGACATATGTCGGGTATAAGATTTACATATTGTCTTTTAGATACAGACATATGTAAGCTGATTTAATCATGAATAATGAACAGGTCCGATGGCATTTTTTGGGGGGAAAATAGCTGAGTAAATTTGCAGTCAAACCAATAGATACATATTTGTCTTCAAATTTGTTGGCATGCATTAGTAATAAAGTGTGTGCATCTAGTAGTAGTAATAATGGCGTCATATATATAAACATGTAAATCTTATAAAAATGTAGATTACCATTAATGCAAATTGACTGTATTAACACATAACATACATCTTTTGAATTAAGGAAGTTTGTTTATTACTGCTCATTTACACAACATAAAGATCACCATGAATAATTGACACAAGTGATCCATACTTTATACAGAATGTTGTATGTCAATAAACCAACTGCAACCTTCTCGTTGCATGGATGGCCAACGAGAAACGAGTCTTAGTTTTAAGGCAATTAACGAACGCACCTTCGTAATATTACATCCAAACTCACGACATAAGTTTTAATCATTCCAAATGTTTTTGTTGACACTATTGAGCAGTTGCATCAACGATTACTTAGTATAGAAATATAGAAACAAAAGTTTGAATCAAAGAAAACCCCGGACAATGAAATCAAGAGTCAATTGGTGAACATCGTTTCGGTATTTTTATATGTTTTTTCTTGTGAGACAGTGTAAAGTGCAAAATCTTTTTAATTAAACTTAAACTGCTAACAATAATTATCTTAAAAGCAACATTAATTTTATAACCTTGAACAGGAAATGTAAGCCAGGTTTCTCCGGGAAAAAATGAACTGAAACATTTCATAAAATTCGGCCAGCAATTACTCCTACTTGGCACAAAAATAGCCGTTTTAACATTGCACGTATTCTTTGATACGTTACCTTCAGACATGTATGTCAAAGTACAGTGTTTCAACAAGTGCATTCTATTCTTTTTAACATCGAAATTAAATGAAAGAAATGTAAATACGTAGAAAAAAATCGAACGATGTAATATAATTGCGCAACTGAACACTATCTCTTGCAAAAAGTATGACAACGTACTCTCGATTTTTATAGCTCGATATCTGTACATAAAAGCTATATGTGCATAAGTTATTAATTTCAGGGCTGAACTAACAAGTATATGATTACTAAACTACGTCTTGTATGTAAACAGAAATGAAAATGTATTTCATTATGTTAGTGTGAAAAAACATTCAAAATTGATGCTTTGAACCTAATTGAACAGAACAAAAATGATACAAATTGCATTACATCTAAGTCTCTCTTGTAATATAGTGTTACTGAGTGCAAATCAAAATCGGTTAATTAAAAAAATGTCCATAAAAAGAAAGAACAAAACGACATGTGTATAAAAAAGTTTTAAAAAAGCCAAAAAAATAAAACAACGCTCGTTATTTACGTGCATTAATAAGGAACAAATAAACTTTTAGTCAGTCAGTGACTTTTTTTTCAAAATGATTTAAATATTTATTTTAAACCCAAGATGTACCTTTTGTTATTTTATATCGAATTACAGTATGTTTTTCACTCAAGACATGTTCGTCGATTTTTATCTTTTTACAAAGATTAATTTTAAAATACATATATTATCATTGTTTTTTTTTTGTTGACAAGTGTAACAGGAAGTTATGGTAACCTAATTTCATAGCTGCAAAATATAAACCATTCATTTAGTTTTAGATACGGATTTGCAACTGATATCTCTAGTGTTTACTGTTGATAACAACTTAAGGTAAGAAATATTATAAATCTTTAAAACACTTTCCTAAATTTTAAAAAGTATTCGTAGAAAAAATCATTAAATTTATTGAACAAACAGAAAAAAAAGAAAAACGAACATCAAGGGAAATTGATTTGAATACGTTTGAAATTCCATCAATTGATTGTTTTTATACCTGCGTGATTTATCTACATTAACAAATATTAGTAAAATCAATTTCCCATTTCTCTGGAAGAAATATTTCACAAATGAAACGTTCGGGGTATTCAAAGTTGTTTGAGGGTATTAAATATCTTTAAAATTCACATACAAACAACTACATATTCTTGAGTCAAATCATGTGAAATATCTTTTTCAGTATTGGCAGTCATGGGCTTTCGAGAGAAAACTGAACTTGACACCGTAAATCAAAGAAACACAAAGGAATATATTCCAGCCATAGTTGTAATTTCCATTGTACTTTCATCTGGACTTATTCTGAATTCATTTGCATCCTTGTTCTACGGGCGCCAGACACGAAAATCAGCGTTTCAGATATTCGTCCTGTCACTTTCTGTGAACTTCTTAATAACAAATTTAGTTTTATTACATGACATCGTTGAACTTTTTTATTTTGTTCAATATGAAAGTGTCGCAGCATGCAAGTTATTTTATGTTTTGAAGCACTGGTTTGTTGGGAACTCTCTATTTTTTATGGTCGCCATTGGTTTTGACAGATATCGCACTGTGTGTTTTCCGTTTTCGAAAGCGTTAACGCTACGAACAGCATGGTGTGTTATTTTAGGATTATCAGTGTTTTCGCTTGGTATTTCTGTAAGTCTTTTTTCAACAACAGACATTGTTCGAATGAATATAACAACAAGTCACAATTCTACAATCCACGGACACACCTGCACGTTTTCCGAGTCTGAAAATCTGCAGACGTTGCGAGTGATAAATCATTTTGTAGACGTATCTTTACATGGTATTATTTTATCTTTATTTGTGTTTTTCTACACATTTATTACACGGAAACTTATCATTACAAGAAAGAAAGTAAAAGGGAATGTAAGCGGGAAGCTAAAAATGGAAGTATATAAAATCGGATCAGCCGAGCACAGTGAAATAACAAGCGACATATCTACGAAATGTGAGGAGATCAGCGAAGAACACCCTCATGCCAACACTGACATAAGTATGGGAAACAGACACAAGGAACAGTCTACAAAACAATTCAATGAGAAAATGACAAACACACCGTCTAACAACAAAAACCCTGGATTGTTCAATCTTGCAAATAAGAAGAATCATGATGAAAGGACGGAAATAGTGAACAACGGCAACATTGAAACGGGCGAAACAGGAGTTGGGCGGTCAAAAGATACACTGAGCCGAAAGAAGAGAGCAAAAAACAAATCAAGATGGGAAAGAAGGATAACAATCATGGCAACAGTCAAAACTGTTTCTTCCATCGCTTGTTTTGTGCCTTTTTACGTTTCAATGATGATAATTACCCCGAAATTACACGGAGATGGTCTTGTGCTTGATGTTGGAAGCATTATAGCTAGGCGATCATTCATGCTAAACAGTGCTATAAATCCCATTATTATGATTATATTCAATGATGCATTTAGACAATATTTGAAAGGAACCTTGCACAAAGTCACCTCAAAATTTCGAGTAAGTTATCGAAGTTTTAAATGAATCATCTGACTTCATTCGAGGTGTAATTCAGTAGACATTCTTGTTAATTCGCCATCAATTTAATGAAATTCTAATGTAAGAAAATAAAATAAACCTTTTCATTTATTAGTTTTTGTACATTATTATTTTTATGATTAAGTCATATGCTGTAATGAAGTTTGTGAACATAAATTTACCTACTTATATCTTTTCAAGTCAGGAGCTTTTGCTTCTCTTCTGTGAGGAAGCTATTAAGCAAGCTAACGGAAGGTCAGTGAATATGAGAGCATTTTTGTACTTTGTTTAAAATTACATCATGACTAGTGGAACAAATGAAAGGATGTAATTTACGTTTTACATTTATATCAATGTCACGGATATATATATATATGTTCTCGCTATAAGTTCTCTTTTCTTGTGCGCATGAGTAAAGTTAAGCGTGACCGAATTAAAGGCCCACGTGTCAACGTGCCACAGGTAAAATGAAGGGGAATGAAATACAGTGTGGGTATGAAATAATGAGTTTCTAGCAAAGAAAAAATGACCTTGTGACATTTATTTTTGAACGAATTTAATATTGACTCCAGGACAAGCAGAAATTTACAATAATATTTTCAGTCTTAGGTTTTCAGGGGTTTCCGTTTAACTCCTGTCAAATATTATTATATATATATATCATTATATGATATAATAAATATCACACGTATCGATTGTAAGTTATATACATTTAAATACAACAGTTTACTGTTACCATTGATAATCGTTTTTGTTTAAAGTCCAAATGTTTATTTTTATCAAAATCATGAACTTATGTCATTTAATTCTGCGTAGCAAGGTGATGTAATTTTTGTACCAATACATGCTCACTGTTTTTTGTGTAACGTTTAATCACAAAAAACCACAAGTACTAAATGAAGTGGACTTTTTTTTTCATCTTTAAACATAACATCTGATATGCGCGGATTGTTATCTATCTGGTTTAAAAGTCATAGTTTTAACTTCCCGGCCGAAATGTCGAGATACATACATTTAGCAATGTACCTCTATCCGTCCTTCCTGAGTAATAACTATAAAGCTATTTACGTTTTTTTATTAGAAGTTGAAGATCTTACAATCTTTTTAAATATTCCTTTCAATCTATATGGAAAAAAATCTATCCTGATTGATAAAACTGATCGTATAGCCTTAGTATTAAAATAGTAATTGCCTATAAGTGTTATTATATAAATGTTTATAATGTTTAATATAAATTAAATAAAATAATATATTCATCTACTACATGTACTATTTATATTTGTAAGAAATCAAGAGATAAATTCAAATCGTCTTTTTATGTACACAAACTGTAAAAAGGGCAACTTTATTTGAAAAATTGAAATAAATCTGAATTACTTCCCCTGACATTACGTTAATGGATACTATTGTGTATAAGTATGCTATCTTATCGCGATGTATTTCGGACAGATTGTGGTTGGGCATTGGTTTCAGAAGTGAGAGGGCTGAAGGTTACGCCCTGGTCGTGTCTCAGAGAAAAAAAACAAAATGTAATTGACTGGTATTTTAATGCAGACTTTTTGCGGCGTTCAAACATTGGACTTGTCTCTCAAGACATCGGAATGAATACCTTGAATACATTGAATTGTTTGTAAGGGCTTTGTTTCTGTTTGCACATTTAGAAATCAGACATGAGTAGCAATATAAAATATTGAAGTCATGTTATATCATAGTCATATTTATTGATTTATCTTTAAATTCATCACTGATAAAATTGTAGATTACCAGATTATTTAGGAGTTACACTATCAGAAAAAGAATTTATAAACCAAATCATTCACTTACCTTAAAAATTCATTAGATTTTTTATTCAAATTGATAACATATTTTACTCTAGTTTTCACCGATCTATTTAATGAGAGAACACTGCCCTTCATAAGTTCAAACGCCTAGGTTAAATCTTTAAATTCTTACATCTACTGAGTTGTGTAACGGTGTAACGGAATTGCCCTCCTTTCAATTTGGACCTTAAGGGATTTGACAATGTACAAAAATATGGGTTTCCAACAGTATAGAGCCTGGCCAGACTAAACAGATGTACAACTTGGCCTGGCTCTATACTGTTGGAAAATGCTTATCATTTCCGGTTTAAGCAGGCCAAGTGTTAACACTGTCTCAAGCAATGACACCCAACAAAAACTTGGATATATCTTCAAGATCACTTTGCAGCTCTCCAAGTTGGCTAATCATCCTTGCAGCGTAAAGGAAATAGAAAACTATCCAAATAGACAACTGCTCAACACAGCAGAGAACTGCTTGAGAAAACAAAATTGTAACAATAAATTTTGATGTATATCATTAAATATACGTGTTTTGTGTATCAAGTGCACAACATTATTCATGCGTAATGTAAATAAAACTGTCATGTTTACGACGCTTTTTAAATAAATATTAAATTTTCATAACATTTTATTCAAATTTAACGAGACAAGCAGGAAGTTTTGAAAACCCGATCTTTACATGCAAAAATCAATGTTTCATTTTACTTGAATCGGAGTTATAACTGGAAGCGGATACTGTGTTTGGCGATACTGTGTATTTTGATATGATAAGTAACAATTTGATGGTAATATAAATACAAATGATGGTAATATATCAAATTAAAACTCATACTTATTCATTAGAATGTTTTCTCAACACATTTTGTAAGAATACTTTTTTCACTCTTTTATTTCATTAATTTATTTACACGTGTATTTATTTTCATTATTTTTCCTTTACTTATTTTGTTTTATTTTTTTACATTTGCAGAAAAATAAAAATAAATAAGAGTTGTACCTTGACAGTAATCAGCGAAGCCTTGACCACATTTTTTAGTTAATACCATTCAAGAGCAAGGCGTAATTATTTCGCATTTATGCATTGTTGCGCAGTTTAATATTAGATATTGTAAGATTACACCTGTAGTAAGTGTACAGTTTGTATAGGAGATATAGCAGATATACAACAGATTAATACATCGGACAATACAATAGATTAATGCATCGAGTGATACAGTTGACTTAAACATCGGGCGATACAATGAATTAAAACATCGGGCGATACAATATATTAAAACATCGGGGGATAAAAGAAATAAATAAATACATCGGGCGATAAATAGAGAAATATCTCGTCGTGTATTTCTTTTTTATATTTATATCTTTCTTAAATTACTTAAATTAAAATGTTTTCTAATAATGCTTGGCTCTCTTAGTTTTGACTTTGTTAATTGCAGATTGAAATGATGCACTGAAGAAAGTATTAATGTTTAATAATAGTTACATCTATTGATAAAATTAATTGTATGAATGTTCGGTATACATTGTATTTGTTAACTTATATGTGAACACTGTGATTACCATTTAATCATTTATTTTACATGTTATATTATTTTCGATTGATATGATTCTACCTAGAAGGCCGCATAGGAAATAAGGTGTTACAAGTATGTATATGGCTTAATGTATTTCCGTCTGTAAATACGGTTATTATTTAGTTACCTACAACCATTAGACGGTAGGGTCTTGTACTGTGACACAAATTCACTTGTCTTGACCACGACTCCGTGTCAGTTTGAGCCTTTATTGCGTGGGATCTACCCCAGGGATCTGACGGATAAAGTCCCTCAAAACGTCATCACTTTATTTGACACCAACAGACAGAAACATTACGCATATAGGTTGCTCACAGAAAATAAAAAAGGACAATCATCGATATGTTATTGTTTATTATTTCCCTGAATTGGATATTCATTTGATGTGGTTAAGGGCAAAATACAAAACCAATGCATTAAGGAATTTTAGACAATACTTAAATCGCTTGGAAAAAAAGAGAAACCTGTCACTTAATAACAAAAACTGATCCAAAAGATAACATTATCGTATTTGACAAGCCTCTATTGTCACAACATTTTATATCCCTCCCGTGTGGATTTTATTTTTATTGGGTAAATAAACAGCTAAATTTAAATTTGTTGCTGCCAGGTCATACGTAAAAGTAAATAAGTTTCAACTTATGTATAATGCATTTGTAAGAATGTAATAATAACACTTGTGAATAGTTCCAATTTCTTAACACGAAAATGTGGTCCACGTTTCGGCTTTTGACTACTTTATTTTGAATAACTTTAAATTGATTTACTTTCGGCGACATCAGATCAAAGCCTCTGCAAAAAGAAGCATGTTAATACTTTTTTATCAATAGATGATTTACATGCATTGGTAATAAAGTGAACAAGTTGTTTACAAGGAGAATCAAAAATCATTAAATTATTTAGTTAATTTAACAAAACGTAGAGCTGCTTTTGTAAATTCATCACAGAGATTTTATCATAACTTCATCAACGTCATATCTTTTTCAGACTCAGCGGTCATGGGTTACAAAGAAGAAGCTGAACTTGATGCCGTAAATCAAAGAAACACAAAGGAATATCTACCAGCAATAGTTCTTGTTTCAGTTGTTCTTGCAACGGGACTTTGTCTGAACACATATGCATCCTTGTTTTACGGGCGTAAGTCACGAAAATCGGCTTTCCAGATATTTATACTATCACTATCTATCAACTTCTTAATAACAAATTTAATTCTTGTGCATGATATAGTTGAGCTGTTTTATTACGTTGACTATAAAAGTGTCGCAGCGTGTAAGTTATTCTATGTATTGAAGCACTGGTTTGTTGGGAACTCCCTATTTTTTATGGTCGCCATTGGTTTTGACAGATATCGCAGTGTGTGTTTTCCGTTTTCTAAAGCATTAACTCTACGAACAGCATGGTGTGTTATACTAGGATTATCAGTGTTTTCATTTTGTATCTCTGTTCGACTTTTCGTAACCACAGACATAGCTGTGGTTAATATAACAACAAACCAGAATTATTCAATTCAAGGAAGTACCTGTACGTTTTCTGAATCTGAAAGTTTACAGACTGTGCGGGTGGTTTTTCATTTTGTAGATATATTTATACATAGTATTATTATACTTTCATTTGTGTTCTTTCACACATTTATCATACGGAAATTGATAAATACAAGAAAGAAAGTACATAAATATTCCAGTAAAACGCATAAAAAGGGGGTTTTCAGGATCGAACCAGGTGAGCACAGTGAAATTACAAGTGACATATCTACAAAATGTGATGACATCAGTGATGAAGAGTCTCCTGATAAAGCTGACAAGGACAACATACACAATGAGACAGCTAACGGACAATTTGACAAAATTCCAAAAAACAATATGTGTTCAAATAAGAAACAAGAATACACAAAACCAAAAGTGATTGAAAATATAAATAATACTTGCAGCGTTACAGTGGTCAGAGAGGGAAAGGGGCGATCAAAATTTATCGGAAGTAGAAAGAAACGTGTAAAAAGCAAGGCAAGGTTGGAAAGAAGAATCACTGTCATGGCAACAGTCAAAACTGTTTCTTCCATTGCTTGTTTTGTGCCTTTTTACGTGTCAATGATGGTAGTAAGCCCTAAACTAAACGGAGATGGCCTTTTGCTTGGTGTTGGAATCATTTTAGCTAGGCGATCTTTCATGTTAAACAGTGCTATAAATCCCATAATAATGATAATTTTCAATGATGCATTTAGACAATATTTGAAGGAAATGTGTCGTAAATTGTTCTCAAAATGTCGTAAGTTATTTTAAATGAATTATCTAACTTTCATAAAAAGGTTTCTTGCCATTGACAGTGATTGATATTTGATCATTTTAAGCAAATAATAATGTGCTTTTTTAGTATTGAAGTACTTTAATAGCATAATAATTTAATACTTCAAATGCACTCCGAATATATTTATCTCGGTCTTTAGAATTTGATTAAGGTTCAGCAAACATAGTCAGCTTGTAATTTCATAATATAATTGCTTCTGTTTGTAAAAAAATACATGAGAGTATGAAAAGTATATGTAATGATAAGCCCGGGCCACATGCCTGTTTAACGTATATCATAATTAATTTAATCTTAGTTATATGTAAATATTATTTCGCTATATATTAAGTGCTTTCATATTCCTACTAACTTACTTAAATATAAATGAACTAACATTCTAAAATGTTTTAATTTTCCCTTAAAAAATGTAAGTGAACATTTTTGTTAATATGAAAAAGATTTGCATATTATTCGGCCTGTCGCTATAGAAGATATATTTTTTTTTTCAAAAACAGTCGGACAAAAGAATAAAACACCCGACCCTTAGAAATCAAGTTGGATAGTTTTACTGATTTCTTGTTCTTACCTTGATAAGCTTTATAGAAACACCAGTTGATTCCAAACTAAACGTTGATTCAGTGCATATCATAGTGTGGCATTTTCATGTAATTTAAAAGTGAAATTCGTCATCTAGATCGCCACATTATTCTCATTTCTCAAGAATAACAAGATACTCAAAAGTCATTCCAATTTTATTAACTTAAAAATATACATTTGCATGAAGTTAACTTGAATATTTATGCGTGTTTTTTTTTTAATCCAAGAATACCAGTCAATTGTAAAAGAATATATTATCTATATTACTAAGTACACAAGTCATAAATCTTAAACATTTATATTTACTTTGAAGCATGTAACCTGTACGTGTAATTATCATATAAACACATCAGCAAAACTTGGTCTCTGACCTCTGTCTAGTTGTTTAAGAGTTTAAGTATCTAAGCAGTTGTTCTATACAAATATTTTATTAAATGCTATATTGACCGCTTCCTGTTTTTTCCTTTAAAGGTACATCAAAACAGGTTTATGACTCTATCAGAAATTTGATTATACTTATACGTTAAATGTACAGTTATAAGCAGAAGTTTCGACGATCGTTATCACTTGGCAAATATTAAGAATACAACATAAATATCAGTGCCAAAACATTCGCAATAGACACAGTATTGCCAGCAATACTGTAGTGAAAAGGGGCGTGGCAGTCCTACCAGCGTTGATGTCCTCATCCAAAGTCTCCTTCAAAAGTTCACGGTCGCACGAATCCAGCCGGGCGAACAACGGGGAAAGGTCTAGTTGACCTCTTGCCGTTCTTCTCATAACGCTTCTCATGAAGTCACCGACGTCTCCGGAGAAACACGGCTGCTGCTTAAGTTCTCTTACATAGTTCAAACACTCTATTCGGCATTCTTCTGGCACACAAAGTGCATTCACCGTCATGGTAATGTTCACTGTATCAGGATCCCTTTAAGAAAGATATATGAAAATTGTATAATAAAATATAAGTTTCATTTAAACGTATGTTTAGTTCAATTATGATTGAAAAGGAAAGGTTGTGATAAAACTGCTACTCGAGTCGACTTTTTGGACAAAGAGTGACTGGTGTTATACCGTGTCATATGAGGAAGACATAGTCATGTCAAAGGATAGTTAGAACACAAAACCTATTAGGTATTAGGTACACGCGTAAAGGTAGTATTGCCAATGCACGCTCATTATCCTTTCTATTTCTGTTTTGGTGTTGGTCAAAAAATTTAAACTACGCCAACAGTATTACAAAACTGTTGGTCCATAAGTTAATGTGTTTGTCAATAAACGATAAACTCTTTGTTTCTGGTCTAATAAGACCATCCTACATTTCCAGATATGACACCAGAATAGGTTATTGTAAAGATATTTTAAATATCTAAACCATCTGGCGTGTAAGCCGATATCGTCATGCATTAAAGTCTTACTTGATTGTTGGCACATGGGCTGGTTATTATAAAGGTATTTTAGGAGCATTCTCTTTATGAGTAAGGTTTTTTTTCAGAATCAGGGAAACAGGAAACGCAAGTATTAATGAAAGGCGAATCACTTCCTTATATAATTATATAAAAGGACCCACACAGATTACTCATTGCGTAGTAATTTATTATGTATTTCACAAGAGTCAAACATATTACAAAGCTAAAATGATATTCAACTTAAGCGTGGTAAAATAGGTCGACAAGAAATGATAATGTAATATCTTACGCAAGGTTCAATATTTTACGTCTGTTACATCCACGGATCACATCTTGTCTCGTTTCACAATGGCTTAAACTTTTCCAGGACACACATTCTACAAAAGAACAACGTTCGCTGTCAAAAGTTTAAAGGATACATTGACCGAATAATTTCACTGATAAGCCGAGAAGTCCTGTCAGCTGCTAAACATCAAATAAGAATCTTTAAAAAGAAACAACAGAAAATAAATACGTTATAAACAGTATGTGGTCATGAATCCATTGAAGGAAAATTTCAGCACTTTTTTTTTGTCATGTTTATTAAATCTAAAACGATTTCGGAAAGATACAGGGAATGCGGATATAATTCTGTATCTTTCGAAACACCTTTGCTACGAACACAATTTGGTAGAAGGCCTTATTCTACTCAGTTTGATCTGAGAAGTCGCGATTTCTTAAAATGTTCACGTTCATTTAAGTAACTTACGGCCAGACTGGAAATTCTCTTTTGGGTAGTAGGTAAAGAATGCAAGACACATCTCGTCTGAGGTTGCTTCTCCAAATCTAGTTACTTGTGACTTTGTTTCAGACGAAAAAACACACGTGGTTTTCAGCTCATCGCCCTTTTGTATCATCACCGGATCCTTATGACTGCAAGTGAAATCGATACATTTTTAAATCTGAACATTGTAATTCTATTAAGATTGTTTTATACATTTTAATGTATGCCAATCATGACAAAATATAGCTTAACCTTAATATAAAGAGACTAAATACAGCGTTACCTTATACCACATGGTGGCTTTAACCTGAACAAAATACACATGTGCAATGCTAAAAAGCATCTTTAAATAGCAGCTATGAAACTACTATTTACTAAGTATTCAATATTTCAAGACAACAACCAAAATTTATCTAGGGTTAACATGTTCTTAATTCTACAATTACCTCCCATGGCCAGTGTCAATTAAACCAAATTTTGCAATTTTCATATTATGAAAATTGCAAAATTTGGTTTAATTGACACAGTTCATGGGAGGTTATTGTATTATGATTTTATTTGTATCCATTGCTTTCTACACTGTTCTAGGGCTAAGCTGTTTACCAGATGACATTTTAATAACTTCTCCATTAAGTAAACAAGTCAATCAAATTAAATATTCAAACTTCAACGTGCACAAACAACATCGAATACAGAAAAAATATGCCTATCATATTCAAATATTTTAAGTCTGATTGTAAGTTCAGTATTTTTAAAGGAAACTTACTCATGAGAAACAGGCGTGTTGTAGTCATAAACCTTGTCCTCGGCAAGATGCATCACAAACGAATTGTTTCTTCGTAGCTCTGTAAACTGTGCTGCACCTAAGGTTTAACGGGATATCAGTCAGTACATGTATTTTGCTTTTTTACTTTTTTTCTTATTTATAACCTCAATCACTCTAAAAATATTTCCCAATGAATAGTGCTCACTAATCAATACTTTTATGTTTTACTTACTGATCCTTGAACATTAACCACCATCACCATTTCATGAATATCAATCACTCCAGTTTACACACTCCAAAACTGTTACTATTTGAACACCGCTTATTCCGTAAGCACTGCTCACAGAATACTCCTTACTTCGCAATCATTATAACCTGAATACAACTCACATCAAGAACATTACCTTCTACTTCCCAAATGAAAAGTTTCCACCCATCAATCCATATTATACGAACATGACTCACTGAGCTTTTCACAATCCATGAACATTTACCATTGAATACTTTTTCACTTTTGCAATAGTCACTGACCTCTACCTTCTACAAAACTCTGTTTTCATGGGCTTTTTTAATCACTCCATGAACATATGAATATAAATTAATCCCAAAAAAACTCATTGAACATTACTCTTTGCTCACTTTTTTATGAATACATGTCAAAAATGAAACAATGGCATTGAAAACCCTTACGTTTTAACTACAACAACTCGAAAATAAGATATTCTAAAATTCATCTCCTATTGAATTACTGTATAATTTACTAAATTGTAAACAATGAATGTAGATTTAAAAAAAGATAATAAAAGTTGGTATACTTACCAAGAAGGTGCATGTGATTGATAACTTTTGTGACGTATATGGTACCATTCATCATTTGCGACAGACAACTTCCGCCACAGGAACCGGAAGCTACGTACTGCGACTCTCCAGGGGGGATTTCAAGGTGGAACTGACCAGTCATTAGGAAGCCGGCGTTGTGGGGGCGGAGCTTCGGGGTCAAGTGTAAGGTCATGCCAGAACTGTCTTTATAGTTGGATACTTTTTGAGGGTTGTTCCAATGATGCTGCAAAATGATGTTTACATCATATTTATAATGTTTAGCTGGTTGAAAATAGAATCAGCATTACATACTAAGAATTGAATGTCTTTCATGGCAGCATATAAAATAGTTCTGTGACATATTAGTAGATTTTTTTCTGAAATATTGGCAATTAAAACCATTCCCCTCACCGCTGTGGGTTCGAATCCCGACAAGGACTTTTGATTCTTTCATGTGAGGAAGCTATCCAGCTAGCTTACGGAACGTCAATGCTTCTACTCAGGTGCCCGTTCTTGTCTGAAATAATGCACGGAAGGGCACCTGAGGTCTTCATCCCCAAGAAAAAAATTAAAACCATTCATTAAGAGCAGACTAGAAATATGATATCACAACTACTACTGGCCTCGAGCATACACAACTTTTATCTGAGTTCTGTCTGAAATCTCAGGATTTCCATTGGTCAGTGTACAGTCTGTTGCTGATGAAATATCTGAATTTCGAACCTAGTTCAGCGCTTCGAAAGGTTTACAAAGGTCAATCGGTTAATGCGCGTTCATCAGTATAGACATTCGGGAAAAAAAATGTTTCCTCAACGATTGGTCAATAATGGCTGATTCGTAATGAAAAATGACAATTGGCATATGATCAGTAGCGACACTATTATAACAATTTATTTTTGCGAGTGCTTAACAATTAAACGCATGCGTAAAATTGAACAAATGCGTGGTCGAGACTTGGTCATGAAAACTTTGCTACAATAATTATTCTGATATAGAATATAAAAGCTTTCAAATACTGACTTATGTCCATTAAGCAAACAAAAACTTGTTTACAGTAATCACGCACCTGCATCACGGCATATTTGAGCCCTTTATTTGCCCCTACAAGATACCCAGCGTTTTGGTTTTGGCAAGTCCCTATACCGCCAATGGACCATACAGCAATAAGTTCCCGACAACCATCCATTGTTCCGCCACATTCCACCGGCGTCATAAGTTCCCTTGGGGCCTCATTAACTGTAAAACAATTATGTACAAAATCGTGAAATTTCATGAAAATTCGACAAATATCGTGATTTTCCTTTATTTAGTGATATCTTCTACAATCGGTACTTTGGATAAAATACATTTAAATACATCATGGTACTTGGCTAAGCTGGTCGATTTAAAACGTAGAATACTTCTTTGAATACATTCATAAAGAAAATCTAATGTACAGAGGTATCTTGATTATAAAAAAGATAAACAAATGTACGATTCTTTTGTATATGCCATTATTGGAGAGGTTGGAGAGGTCCTCAGACCACTCCACAGTGTGAATAATTATTGATGGCACAATCAATTTTCGCATATAAAAATAAAAGTTATGAATCTCATTTAAAACAGCATGCCTCCATATTCATGCTAATTTTCATGAAAATTTTGAAAATGTATTTACAAGTAAAATATTGTGAAGTGAACAAAAAAAATTAGTCTACACATTGCAAACGGCACTAACAATCCACGTAAATTACCAAAAAAGGTCAAAATATTTATCAATTTCTTTTACTGCGTTAGTAACGCAGTAGAATTATAGTGATTGATGCTGCAAGATCAGTCATTTATCGCACATAACATGTTAATAATTAACTGAATATTGAATCTTTTTACTTTTCATAGAATCTTAATACATTTTGCTAAAGATTGAATTTCTTGAAATATTTTGGCTCATCTGGAGGCGTGCAGCTTTAAAACCTAATATCAATAGGACCAGTCTACAAAAAATTGTTACACGCATGCTCCGCGTCACAATACGAATTTACTTAAACGAAAAATTAAACTCGAGTTGAGGTCATTTACGTTACATTCTTCACTGCATACCGTGGTTTATTCCATTACAATCCAAAAAAAAATATATCAATTGGTTATTGTTTACTAAACTGTGTTTTATTTTTTTTTATTTCAAACCAATAAACTATATAAATTCGTTATTGTTTACTGAACTGCGCTTCATTTTTTTATGTTTCGAAAAACAGTAACAGTAAACTCTATAGCTACGTCGCAAAGCACTATAAAATGACCGAGTGAACCGTGTTAAACGAGGTTGTGCTGCTCTTTTAACTTCGGAACGCTTCGCTGGCTATCCTAGATAGAGACTGGCAAAAATAGCCGATGACAAAACTTTTCTACCTATTCATTAAACATTTTTCAAATAAAACAAATCTTTCAAGGGTGCAAAAGACCTCTCGCATACTTCCTTTCAAAGAAGTAACTTGTAATTTTACAGTCATTGTTCTGTGTAAACTTAGCTGAAATAATTGAACTGTAGTCGAGTGCAAAAAAAAATATTATATGTTATTTTGGTTTTGGAGTGATATATATGTATATATTACCTGTCAAGATTTTATATCACCCGAGCCGTCATATATCACTCCAAAACCAAAACAAGATATGTTTGTAAAAAATGTATGCCCCCTATCGTCAGCCAATTAGTCATGTGATCAGGTTATTATGCATGACTTCTGACCCAGTGAACAAACAATTAATAAGGGTTATCTATTATCTACTGGTCATGACTAGTCACAAGGTAATAATTATTGTGACCCCATAGGTTTTGTGCAGCAATTTAAGTTATTACAAACCTTTCTAAATAATATATGCATAAATTTTATGAATCATGTAGGCCTCATTTATGACAGCCAAGTTGTTATATTACATAAGACCTTCAAATGTGTATACCAAAAGCATTTTTAGTTTAATATAAAAATATCAACCAAGGCAACTTGAGTTGTTGAGTTATTGGTCAGAAACCGTCATTAAGTACACGGTCAATATGACATTGACCCCTTGACCCCAAAATCAATAGGGGTCATCTACTGGTCATGACCAATCATCATACAAAATTGAAGTTCCTAGGCCTAAGCGTTCTTAAGTTATTGAACAGAAACCGTTTTTACTTACAAGGTCAATGTGACCTTGACCTTTGACCCCTTGATCCTAAAATCAATAGGGATCATCTGCTGGTCACGACCAATCACCATACCAAGTTTGAAGTTCCTAGGCCTAAGCGTTCTTTAGTTATTGATCAGAAGCCTTTTTTACTTACAATGTCAATGTGACATTGACCTTTGGCACCTTGACCCAAAACTCAATAGGGGTCATCTGCTGGTCACGACCAATCATCATACCAAGTTTGAAGTTCTTAGGCTTAAGGGTTCTTTAGTTATTGATCGGAAACCGTTTTTACCTAAAAGGTCAATGTGACCTTGACCTTTGACCCCTTGACCCCAAAATCAATAGGGGTCTTTTACTGATCATGACTAATCACCATACCAAGTTTGAAGTTCCTAGGCCTAAGGTTTCTTTAGTTATTGATCGGAAACCGTTTTTACCCAAGAAGTCAATGTGACCTTGACCTTTGACCCCTTGACCCCAAAATCAATAGGGGTCATCTACTGATCATGACCAATCACCATACCAAGTTTGAAGTTCGTAGGCCTTAAGGTTCTTTAGTTATTGATTGGAAACCGTTTTTGCTTACAAGGTCAATATGACCTTGACCTTTGACCCCTTGACCCCAAAATCAATAGGAGTCATTTACTGGTCATGACCAATCACCATACCAAGTTTGAAGTTCCTATGCCTAAGGGTTCTTTTTAGTTATCACTCGGAAACCATTTGGTCTACGGACCGACGGACCGACGGACGGGACGGACCGACAAGTGCAAAGCAATATACCCCCTCTTCTTCGAAGTGGGGGCATAATAATAATTTATTACCCTTCCCCTGTCAAGTCAAGACAATTTTAAAACAAATCATTGTTACTTTTAAAGAAACGTCGAAATAAGATTCCCTGTAGGGTACCCCTTCACCACAACATGATGTAACATAAATACAAAACTCCTATCTCCTACGCAGTGATCTCCCCTTACAGCAGTCAAAACATTTTCGTCAAGATTTTTGACGATATGATTTTTTTCAATTTTTATATTTATTTTTAAAAGTAAACATGGTTTTGATAATGTTTCAAGACTATAATGTATTAGAGGTAAACTAAAATAAAAAATAATTTCGAAAACTTAAATATTATCAATATTATGAGATTTTTTTAATAATGCACCGTTTCATTCCAAAACAATGACCGCTTTTGAAAAAGATATTTTTAAAGAAATTTATTTTTCATTATTTTGTATACTTTTGATAATTTTTTGAGAAAATAGAACGGACAAAAAGTTAAAAATAAAACAGAAAGAGAAAAATGACGTTAGATTTTCTATGTAACGGTCGATATTTACATTTGAATTTCGACGTTACGTCATGTGACATTTATCATCATGTGACGTCTTTACAATTCTGCCAAGGGAGGTAATCAATGTGAGGAGTTTGACCAAACTCCTCACAGTGATTACTTCCCTTGGCAGGTAGGCCGAAGAATTAAGGGGAGATCACTGTGTACTATGGTTCATTAATTTTTCAAATTTTAAAGCACTTGGACGTTCATAGAAATATTTATCAAGATACAGCTTTTTTGTATTAACTAAATGTGAACATTCAAAAAGATAATTAAATTCGTCGCCTAAAGAGTTACTGGTACATAGGTTACAAGTTCTAAGTTCTCTTGGAATATCATCAAACCTTCCATTTTCAATAGGAAGTTTGTGATTCAAACTTCTAAATTAAAAGAGAATTAAAGCTAAATTCATAGGTAACTTGCTGAGGTATGGCTCAAAACAAAAATCCTGTTTATAAATCCTGTAATTTAGACATTTACTGGAATTATTAATTGTACTTTTCCAATTTTGCATCAAATGATCACGCAGTCTTAGGTTGACAGTATTCTTGAATGAAGCAGGAGATTCCACATTTTTATTTATCCAAAAATGCGACAATCCAAGATCATTTAAATTATTTCGAACAAAACAGACCCAATCTGATTTAATATTATTCAGAGTATATAAATTATGACTTGTTCTATATAGAATGCTGATTATCTTATCATGTTTAGAATTAACTATTTTACCCGAGTAATTTAGAACTCTACTTTTAATTTGTGTTGAAAGTGGGGTAATACCCAACTCCCAATAAATCATAACATTTGGAGTACTCTGTTTTAACTGTAGAATTATCTTTAGGCATTTTAATTGAATTTATCCACAACACTCACATCTTCAACACCCCAAACTTCACACCCATACAACAAAATGGGTGCTATCATTGTATCAAACAAGTGTAATTGCATATCTATTGGTAAATTAAGTATCCTAGATTTCCTAATTACAGAAAACATGGCTTTACGGGCTTGATCAATAAGGAATGTTTAAGTTCTGCTGAATTTACCATTAAATGGAAATTGGACACACAAGTATGAGAAATGCTCAACAATTTCAAGAACAGTCCCCTCATAGTGAAAGTTAGGCATATTACGCAAACCTCCTTTGGTTTTCCCAAATATCATAACTTTGGTTTTATTTTGTATTTACTTCAAGATTCCAAACCTTAAAGTAGTCAGACATATCGTTTAATGCTAACTGAAGCTGCTGAGAGCTCTCTGGCAATATAACAGTGTCATCCGCGTATAATATTAAATACAGTTTAAGATAAACTTCCATTTCATCATCACTTAACATATCATTTATATGTTCTTTTAGAAACTGCAAACCTTCATATTTATCAGACATAAAATTATTTAGATCATTCAAGAAAAGAGAAAACAATATTGGAGATAAGTTTTCACCTTGTCTTACTCCAGTATGACTAGTGAAAAAAAATCTGAAATTGCATTATTCGAACTAACACATGACTTAGCTTTGTCATACATATTGTGTATTATTTTAAAGCATTTCCCATCAATATTGTAACTTAATAATTTATGCCACAGGGCAGTGCGATTTACAGAATCAAAAGCCTTGCGATAATCTACAAATGCACAATACAATTTTTTTTCCATGTGCTAGATATATGTCCACTAGAAGTTTTAATGAAAATATGTGATCAACAGTACTATAATGCTTCCTGAAACCTGCTTGTTTTTCACATAGAATGTTGTTTGATTCCAAGAAGTCATTTAATCTGTTATTAAGTACCGAAGTGAACAGTTTTCCAAAGCATCTGAGTATTGTTATGCCCCTGTAATTATCCGGATCATTAACATCCCATTTATTTTTATACAATGGTATGATAACTCCCTTGCTCCACACATCCGGAAAGATACAAGAGTCTAATATAATGTTAAAAAATAGTTTAAGTACAGACAGCAGAATATCAGGAGCATTTTAAGATACTTATTAATAAAATTATCAAATATAGATGGAGATTGCATAAAATAATTAATACATGACGTCTTTCGAACCCAACGAATGTAAACAAGAGAGAAGGAGTAGTCTGTTGAAAGCACCTTTTTGGAATTAATATCAAGCTTTCACAAGGTCATATTCAATACTGATGAGAATATATATCATTACTCTATTTTGGTAAATATTTATCATTTGACAGTTAAAAGTGCTTGTTAATCGGAATATCAAACCGTACGCGCATCGCTACAGCGCATGTTGTTTACAACGTGGGGTACCCAACGGGGAAAGTTAGTGTCTGGATCGTTGATATCAATTTCTTTCGGGTGATCAATATCCAATCAAAAAGGCGGAAAAGATCTGGAAGGCTAATATATTCATATATTAGATACGGGAAACTGTTGGTATTACTGTTAGTACCCTGAATCTTCTCTTGAATAAGTATTTACCTCGCGCTTGCCACACCCAAGCATGCACATTTTTTGACTTTAACTTTCAATTTTCCTCTAAAACAATTGTAAATGACTGTACAACCCACTAGACCTGAGAATGTTTATAGAAAAGTAAACAATCATTAAAAAATGTTTGACCTCCCTCGCACCCATACACTAATGTATGATGCATGATGTCGGCGTTGTCTATCACGGGCTCCGTTGCAACTAGATGGTACTCCTTGTCCATGGGCAGCTCAAACGTAATACACATGTACGTGGTCTCTTTGTTTGGCACTTCCGTTTCCGGGAATCGAACCGTAATGTTAAAAGTGTCTGTAAAATATGAAGTGTGATCAATTATAGTGAAAAGCAGGTACAATAAGTACAAAAGTAATTTTAAAGGGCGTATTGCATGTCTTTTCAGTTTTCGGTGTTTTTTTTTTTCTTTTTTTTTTTAAATGTAAACCATCATGATGATAAAAAAAAGATTGAAAAAGCAAAAAAAGCAAAAAAAACAAAAACAAAAACAAAAAAAACAAACAAAAACAAACAAACAAACTGGAAAGCGGCGAAGCTTGGTTTAAATATGCGTGTACAGCAAATGTCTGAGGATGGCGTGTCTAAGGGCATCTTCTGAAATCTTTGTTGTTTTTGTTCGTTTGTTTGTTGTTGTTGTTGTTTTGTTTTTCAATAAAAATGAATGCATAAATTTTATCGTTTAATTATAATGTAAATAATCTTTTGCTGTACATAACTTACATATTCGGATTGACTCGTATTGGACTACACATACATCTTTAATGCTTTATTACAACATATAGAATCTTTAAGCTTCTACATATTAAAAGTTTCAGTGACTAGTAATGTAAAGTTATTTGGTAAAATTGACTTCAGTGGTGTTTCAAATTTACATTTTGAGGGAGTTCCTGTCAAATTAATATGTATGATTCATTGAGCTGGCTTGGAAATTAGCTCTTCATCAAAACACTCAGCCTATAGAAGGCCACAATCCTGCATAGTTTACGGATACACTTGGAAATAAGTAATAGAAAGAGCATCGAAACACGAGGCTATCTGATGTTATACAGGTCATACGTAATCAGATTGCCGAGTGTTTTGATGTTCTTTCTTTTTTGTATCATAGTAAGAATAGAACAGGCTCCCTGCTGTCAAAATATGAAACCCAAGGAAAAAGTTACCAATGAACGAGCATCTGAATATGGTATTTCTATCGTTTTTCCCTTCTCTGTCGTCATTATAAATAAACCCCTGAAAAAAATGAGTCATACGATGGGCATGCTATGGAGTGCTGGTAACTAATACCTGTACTCCAGTTAACGCACTGTGCATGTATATGTATACGATTTAACTCTGACACATTTCCCCAAATTATGATACAATATGATGTTACATAAAGAGTGGGGTATATCTTGCGAAATTGGGTCTAATTCGTAATCTAGACCAACCTTTTAATCTTAAGTTACATTATTTTCCTTGCTTGGTTTTATAGATATTGGACATGCGCGTCTAGAATTATAAGGGTTTTATCTTGAGCAATAACAATCAATAACAATCATATTTCTTTTTGTTTGCAATGAAAATATACGCCTTCTTGGTTTAACAAGAAATGTCAAGAATGTCAAAAACCCTTAATCCAAAAACATTTTTTTCCCTTCTTTTTTCTTTAAACATTCTTTGATCATTTTAAAAAGGAAAGATTTGAAGAAGCATATTGAATAATTAATGTTTTAAAGGAATCCAGTTTTCTGAGTTCTGTAGATTGAACATAAATCGATATGCTTTGAGTGATGTTTGTTTTCATTTGATATATATTCCTGTCATATTATGATTATTTCATATCATTTACATATGTATGTACAATGCAATATTTTACGCTTTTTTTTACAAAATCTATATAATTATTTTATTTTCGGATAATTTATCTTTTCTTTATAACGCGTTTTCTTTCATCCTTTCTTTCTTCATTACTTCTTTTTAAATTCAAGTTTTCTCAGTATTGCTAATATGCTTAATGTATTTCAAATACAACAGAATTGATGCATATCTTTTTACATTTATTTAGAAAATGCGGAAAGGGCCAACTCTACCCTTTTACTTTAAAAAAAAAACAACAACTTCTGCATCCGTGTAAATATTGTAAATTTATTCGGAAATTTCTTGCCTTATGTTTGCATGTGACATTGTTTCTGCACTGTATAGAAAGAATAAAAAGAAAAGCAAAAAGGCAATCAAATATTACGAAGTTAACCAAAACTAAACTAAATTCCTTTCGATATATCCAACGATGACGTTTACTTCGAAAGTGCAGTCATATTCTTTCCGGGATGACTGCAATCTCCTATGCAGCGATCTCCCCCATTACAATCTGACAAGGGAGGTAATCACTGTTGGATGACTGGTGTACCCGATTGACGTTCATTTGTACGTTGTTGGTTGTTTTTGTTGTTGTTTTTTTGTGTTTTTTTTTTCGAAATTAACTAACAATTCTTTCATTACTGTAAATGGTTTCAAACTTATATAAAATGGAAAAGGCAGTTTGCATATATGCTTATGAGTTGAATATTATTTCTTGCTTGTTTTTTTACTTTACCTGGCTCTTTTATAGAGTCGCACTCCAGCCGCCCAGTATCTTCACAGTTCACAAATGAAGGTTTTCCGCCGCAAAGTGGACTATCAAACGGCTCACATATCCCTAAAAGACAAAAATAAATCTTTTAAAGTCTATCGGAGTGTCTTTAAAAAAAAGAATATAAAAAAACTCAAACAATAAATAATTTATTAAAACCCATCATGTTCTATATATATGTAGTAACCCGTTTTGTGTACATACGCGATAATAAACAAAAACATCGTAAAGATAGCATCACATTTGGTTCATTTAAGATACTTTGTTTCTATTTACCAGACAATAATCGTGACGTTTATATAGTTTTATATACACGGCTGCTGTCGATTTATAAAGGAAACTCGCTTTATTCCTCTAAAAATGATGCTTGCTGTATTATAAATTCGTTATAAATTTTTCTGACATGTTATATGGCCGTATATTAACGGTTGTTTGCAATATAACCCGAGCCGCTATATGCAAAACTATATGCAAAACCGTTAATATAGGGCTATATTCACCTGTCCAAAATCATTATAATTAATAATATAATCCATAAAGGGATTTTACCTGGATGTGACAAGTTTTCTGTAGTTTTCGGTTGCGTGCCTGGGGTCCACGTGCAATCTGGGTCACCTAATTCCTGTCCATTAGTTAACCCGTCACCGTCTGAATCCTTGTTGCAGAGTTCAGTGTTCCATACCTAATTAAAAAAAAAACATTGCCTTATACAAATACATGTATATTTATTGGTGCTAACAACAAAAAATAATTAATCATGCCAACAGAGTTTAAAAGATTTCAATATCTAAAGGACCTTTAAAAAAAACAACAAAAAAAAAACTTTTCCCTTTTTTATAAATGTATGTTTTTTTCTGTATCTATTTCCCCATTGACCATATTATATTATTATTAGTATAAAGATTTTTTAACATGTCATCTGGTCCTATATAAACGATTGATTGCATATTTTTTTTGTAAACAACAGTTTTATATATGGCCATATAACCTGTTAAAATCTTTATAACGAGTTTACAAGACAGCAAACTTCCTTTAAAGAGAAAAAAGTGAGATTTCTTCTTACAATGGGAAAAGCAGTGTATATTATTAGTTATAAAGATCGTTGACAGGTTATATGGCCCTATATAAACGTTTATATAGTTTTTTTAACAATACTGCACGTTTGTAACGTCATTTCATTGGATAATCGTGACGTTTATATAGTTTTATATACACGGCTGCTGTCGATTCATGAAGAAATCTTACTTTTTACTTTAAAAATGATGCTTGCTGCATAACGACTCGGGTTATATTTACAAATAGCCGTTTATATAGGGCCATATAACCTGTCAACGATCTATATAATTAATAATATAAACGTCACGATTGTCCAATTGAAAGCGATGTTTCAAACGTGCAATATTATAAATATGTATATAGCTCATAGACACTTGTTTGAGTGAGAAAGTATATCTATTTAAACAGAAACTGAATATCTGAGCAATGTAACTAGAAAGTTAAAGAACTATCCGTACATCTTATTTTAGTGCTATTTTTAGAATGGCAAGAACTATCCTTCACATTTATTTAGAACTATCCTTAACATTTAATAAACTATCCTTTACAATTTATTTGAGAACGGCCAATAACATCCCAAGATTTTAGTTGGTAATAATCAAATAACCAATGAAAACTCTCCTTTAATTAATTTCTTCCCTGTAAATTTTACAGGAAGTCAAACTAATTTTAGATAGCCTTCGGTCGAACAGTTAAAGCATCATAAACACAGGTTTTCCTTTTCCTGCTAGAAAATTATTTACTTTATGAGGTTTAATGTGGCTTTGAATTCATAACTTATAAGCCATTGTTGTTGTCAGTTAATAGTTTTATAATAGTGAATCAGACTACAATTGGGGAGTTTTTCTTAAATGTTTCAAATATTTATAAAAACTATAGAAATCAGTCATTTGGAAATACTTGTATTATATTTATTTCAAAGGGCTTTTAGAATGATCATTTCATATGATGAATAATTATATTTTGTTCTAGAACAATTTATTATCTGTTGTAAAAAAACATTGAAACTTTTGAAATGTTTCCTCACAAGATAATTATTTCATGGTATGTTATCACATATGATAATATATACTATCAACATAATAATTTATGGTATTGACACATATATTTCAGTATGGATTAACTTATTTTACCGAGATTTAAATACAAACAAAAAATAAATAGATAAACAAACAGAAACACAAATTTTGTACAAATCAGACAAAAAGTAAAGAATAAAAACCTTGCTGTTTTTCTCAAAGTCCAGTCCAAAACTGTTCCGTATTCCAGACCCTTTATAATTCTCGTGGCCGACACCTTCCCAGTAGAGTCCCTTGATACACGGGTGTGGCACTTTATTGCCATTTGGAATGCTTTCCTTGAAGTACGGGTAGCCCGTGCATGCCGAGACCAAAATGCACAAAATAATTACGCTGAAACACCGGATCCTGTGTCCAAAAAATTTACTGAGCATTTCAAATCTAGTAACAAAATTAGGAAAAAATACCTTATGATTTACTGAAACATATATAACGAAAGAAAAGTGTCTAAATTAGCCTACAACTGATCATGATGGTACAAATAATGAACGCTAAAAGCGATAGTAATTGTATACATGTGTTGCTATTTAGTTATAAGAACACAGGAAATCTGCGTGAAGCTTTGAACTTATTGAAAAATACGCATTTAACCATACACTATAACAGGAAAGGAGATCGGGAAGTTTAAATTATTCAAGTGCCCCTGTCATTATTTAGGACATTTCTACCTCTTACAAAACGAAATTGTATACCCTTCAATTATTTCTACCGATGAAACTTTGTATTATAACCGTCCTTGTCTATTATTTCTTTTGGCGAAGAAGGTTTAAGATTTAGTAACGTAAACGCAAAAAAGAGAAAATAAACATTCTTATCTTCATAAACATGTCAGCGCAAGTTTTAAAAAGATAATAATAATTAAAAAAACCAGTCCCATTAAAATGTATGGGTTTTGAGAAAAAACACAGGGAAAATTAAAGATAAGAATATTACATTATCAGAATATATTAATGATTTTGTTTGTAACCGTATTTAGAACTTAATAATGTGAGGCCTTTTAGGCATTTACAATGATCCGAAACTGAGTATAGTTTAAAACAGCTTTGCTTTAACTTGTTAAAGTAAAAAGAAAGAAAGGAAGAAAGAAAGAAAGAATTAAAGAAAGAAAGAAAGAAAGAAAGAAATGTTAAATAATTCACGTATAAAATATGTCTCTAAAAATAAATTACGGAACTAAAATACAAGTACATTAGACACTCATATTTTATATTATTACATAATTTTTCACATAGTATATGTATAGCTTTTATTCAAATATAAATATTAAAGTTAACTTAGATCAATATTTTACCTCATATTAAATAAAATCCAAATATAAGTGCACTGTCCGAAAGTAATCTAAAATTTCAACATTTATCGCTATTATTGGGGTTTTATAACAACATCTACCGGACAAAAACCTTGAAGCATATCGAAGTCAGTGAAACGTAACACAAATTTGCGGGTGAAGAAAAAGAAGATGCCATTTAAACATAAGGGGCTTTTAAATCACAGTTATTTTTTAAGGCACATATTTTAACTATTGCAATTTATGCATTCATTACAAACACAGAAATATAAATTCTATGTACTTTTATTTCTATACCACGTTTCCCATTCATTTTCTTCACTTTAATTTCCTTTCAATTATAGTACGCGACTTATTTCTGTCTAACAATGAATGAAACTTTGTAAAACATTTGCTTTGGTAGTGAGCTACAGTAAACGCAAACTACAACATATTATTTACTTTATCATCGTACATTTTTTTATCATTTTTCATGTCACATTCTTTATTTATCACTTACCCGTGCCGCTTTTGATGTAACTTCATTACTGAATTTATTGAACTCGTTCAATACAATATTACTCAATTGAAACTCTTAATAAATTCAGTATGAAATTCACACTCATTTAATATCCTTAATCTAAATAAACGATACCTGACACATGTTTTTCGTATACATGGCCGATATGCAGGTCAGACTCTCGCATTGATTTTTCTATTAGATTCAAAATATTTTATTTGGTAACGTAAACATGACATTTCTTGGTTACATTATCCGACCTTGATATCGAGATTTTGTGCTAGAAATGTGATTTTTTCATGAGATTGAAACACCTGACACATAAAAATGACCTCGTTATACAGGGGAAGCCAAACATTTTTTTTTTTGCAAAATGACTTCAAAGAGGATAACCCCCCTCTTCATTGAGATTTTCTGCTGACACTTTTTAATAAATGTAAATATCCAAGTCACAAAATTATCATAGACTCTTGATAGACATGAAATATTCCATTTTCTTAAGAAAACATTATAGTATTACTTTCTAAATTAGTTTTCATTTTCATCCAATCACCTCATGTCCATTTGAATCTAACGGGTTTCCCTGCATTTTTTCGGCAATCGATGGTCATTGAACATTGTTACAATACGATAGTCTGACCTACACGCTTTTAATGAAATTTATTTTAATGTAAAAATTAAAAATAGATCTGAATTCAAAGAAGATGTCCCGACTTTTAGTTTTAAAATACCAAATGCCTTTACACAAGCACAAGTCTTCCCTTTCCGGTCAGTATTTCGCGTTCACAACGATTTTTATTCTGGATACTGCGTGAATGCGGCGTTGAAATGTTATAGAAATTGAGAAATTGTCGATTAAATTAAGTTTGAGACCATTGAAAGTTAGTTTATTGTACAATCTATTTCATAAATGTATTTTCAATCTTTCTTACTTTTACCTTTGTACGAAAAATGCCTTAAAACGAACTATTTTCAGGAAATAGGCATTATGATACCTCGAACACTATAAAAAAAAATCAAGATACTGCGTACACATTTATATGTTATTAATTCTGCCTACAATTTCTTCGAAACAGTCTTAGTTCATAAAAAGATCAAATGGATAACATTGGCAAACAAAATAATTACAATGAAAAAAGTAAATAGAAAATCAAAATTAAAAAAAAATAAGATTCAAATCCTGTGATAAAATTTGTCCCCTTAAAGAATTTGTTTTACGTGGGGTTGCAATTATAATAAAAGACTGTATGTAATTGTTTTTCCTTTTTGTGAAAACTGACTCATACGGGACAGGGTTTTATTTAACTTAGTCTATAGGCATACATATAAAGGTCTTTAAATGTCCAACATCATATTTTCCGCTAGCTTCTTCTACCAAAGATCAAAAGAAGTTATACTTTCTTAGGTTCGTAATTTCTTTGATTAAATATTCATTCGAAAGTATGTGAAAATGCTATGTCGCAAATTAATAATTTATTACTGCTATGTTCTGTTCAATTCAAAGTTTTCACAGATATAGTTTCTGATTGTATTATACATGCAACAAAAGAACTAATTCAATAACCGCGAAGCTTTAACCAGCGTCTGTTGCCGAATGGTTAAGGTCTTCTTAGTTTGCATGAAGTATGACTAACTAAAGCATATATACATTGTACGTCGTGATGTCGTGATTAAATACAGAGCTCTATTTTTACCCCGACTTGTCACGAATAACCAAAATGACTATTTAGACGACAGCGTTTATTTTACCACGGGGATACATAACATATTCTATATATTATAATTATGTATATCTTACATATCAGTTGTTACAAAATGTATGTCTGTACTGTATTTAAATGTTAAATATATATCAAAACTATTATCAGAGATGTAGATGTTATCTATGTCTCTGCTATTATTCAAGTGCATAAAGTTATATTGCTGTCCGCTATAGCTTATAAAATTGTTATTTGAATTCGGAAAAAAAAAAATTATTTCAAAATACCCGTATGTAATAAATATTTGTATACTTTTGAGCGAAAATCGCACGTGCAAAATCAGTCTTCAACGATTAGATTAAAAAAATAGATTTTGTTCTAGAACATTTAATTGTTTATGTACAATACTGATGTTTATTAAATGACACAGACACTCTAGGTTACAACCCTTGCACGTGCATAATCGGTCTTTATCGATAAGATTAGAAGAATAGAATTTGTTCCGGAGCATTAAATTGTTTATGTACAATATTGATGTTTATTAAATGACACAGACATTCTAGGTTACAACTGTTTAGAATCTGCCATATGATTATGAAAACGACATAATATTACCGTTTTTTTTAAACATATTTATTCTTAAAAGTATAAAGGAATAATTGTACAAATAAACAACAAACAATGTATGTACATTTACATAATGGAAAAGGATGAGAACAAAAGAATTATCTATAAAATTCTTCTACAATTTGTCAATTTGATAAAAAAAAACATTTCATTAGACACAGAACCGCCTCCGTTGTCGAGGGGTTACAGTCGATGACTTCTAATCCAGTTACCTCTCTGGCGTGGATTCGATCCCCGGGAGATGCTTTGGTAGTTTAGCGCGGAGGAAGATAGTCTAGTACTGGTGTAACTCTCCAGGAACGATGGTTAGGAAACTACCCGCCTATATGACTGAAATACTGGTAGAAAAAGGCGTAAAATGAAACAAACAAACAAATCATTAGACACAGTTTTTGTACACTTGAACTATACAACAATGATGCATGTGTAGATAATAAAAACATGCAAACGGAAAATGTACTTTATAATCATTAATAATGTACTCTTGTTTAAGCTACGTTGTTAAGCCAACACTTAGAGAGTCCTAGCTTTTTACCTTGCACCTACAACACGAAAAAAATATATTTTAAACAATCACAATGGAAAACTTATCTTAAAACTTTTGTTTTGTATCTTTTCCCTATAATATGTATTATGCTACTTGACCGGTCATGATCAACGACGAATGATCCTGGTTTTTAAACTTCAGTCAAGCGCGGCAAGGCGTTTTCATTCACACATACTTTTCCTATTGCACGAACAGTTAACTGTTTTTTTGTTTGCAAATGTTCATAGGAATTTACCGGGGATGACAACTAATGTAATACCAAACGTGCGACAGTATAACTCTTGAATATTTTAAACATTTTTCTTTTATATATTCAGTTCAACTTTACCTGTTTACAGCAGAAAATGGGCACAAGTTCAATTTAAGAAAATTCATTTCAGTTGTTGATCTTAGTTCGTTTTGTTTTGGGGGCCGAGTGGCTATCCATGTATTTAATAGTTAACAAACTATTATTCTTTTGTAAAGAAATTATCATATGCATTAAATCTTAACATGTATGCAGATGCATCTTTGAATTTAACCACCGATGTCTGACGACTGTAACATTACACCCATATTGCGTAAAAGAAAATATAAAATAGCTTAGTCATCTAGGTAAGCCAGCACATCAAAGCCTGACAGAATGTACATGATCGGTGAACCGTGACAGTGTTGTTACAGTTTAAGATGTAGGACTGTTATTGTCGTAGTTTAAGAGGTAGGACTATCATATTTGAAAATAATTGCCTATTTATACAAATGTTTTTCATGTGTATTATTTGTTTGTTTATTTGTTTCATGTTACGCCCTTTTCCAACAGTATTCAGTCATATAGGCGGGTAGTTTCCTAACCATCGTTCCTGGAGAGTTACACCAGTACTAGACTACCTTCCTCCGCGCTAAACTACCAAAGAATCTCCCGGGGATCGAACCCACGCCAGAGAGGTAACTGGATTAGAAGTCATCGACTCAAACCCCTCGACAACGGAGGCGGTTTCATGTGTATTAAGAAATCGCACGTTGCATTAAACGTGTCCGTCATCACCAAAGAATATCTTGATTCAGCCATTTTCATATTTAAACAGACTTAATATTAAAGAAAATAGACATTAGAAAAGAAGCGATAATGAAACTGTTTACATGAGAATATATTTGAACATGATAATTCATTTATATAAGATAATCTAGTTAAAGAAAATTTAAAGTCACACTACCCAAAATATGCTCATATACCCAAACGCTCAATATACTGTGCATGTTTTGTTTTTGCATCATTATTCATATTGGTTGTCTAAAATATGAACGATGTCTAAAATATGAACGATATTGCAAGCATGTAACTCTGTAAAATAATGGGTACATCCGGACGCTTTTTTCCTAAATAGTACGCAATTGTACGGTTGCCCGTGCACTGTCTAGATAAATCTTAAATTTGTTACATAATGCGACAATATGTTTCCCCTGAGCCATATGTGAAGTAAAAACCGGAACCAATTTGATTATTTCAAAAACTTACAATGTGGTTGTTTTTTGAACATCAATGTTCTGATCCTTTTATTGTATTTTCTGGAGATAATTCCGACAATGTTATCACACTGGGGTATTTAATTGCCACAAACGGAATGTACGTAATCTTCCTTCAAAGATTCAAAAAATGGGTTAAAAGCAGAAATGGCCGGGTTGCAGTTGTATAATCGAATCCCACAGTATGGAACCACTTGCAAATGCTGCATACCAAATATCAAGAGGCTGTGACAAGTAGTTGCTATGAAAACTTTTACGAAAATTTCCTACCATTGGCCATTAATGTCGAAAATTTAACCAAGTCGGTAAAAAGGAAGTGGATGAGCGACAGACCTGAAATCGAATCACAAGGTATGGGACCAGCTGTAAATGTAGTATGCCAAATTTGAAGAGGCTGTGATAAGTAGTTGCTGAGAAAACTGTCATGAAAATTTCCTGCCATTGACCAGGAAGTGGATGAGTGACAAACGTGAAAATGGAACGCTGTGTAAATGCTGTATGCCAAATTTAAAGAGGCTGTGATATATAGTTGCTGAGAAAAACTGTGACAACAAAAATTTCGGTGCAACCACGGATTTATATTACATATAAATCCGTGGTGCAACCTGCCAAAAAAAAGAGTTATTGTTTTGTCATCATCACACTCGCAGGCTTTGCGTTACTAACGTCACTCAGAAATGACGGTACAAGGCGAATCCGCCTACTGCTAAAGCGAAAAGGTGTGGTGCAATACAGGAAAATGTTCCACGAACTAGTATAATCTGTTTTTATAAGAAAATGGATTGACCTAAAACGTCCTGATTTTATCAAAAACATATGTCATTCAGATGTACTTCGAGCATTTATGTTTGAATCAAATCAAGTTTAAACAGAATATATCTTCCATATTCATAAAGAGTCAACAACATAAAATGAATTCCTTTTTTTATTTCCAGAAAAAATAATTACTAAGTTTTCCATCAAGATAAATTGACTGGTAAAATTAAACTTACAACATTCATTCATTCATTCATACTAAATGACACTAATTTTAATTCAGAGCAGTTGAATTTCCATGTTGTTCTCCGTTTTTGAAAATTTATATTAAAACATAAAATTCAGGAATAACTGGAAAACAACATTTTTTTTTCAAATTTCATAATACTTCAACATGTATGTAACGTCGCTTTTCATTGGATGACCGGGCAGCTTATTATATAACAATGTATACACTGTTGTTGTCAATACATAGATTAATTTTCATCTTGCCTTAAAAAGGACACTTGCTGTACATAAAGATTGTTCACATCCTTTATCACTGTATACTTATATAGAAACGATTATTTGCAATATAACTTTAATTATATACGGCCATATAATTAGTCAAAAATCTTTATTACTAATAACAGGTACGTATATTAACGTTAATATACGAACCTGCTAATAAATATATACATATATACTCCAAACATGAAAAGTTTAATGGCCTTTACATCCTGTTTAATTCACAAACATGGATTATGTATACAATTTGGGCAAATGCACCATTTGTCACCATAGTGCAATAACTGGTTATTTCCTATTAAATTTAGAAGGATGTAACCCATTACTGCACTTAGATGAAAAACTGTCTTCTATAATTAAGTTTCATAACAAAATCTTACAAAAAAACACACTTATTCACAAATTTACATTACAAAAATAAACGCAGCATTCCAGAAACTATTTAAATATTCATTTAAAGGAACACAATAGGTGGCATGAATCTTTCTCTTCTTCAAAGTCAGCACAAGTCTAAAAATAAACTTCGTCCTGATTGGTTTAAAAACTGTCCAATCACCTTAGCACTTGCTTAGAAAACTCTTGCACCAGTCTAAAAATAGCATGATCCTGATTAGACAAGAATGTCTGTGAGATGGAACGACTAAGAGTGGCTCCCCCTGGTGACTGAGTTCTAGGGCTTATCTGGGTAGTTGGTGCAGGGGATTGTGGTCCACCACGTCTTATGTAACGCTGGATGCCAGATAAAATTGAATTCTGAAATGGGTAAGAAAATATTTGTATAATTATTTGTATGATAATTGGCCTATAGATTTACATTGTATGTGAATTTAATTCATCACTGTTTGTAGAACATGAGGAGGAACAGTAGTGTTGGGAACGAGCTCTGGACTTGTGTTCTAGAGGTCATGCTCTAAAATCCCGCATGTGGAGAGACTCTCTTTTAGCTTCCTTAATCCAAACTGGTGCGATTACTGGTTAAGACAGCTTCGGAGAAGAACAGAAGAATGCGTCATTAGTTAAAGTAAAGCTTAAGAAGTCTATGCACCTGGAATCTACTAGGTTTTAACTATCATGATTGGAAAAGATATGCCAATCTATACAAAAATCATAAATCACAATTATTTTATTGTGTAAAATGTCCTTAAAATGAAAAGTGCCTAAAAGCTTTAAACAAAAAGCAGGCTAAGATTCCCACTTGATATTGATTTTCAGTTAAATACAGACATATGTACTTCTCTGTGTTATTTATTTCAATATTTTATCCATTTTAAATGGCCCACTTTATCCAAGTTATATTTTCGTTTTCTTTTTCATTTTTAGAGCTAAAAGACCTCAGTGGAGCTAATTTAATTTTATCCCAGAAGATTTATAAATCTTAACACTGGCTAGCTTTATAACTTTTCATAGACTTATTCAATGATACCAGTCTATATGAAATAATAATTTGTATAAAATCCTTTATAAATTCTTTATAAAACTGCCAGTTTGAAATTTTGCTTTTCATTGGATAATCATGGTGTTTATATAGTTTTATATACATACATGTAGTTACTGTCAATTTATGCAAAAATCTCATTTTTTTTCTTTAAAAAAGGAAGTTCGCTGTATTATAAATACATTATAAATATTCCTGACAGGTTAAATGACCTAGCAGCTCAGGCTGTATTTCAAAACCCACGTTTATATAGGGTCATACAACCTGTCAAAAATCTTTATTTTTTACTTAAAAATGTAAATTACCATTTCTGTGCCAAGTTCTCGTTTCAGAAGCTGTTTTTCTCGGGGATGAACACTGGGGTCCTTTAGATACAGCATTCCTTGAGACATTGTTAGATACAGGGCGTTTTCTAGAACAAACATTACCAGTGACCTGAAAAAAACACTTGATAATAAAGATATATAAATTAAAATATTACTAGTGACCTGAAACAAACAATTGACAACATATATTCAAATGAAGAAAACAGTGGTGGCATGGCCGACTGGTTAAAGTGTCGGACTAGTAATCTAATGATCGCTACCTGCATGGGTTTGACAAGTCCTTGTTTCCTTGATCAAGACACATTACCCTCATTTCTATTTGGTTTCTTTGTTTTTTTATTGGGTTTTACGTCACACCGACACAGTAAAGGTCATATGGCTAAATTCCAGCTTTACTGGTGCAGGAAGACCTAGGGTGCCCTTTTGTGCATTTTTTCAGGCACAAACGGGCATCTGAGAAGAACCACCGACGTTCCGTAAGCTAGCTGGATAGCCTCCTGACATGAAAGAATTCAATGTCCCTGCCGGGATTTGAACCCACAATGGTGAGGGGCGAGTGGTTAGAAGTCAACGACCTTAACCACTTAGTCACAGACCAGTACTGTTTGGTTTAAGGAACACATTCGAAAGTGTGTCAATAAGCTTATAGCTACCTACACAGTCAAAATAAAATGAATTCTGTATAAACCAATAAAGAAAACTTTATTAGTGCCTTAAATCAGACAAATGCTTGCAAACTGACAGTTGGCCCTGTAAATATGTATAGAGCCCCATAAAAAGTTTGCCTGCTTATTTAACTGACCAAACTTATCAATGAGACCAACATACTATTTGAGACCAGATTTGCAAAGTCCCTTTGGTGGTCTCATAAGCGCAATTTTACTGGACTATTTTCAGAATATTGTGAACTTAGGAACAAAGGTGTTTTAATTTTTGATTTTCAACATGAAATACAATATTTCAGCAGCAAGTGCTGAAGTTTTGGATATTCTATTGCTTACTCTGCAAATGATTATAGCAAGTATAAAAGGTCAGGTATTGCACTCTTTATGTTTATATTTTCAATGTCAATATTCTGAAAATGATACATTAAAATATTACCGTTTACATAAGTTGAAATAATTTTAATTACTTAAATATAGAAGAAACATGCATTTATTGTTGATAAAAAGGCGACTGGTTGTTTGACAACTACTGAACAAAGAAAAAAACTGAATCAGGCATTCTTGGGGCCTTCTTGGTTTGATGGTGGTCCGGTTTTGGTGGTCCCGACCAGAAGGTGTTAAAACAATTCACTGTTCCACTTACTTGGGAACATGTTGACTGACACTAGGTGTACTAACAGCCGTGGCACTACTCTCTTGTCTCTGTGGTGATTTACTACCATCCATCTAACAAAAAATAAAAATAAATGTTACTAATTAGTGCATTCATTGCACAGAGGACAAAGGGTCAATTATAAACTTTCCTCTTTTTTGCCCCCAGATATGTATTGTATGTAATGCCAGATGACTGTTTCCAAGGTGTCAACCACTAATTACATCATAAACTACTAATCACACCATCAACCACTAATCACATCACTAACCACTAAGCACACCATCAACCACTAACTACATCACTAACCACTAATCACACCATCAACCACTAATCACGACATCAACCACTAATCACACCATCAATCAGTAACCACACTATCAACAAGTAATCACAAAATCAACCACTAATCACACCATCAACCAGTAATCACACCATCAACCTCTAATCACACCATCAACTAGTAATCACACCATCAACCACTAATCACACCATCAACCACTAATCACACCATTAACCAGTAATCACACCATCAACCACTAATCACACCATCAACCACTAATCACACCATCAACCACTAATCACACCATCAACCACTAATCACACTATCAACCACTAATCACACCATCAACCACTAATCACACCATCAACCAGTAATCACACCATCAACCAGTAATCACACCATCAACCACTAATCACACCATCAACCACTAATCACACCATCAACCAGTTATCACAACATCAACATCTAATCACACCATCAACCTCAAATCAAACAATCAACCAGTAATCACATCATTAACCAGTAATCACACCATCAACCTCTAATCACATCATCAACCAGTAATCACACCATCAACCAGTAATCACACCATTAACCACTAATCTTATCATCAACCAGTAATCACACCATCAACCAGTAATCACACCACCAACCTCTAATCTCACCATCAATCTCTTATCACACCATCAACTAGTAATCACACCATTCAACCTCTAATCTCACCATCAACCTCTAATCACACCATCAACTAGTAATCACACCATCAACTACTAATCACACCATCAACCTCTAATCTCACCATCAACCTCTAATCACACCATCAACCAGTAATCACACCATCAACCTTCTAATCACACCATCAACTCTGATCAAATCATCAACCAGTTAATCACACCATCAACCACTGATCACACCATCAACCTCTTAATCACATCATCAACCACTAAGCACACCATCAACCAATAATCACACCATCAACCTCTGATTACATCATCAACCACTTAAGCACACCATCAAACAATAATCACACCATCAACCACTTATCACACCATCAACCACTAATCACACCATTCAACCACTAATCACACCATTTAACAAGTAATCACACCATCAACCACTAAAGCACACCATTCAACCCACTTATCACACTATCAACCACTAATCAACACCCATCAACCACAAATCACACCATCAACCACAAATCACACCATCCACCACTAATCACACCATCAACCACTAATCTCACCATCAACCAGTAATCACACCATCAACCATTAATCACACCATCAACTACTAATCACACCATCAACCACTAATCACACCATCAACTTCTAGTCACACCATCAACCAGTAATCACACAATCAACCTCTAATCACCCCATCAACCATTTATCACACCATCAACCAGTTATCACACAATCAACCACTTATCACACCAGTGGATTTATTGAAGTGTTATGGGTTTAACATTGCGCCAACACAGTATAGGTCATATGGAAATATTCTAGCTTTTCTGGTGTGGGAAGACCTCAGGTGCCCCTCTATAATTATAGGCATCTGAGTAGAACCACTGACATCCAATAAGCTAACTAGATAGCTTTCTAACTTGTAAAATTCCGAAGATGCTGGAGTGACTTAAACCTTAAACAGCAGTGAGAAGCAAGGGGTTTGAAGTCTATAAACCTTGACCACTCACCACAAGAAAGAGAAGAGAATTTTAACATAACAGCCAATAGGTATTCCACATACAAATATATTGAGTTTTAATACCATTAGTGATTTAATCATTAGCCGGCAGGTTCAACTCATAAAACCAAAGTAAAACAAGTTCAGCCAAGCCAGCTTATCCATGCTAACTTATGGTCTTCTGCACAGTTTACTATGAAGTCAATATGTAATCAATATTTTAATAAATATAACTAGAACTATCACTAAATGTGATTAATGCCCCCACAAGACTGCTTCGGAAATGAGGATGTTACTAGTAACAGAATACCTTGTATAAAAAATTGAAATATAAAGTTATGGTTGTGGGCAATTAAAGATAGTTGTGGTTCTTATATGTTGCATTTCCTTTCAATGTGGTTGGCCATTGATGAAGTTTAATTGAATTACTCTGTAATAAGTCCAGAAAGACAAAGAAAAGGAACAAAGGGCAATAACTCTATAAATACTGAAGATAGAGTTATAGTGCTTGTGCACTGCACTTCCTCTTATTGTGCTTGACCATTGTATGAAGTTGTTTTGAATTCCAACCAGTATGTTTTAAGTTATGCTCCTGACAAGGAAAAGTATCAAAGGGCAGTAACTCTATTTTTGTCAAAATGGAGATATGGCTCTTGTGCACTGCACTTCCTTTTGATGTCCTTGACAACTGTAATTTTAAACTATGCTCTGGACAAGGAAAAGTAACAAAGGGCAAAAACTCTGTAATTAGTCAAGATGGAGTTATGGTTCTTGTGCACTGCACTTTCTCTCAATGTGCTTGACCATTGTATGAAGTTATATTGAATTCCAACCATTAGTCTTCAAGTTATGGTCCGGACAAAAAAGGCAATGGAAAAGCAACAAAGGGCAATAACTCTGTAATTACTTTAGATAGAGTTATGGTTCTTGTGCACTGCACTTCCCCTTATTGTGTTTGACAATTGTATGGAGTTGTTTTGAATTCCAACCAGTAGTTTTCAAGTAATGCCCCGGACAAGGAAAAGTTACAAAGGGCAATAACTCTGTAATTAGTCAAGATACAGTTATGGTTCTTATGCACTGCACTTCTTCTCAATGTACTTGATCATTGTATGCAGTTATATTGAATTCCAACCATTAGTCTTCAAGTTATGGTCCGGACAAAAAAAATCAATGGAAAAGTAACAAAGGTTAATAACTCTGTAATTACTTTAGATAGAGTTATGGTTCTTGTGCACTGCACTTCCCCTTATTGTGTTTGACAATTGTATGAAGTTGTTTTGAATTCCAACCAGTTGTTTTCAAGTTATGCCCCGGACAAGTAAAAGTAACAAAGGGCAATAACTCTGTAATTAGTCAAGATAGAGTTATGGTTCTTGTGCACTGCACTTCCTCTCAATGTGCTTGACCATTGTATGTAGTTATATTGAATTCAAACTATTAGTCTTCAAGTTATGGTCTGGACAAAAAAAAGCCATGGAAAAGCAACAAAGGGCAATAACTCTGTAATTACTTTAGATAGAGTTATGGTTCTTGTGCACTGCACTTCCCCTTATTGTGTTTGACAATTGTATGAAGTTGTTTTGAATTCCAACCAGTAGTTTTCAAGTTATGCCCCGGACAAGGAAAAGTAACAAAGGGCAATAACTCTGTAATTAGTCAAGATAGAGTTATGGTTCTTGTGCACTGCACTTCCTCTTAATGTGCTTGACCATTGTATGTAGTTATATTGAATTCCAACCATTAGTCTTCAAGTTATGCTCCGGACAAGGAAAATGCAACGGACGTCTGGACCGACCGTCCGCCCGCGCGACCGACCGACCACCGGGTGACTCCTATATACCCCCCCCAAACTTCGTTTTTGGGGGTATAAAAAGTTTCCCTCAAAATCATGAATGGTTTAGTCCAGATTGAAATATGGACAAGTCCATTTAAGATACTTAGTGCAGTAAGGGTTTATGAGTTACCAACCTTGGTCAAAAGGCGGAGACCCACACTGACACATGACAACATGGTGCCAAAAGTAGGTGGGGTATCCTGATCTGCTGGTGGGGTACTGAATCCAATGGCTAGAAACGGCTCATACTCACCAACGTCCATGTTCTGAAACATGAAAATATAAACATGACTTTATTCCTATAAAGTTACTTCGGTTGAGGTAGGGAGACATGCATTTCAAAAGCCTAAAAGTTTACTTTTCCAAAATTATCCAGATAAAAGACAAGAGGGCCATGATGGCCCTGAGGTCGCTCACCTGTATATAGGCCCCCCTAACCCCCACCCCCAACGTTGCAGGGCCAATTTAACCCAAGGGCTTTTATTTGCACAAACTTGGTAGACTCCCATAAGAAGATGTTTCATGCTAAACATCTAAGCTATAGCTCATTGGGCTTTTTAAAAGAAGATTTTTTTAAAGTTTTTACTATACACATACAGTTAAAAACAATGACACCCCTAGAACCGGGCCAGTTTTGACCCAAGGGCTTTTATTTGAACAAACTTTGTAGACACTTACTAGAAGATGTTTCATGCTTAATATCTAAACTCTAGCTATTTGGGTTTTTTCAAAGAAGATTTTAAGTTTTTGCTATACACATATAAAGAAAATCAATGACCCCCTGAGGCGGGGCCAATTTTAACCCCAGGTCTTTTATTTGAACAAACTTTGTAGACACTCACTAAAAGATGTTTCATGCTTAATATCTTAACTCTAGCTATTTGGGTTTTTTTGAAAGAAGATTTTTTAAGTTTTTGCTATACACATATAAGGAAAATCAATGACCCCCGGGGCGGGGCCAATTTTGACCCCAGGGCTTTTATTTGAACAAACTTGGTAGACACCCATTAGAACATGTTTCATGCTAAATATCTTAGCCATAGCTCTTAAAGTTCTTTAAAAGAAGAATATTTAAGTTTTTACTATATGCATATAGGGAAAATCAATGACCCCCCGGGGCGGGGCCAATTTTAACCCCAGGGCTTTTATTTGAACAAACTTGGTAGACACTCACTAGAAGATGTTTCATGCCAAATATCTAAGCTCTAGCTCTTATGGTTTTTTAAAAGAAGATATTTAATTTTTTTTCTTTTGGTTGCCATGGCAACCAGAGTTCTGCATGGAATTAAATTCTTTGAACAATTTTTAAAGGTGACCACCAAAGCAACATTCCTGTGAAGTTTGGATGAAATTGGCTTAGTGGTTTATGAGGAGATGTCATTTAAAGTAAAAGTTTACGGACGGACGCCAGACGGACAGACGGACGCCGGACGAAAAGCGATCACAAAAGCTCACCCTGTCACTTTGTGACAGGTGAGCTAAAATAATCCAAAATGGTCTGTTTTTCCAAAGTGTCAAATGAACAAATTTGCTAACTGGTTGCCTTTGCTTTATACAAGACTGTTTGTATAAATTCAAGAGACAGACAAGGAATTTTAAGACAGACAAGTGCAAATGTGGCAAATTTTATTTGATAAATGTCATTTCTCATACTATTTTCACTAAAAATTTCATTCTTCAAAAAATTCCAAATCTATTACAATTTGGGTCATAATTTCCCTTATTTCACTAGTTGCATTATTTTCAAAATGTTGAAAAAACAAAATTTTATCTTGCAAGCATGAAATGGAATGTTTCTTAACTTATTACCTCTACATTACAATGCCCGAAAAATGTGACAAAATTGTATCAAAATATCTATACCTGATCCACCAATATTTGTACAAGGTCTGGACTAAATTGACGTAGAGCAACAAAACATTCCCCTAATACCTTCAGCATACTGCAATACACAAAACACATCAGATTTCATTTACTTTATACATTTTTACATAAAAGTAATTTTCTGTTGCAGTAAGATAAAAGGAGTCCAGGTGTTTTCCTAGCCATTTTAGGCAAAAAGTATCTTGCCTAGTTTCTAATACTAAAGAATAGGACTTGAACCCTCTATGCCTGGGTTGTGCAGCAGTTATCTTAACCAGCTTCTTTAAGACTATTAATAATTCTGTATGCAAGTAGCGTACTTGAACCAATCTAGTCTGCTTCCTGGGAACAAACCAGTTCTGGTGTCACACAACAAATAAAAAAATATGCTTGTGACCTAAGTAGGGCTCAAACCCAAAATACTTTGATTACGGACATATTATAGGGATCTTACACAGGCTGCCAGTAAAGACCGGAATATCCTGCTTGATGGTAACTGTTAATGGCGGTAACGAGGCTCTGCCCAGTTTCCGCTAAACAGTTACCCAAGAGCTAGATATTACTGTCTCTTATGACAGCCGGTGTTTGATTGTTTTTCTTGCACATTACATATTAATAATTGGAAAGAAAGGATGAAAACTAATACTTTCATTTGGCCCTTTTTTCTTTTGGGAGCGTATCAATTTACAACTTCATTCAAAACAGCAAAATGACATCATCCTAACACAAAACATTCATAAAAGGTGCATAGATAAGATGTCATTTAAAGCATGCGACTTATCTTACATTGGGGGCGTAAGACAGGATTTTTCTAGCACTGGTATAAACATTAGATAATCCTCTCTGATATGCAAGAAACGTTAACTATTGCTCTCCTTGACTTTGCAGGTTTGTCATTTCCAGTAAAAAAAATACCACAAAGAAACATAAACACCACAAAGAAACATAAACCCAAAGAAGAAACTATTTTCACAGACCTATGTTGTACTTGTATATGCTGTACAGTAGGACTGTCTATATCCTCGGTGGAAGCCTGGTGCTGTAAGCAGGGCAGCGGCAACCTCTCAGCCACGCCCCTCTCACGCTGCTCTAGCCCTTGATGCTAAAATCATACAAGAGTTAATATAATCATCATTTAGATTCTATTAGTTCAATTGTTTCATATTATTTCTTTGAGTCTATATCTAACCAGTTTTGATGACACATTGGATTATACTTAGTATATATGTCACACAAGAATGACTGTGACATAATAATGAATGTGATACAAGTATGTGTGTGACACAAGTATGATTGTGACACAAGAATAGTGACACAAGTATGAGTGTGACACAAGTATGTGTGTGACACAAGTATGATTGTGACACAAGAATAGTGACACAAGTATGAGTGTGACACAAGTATGAGTGTGACACAAGTATGAGTGTGACACAAGTATGAGTGTGACACAAGTATGAGTTTGACATAAGTATGATTGGAACACAAATATGAATGTGACACAAGTATAAGCATGACATAAGTATGAATGTGACACAAAGTTTGTGTGTGACACAAGTATGTGTATGACACAAGTATGAATGTGACACAAGTATGAGAGTGACATAAGTACCAGATTAGACATCAAAACAGAATTAAATTCTATCATAGTATTAAATATGTCATTAACCTACTATAAGATAATAATTTCAATAAACCAAACTCTTAACATTTTCAATTGTATTTATTGTTATAATTAAACATCAACCTATTTTACAGGAAAGAACATGCCAACTACCTTTATTTAATCATGACTCACCTCTAGTATATACTGTAGGTACCTGGGACGTATCAGTAACGATACAAATGTCTGACACATATAAAGAAGGCTCATCTGCAACAACAAAGACATGGTAAAGTGAATTAGTCTAAAATGCAAGGTATGTAATACTATAAATGTTTATTGTTTAATTGGGTTTTATGTAACACTGACAAAATATAGGTCAAATGGCGACATTCCAGCTTTACTGGTGGAGGAAGACCTCAGGTGCCCTTCCGTGCATTATTTCAAGCACGAACGGGCACCTGAGAAGAACCACCAACGTTCCATAAACTAGCTGGATAGCTTCCTCAAATGAAAGAATCCAAAGTCTCTGTCGGCATTCGAACCCACAGCGAGAGGGGCAAGTGGTTTGAATGCAACAACCTTAACCACTCGGGCACAGACGCCCCTCTATAATACTATAAAAAATTATGTTGACAATATTTAGTATCAGAAATAACACCAATACCACAAAGGAAATACATATATTGTCACATTAGTGCAGTAATGGGTTAAGTCCTTCTAAATTTAATAGGATTTAACCAGTTATTGTACTAAGGTGACAATATGAATTTTATTGGCTGGTTTGAGATAAACTAGAACTGCCACTATGATGGCGTGAATACCCCCGCATACCACTTTGTCAGAATCAACAGTGGCCATTTAGAGCTCAAGGACAATCTCCCTGCCAAATCTGAGGTTACTAAGCCAGTGCATTGCTAAGTTATGTATTCTACATGCTTCAAATGTGAAAATGTCAAAATCAATACATTGCGGACAGGACATTTACTTTAGCAATTGAGAAGAAAAGCTTCTTTTTTTTTTGTCAAGGTCCCTGTGACCTTGACCTTTGACCCAGTGACCTCAAAATCAATAGGGTCACCTTATAGTCATGATCAACATCCATGCAAATATGAAGACTGTGGGTCATAGGAATCTAAAGTTATTGGGCAGACAAACTTTTTGAAGTCAAGGCCCTGTGACCTTGACCTTTGACCTGGTGACCTCAAAAATCAATAGGGGTCATCTACTAATCATGACTAACCTCCATTCCAAATATGAAGACTGTGAGTCAAAGGAATCTTAAGTTATGGGCGGACAAGCTTTTTTGAAGTCAAGGCCCCTGTGACCTTGACCGTTGACCTGTGACCTCAAATCAATAGGGGTCATCTACTAATCATGACTAACCTCGATGCCAAATATGAAGACTTGGGTCAAATGAATCTTAAGTTATTGGGCGGACAAGCTTTTTGAAGTCAAGGCCCTGTGACCTTGACCTTTGACCTGGTGACCTTAAAATCAATAGGGGTCATCAACTAATCATGACTAACCTCCATGCCAAATATGAAGACTGTAGGTCAAAGGAATCTTAAGTTATTGGGCGGACAAGCTTTTTGAAGTCAAGGCCCCTGTGACCTTGACCTTTGACCTTGTGACCTCAAAATCAATAGGGGTCATCTACTAATCATGACTAACCTCCATGCCAAATATGAAGACTAAGGGTCAAAGGAATCTTAAGTTATTGGGCGGACAAGAAAAAACCGACGGACGGCCGGACAAGCTGATTCCAGTATACCCCCCTTACAACTTTGTTGTGCGGGGGTAAAATGATCCAAATATACATACATTCATTGATATACCAGGTAAATTGTTCTAGAACAGAATATTATTATTCATCATATTTAAATATTCATTCTAGATCACTTAGAACTTTATCAACATTTTCTTTCAAGCAATATTTTTTATAAGAGTATCCAAATTATACAATTTTATTGTTTTTAATTAACTATAGTTGTAATACTTATGGCAAACAGGCGTTCTTGTAGGCCAATTCACCTTAAAACATATTGACTAAAACCAGCAAAGTGTCTTACAGGAGAACGATGCTCTGAAGAGCAAATGCCAAAAATGCAGGTTTTTTTTCCAGGATTTTGGGAACATGACCCATACCCATGGAATTGGGAATTTCAGCGGTGTTTTGATTAAAATTGGGGAAAAATGCATGACTGAAATTTTGCAATGTTTAAATGAAGTAAACAATCACTGTCTAGGATGGCATCTTCAAACATTTAAGCACTATTACAGTGAAGAAGCCCTTATTTTCAAAGATTTTAGAATTTTTATTCAATATTATTATTTTGTAACTTTCAATTGGGAATTTTTTCCTGTGGATTGGGAAAATAATATACTATTTTCAATGGGGAATATGACCTAATAACGACTATAAAATAAGCAAAAAAAAAAAGCCCTGAAATGGTAAAAGGGGCTATTTATTTTCTTATGTCTAGCCACTTAGCCATAAACTCAATCCAAATACAAAATAACTTAGTGCATTTTATTATTTTAATTTTATATTAAGACTAGTCATGTTAAACTGTTATTTTATTTTTGAAAGTGTTTGCACACAATCTATTCTAGTTTGATTGTGCAGGAAGCTTATAAACAATATTCTGTTCCATTAATCTGCCTTTTTATAACCTTAGTGCTTTTAGCCATATACATTTGTAGAATCCAACAAATCCCTAAAACTCAAGTAGATGGCTAATGATTACAAGTTAATAAATTCAGAAACTTAGCAATGGACTGCACCAAATGATCTTGTGTGGTGGCATAGCTGAGTGGTTAATGCCACAGAATAGTTATCTAATAATCGCTAACTGCAAAGGTTCAAACCCCGTCGGGGCAAGTTGTTGTTTCCTTGAGGAAGAAAATTTATACTCATTGTTTAGCTCCGTACTGGTTGGTTCTAGGAACGAATTCAAAAATGTGTCTACAAGCTTATAGCTTCCTACACAATCGAACAAAAACAAAATTCACTTAAACCATGCCGTAAAAAACGGTCATTGACATTGGTATGATCTGTGGTTAACCAACTTTGAAACATTTCATATGGACAATAACTTAGCACTTTGCCCAGAAAACTCATTTTTATGACTACTTATACTAACATATGTCACATTCTGTTCCCTCTTTTTTAGTACTTCAGTAATCATTGAAATATATCCTGATGAAGGTCTTGAAAGACCAAAACCGATAGATCCTTGAATAAACCAGTTTACAAGCCATCCTTATGTTTAATGTGTGTTCTCTCCTCTCAATTTTCTTATTTATTTAAAATAAATTCAGTATAAACCAAATGATCTCAAACAGTAATACTATTGTTTGTTTTTTCATTTTACGCCTTTTCCCAACAGTATTTCAGTAATATAGGCGGGTAATTTCCTAACCATCGTTCCTGGAGATTGAAAAACTTTACTGTATACATACCAGTATTTTATTTAGAGGTTCAGGCAGATGTAATCTCCACTCTCGACTGAAGTTGGCTAGATGACTGATGAGTAAACATGTCTTCTCTACTTCACTGAATGTTTCACTACTCAAACTGAACCTCGCTATTTCTAAACACTATAGTTGAGGAGAGAGAAAAAAGCACATATCATTACAGAAGAGAAATGAAAAATTTCATCAAAAATGGAAGTGAATTGAAATATTAAATCATTTAAAGCATATATGAACTTAAAAATTCATAAAAAAACAACCTGTACTGAACTATAATTTTTATATATATGTTAACATGCCAATGCGACAACATGTATAGAGTGACTTGTATCTTTAGCAACCAATTAAAAATCACCATAATAATTTTCATTCTATATCTTTAATGTGTTAAGTGACTTTTGCTCAACTATGGCAAAATCTGGTGTTATTTTTACTTTGACTTGTACACGCACCATATACTAGGGTTGATCAATATATTCATGGATGCTATTGATAACTTAATAATTAATCAAGATATTATAAAGAATTTTCTCTATTTGGGAGAAGAATTTAATACTATTACAAATATATTGTGATTTATAAAAAAATTCTCATTTCGTTGATTATATGTATCGCCATAGCAACCCTATGCCGTACCAACGCTGCAGCTTAAAAAAGTTATATTTACCATTTTAAAATACTTAAAAATTGGCCTTATTTTGGCGCGCTTCATTAAAATATGAAAATGACTGCAACGTTCTTTCATATTGTTTATAGAACATTTTAAAAAAAACAAGTGTCGCTACGATTTCTTTTGTTTGTTGGAGATGTTAATGGAGACAGGGGTGTGTCACCAGAGAGGAGCACGACGTTGTTGGAACAGAGAGCAGTAATTAAGTTCCGTGTAAATCTTGGTATGACGCCACAGCAGACTAAGGAAAACTTGGAAAGTGTATCTTGAACAAAAAAGTGTCTTATTCGTTTGTTTATATATGGCACAAACGCTTCCATTAGGGTAGAGAAGAACTTCAGGATAATAAGAGATGCGGCAGACCAATTGAAACTTGTTACAATGAGAACGTTATGCGAGTGAAATTGAAGGCAGAGTTAAAGGGACACAAGTTTACCAGGTTCCATGATTTACAGTCCAAGACATTGTCTGTGTTGCTTTCATTTGATACTTCATTTAATAAGAACATTTTCAGTCAGCGGGTACACAGGCATGAACGATGTGTAGATGTTGGTGCTGCATTTTTTGAGAAGATGTAACGCCGACGTAACATAAGTTGCGAATGAGCTGCGGAGATCAGCTCAACATGAATTTTTGAAAACTCATTTTGGATAAAATAGACTGAAACTTACACATCAAATTGATAAATGATTGAATAAATGTCAAATATAATTAAATTAACTTTCCTTCCCCAAAAAAACAATTTATGGAGTGTGTCAACGAATATATTGATCAACCCTCGTACACTTGGATGAGCAATGAGCATATGCCACTTTAATAGCAAGATTGATGACATAGTTTCTTTAAGAACTTAATAGAGACTAAATGCATTCTTCTTATAGCACAATGCTAGAGAGTAACTACACATAGACTTTATAAGTGACTGAATATCCTTTAGTAATACTTCCCAATGTTCAGCCAAAGAAATTTCAACAATATAACGGAATATACCGTATAAGTACTTATTTCTGCGGGCTTAAAATTCTGCGATTTTGGTTAAAATTAGGGGTTTTAAATTTCTGCATATCTTATTTCTGCGGTGTCATCATTCTCGCATTGATGTTTTTTATTTTTGCGTTTTAATTTAGATATTTTTACAAAATTAACCGATACAAACAGACACCATTTCAAGATATGTTGATGTAACATGTACATTACTTCCGGTAAACATGCAGACGACTTATAATGTGTGTTCATCGTGATCACCATGTATCGGTATATAAAATATGATAAACAAGATCAACAAGGAAAGGCGGCGTTCAATGAACGCAATAAACAAAACGTTAATAAACAAAAATCAACAACATGCAATGACAACAATTAATTGTAATACTGCATGTGTATAAATATGAAGTGTGAAAAATAAACAATGGTAATATCGCACGTAGACACAATATATTGTACAAATACAAAAGGGTATGTTTATTGCACCCGTCAAACTATAATAGTTTTATTTTAAAAATAAATCAAGCTTAGGGTGAGCGAAAATCATACAAACATGATATTTTTTTAAACAAAAAGAACAAGTAAAGTTACTTTTTTTCTAATATTTTATTCATGACGGATACATTAAGAAAAATTATTCCCATCTACAAAAGCTGATAACGGTACAGGGTAACGTAATTATACAATACAGGTAGTTGACATATTTCGACATACATGTAAACATAGCGAAAGGCTTAATTTTCTGCGGTTTTTAAATCTGCTGTGTCGTTATAAACTGCAGAAATAGCAGAAATAAAGTTCCCGCAGAAAAAAGTACTTATACGGTATAATTATATAACAATATAAAAATATACATTTACTTCTTTACAAATATATTCTAAGAATACTTTTGAATAAAGGACATTTACATGTAATTTACAATGTAGTCTGTATTGTGTTTTTCACCCTAAAAGTAAATATGGTATCCTGTATTTATATTACAATCGGCAATAGCTTGACAGCATTGTCTTTGTTGCTTTTTGTGGTTTTTGTAATGACAGGTTTACTTTTTTTAAATATCATTTTATATATTCCAAACTTGCATACCTGTTGAAGCCTATCCTGATGACAACCCACAAAGTTGAAAGCATCTTCGAGGAATGAGTATTTCATGGTAGCCAGCATTGTTGTATATACGTCTAAACACAGACAATACACGTTGTGCCAGGTCACCTGTTGCTGCTTTGGTCTCGCCACTTTACCCTGCCAACCAAAAATGACACATATTCATTATTTACTTCTAGTGATGATAAGAACTTCCCTGTTTCATCAGTGTAAATGCAAATCAGCCTAAGTAACAACAGTCAGATCAGATTTTATACCATCATCTCTTCAATTCTATTATTATGATACTGGCATCCCCAAACCAATCATTGGATGGGTAAAGATTATCATAATGTTATTAATTATTATTATCATTTTTTTCCTTCTTCATATTATGTAATGAATTTGCCAAATTTTTTGTAGTCATTGCGCATTGTTTTTTATTCATTTCAGGTAAAATGAGCATCTTTGGAAAACAGTTGAAAATCTGGATAACATTCAAGATAACTTTACAAGCAAGAGATCAAAAAATGGAAAAGTAACAGTAACATACCGGTGTAGGTTTCGGACCAGGGTAAGAGCTGTCTCCATTCTGATAACAATATGTAATAGGTAGACAAACATGCTGAGTCAGTCCTGCCATGGCTAAACATTCAGCACCCTGGAAAATATGGAACAATTATATACACAAGCCTAACATTAGAGTAAATAAATTTAATATATATTAGTTTAGTAATGACAAAAAGTTGAAAATAATTTCAATTATTTCCATGTCTGCTTTTTGAAACTAACCAGTACTTCTGTTATAATTAGGGGGGGGGGGGGGGGGGGGGGGGACATGATTTTCAATCTGATTTGGGCTCAAACCCATGATCTCTGAGGTGAAAGGCAGACAATTTAATCACCTAGACACCACCACTCTACTGTATTTTGGGAGCTCTACAATAAGCATAGAAAGGTGATACCATTCCTTTTACTTTAACTACTGGACCATGGAGACTCGCCCTTGGTACAAGGCAGATAATGTGGATTAGATATTGTACAATTTGTACAGAAGACAACTTTTAATGATATTAGCTGTTCATTTATTTAACGAGTGAACAATGGTACATAGTTAAAATGTGACAATACCTTTTTGTCCTGTGCTATGGTAAGGAACAGTATGAACAATGGCTGTAGATAATGTAAGCCCTCCAGTGACTGCAAACATATAATATTCATAAAATCAACTAAAACTGCAATGGGAAAATAATATTTAACAGAAATAACACTACTAAACCAAAGAAATAACACAGTATCAGATAAATTAAGTGAACAATATGGATATAACATGATCTTTTATTTATTGAAAGAGTATAATTGTAAACACAAATGTTCCAACTTTACCTCAAGGTCAAGGTTAAAAGTTTGATTTTTTAGCCCTTAATCTATACAGTTAAACCTGTGAACAAAGGTCAGTCAAAGAAGAGAACAAACATGACATTTACAAACAGGTGGTCTATATTTTGAGGTTACCCTGTTCTATTTAATCAAGTCTGGTCAATTAGCAGCTTTACGTACAGTGTGAATTTATTCAAAGGTGGTCCTTAGCACAGGATTTACTGTACTGTTTTAAAATAAGCATGTAAAATCAAACATTAATCCCCATCTTAACTATTTATTTAGTCTCTATAATTTTTACAGGTTATTCTATATTGCCCTACACAGTGAGGAATATAAGGACGTTATACTAGCTGTCAGTACAGACCAGAATATCTAGCTTGAGGGTAACTGTTTACTGCTGTAACAAGGCTCTGCTCAGTTTCTATTAAACAGCAATCAGAGAGTTAGATATTCCTGTCTGTGAGGACTGCCCATGTTTAATTCCTTTTCTTGCATATTACATTATAATCATACATCGAGAAATTACGGAAACTTATATTTTCATTTAGCACATTTTTTCTTATAGTATTATAGAGTTTAAAACTTCATTCATAACAACAAAACGATGTCATCCTAAAATCACAATTCATTCATAAAAGGCTTGTGTGAATAACATCATTTAAAACATGCGACTTATCTTGCATGGAGGGGTGGTGGGGGGTGTAAGACTGTTTTTTTCTAGCACCGGTGTAACCAGTAGACAATCTTGTCTGATATACAAAAAAAAAGGTTTTCATAGATGGTAGCCACAGTACTTATGCCATACATACCTTGAGATAAATTTCTGCCGAAGACAGTAAGGCGGGCAGTACCATGTTTTCTTGTAGTATAGGCAACCATATCTCACTGTCTCGGACATGATGTATCAATTCCTCCACGGTACAGCATGCTACTGTCTGTAACTGAAAGTACATAAACTTACATGAAATATTTAAAGATAAAAATTCTTTAAAATTAGAATATCAACATTTAGGTTATGTAAATATGGAAATTTTTCAGCAATTATAGGTGGTTTAGGGCTTCCAATACCATACATTATAATTTTAACTTCCTCAGATAAAACAATCAATGTGGTTTACAAACAAACAGCAGTGAAGAGGAGTGTTTTCAAGAAACAAACCTTCAATATTCTACTGCAAAAACTGCTACTACCGTAACACTGTTTCTCAATGATACATCTGCACTTATATTGGGCAAGTGTCATTTACCATAACCATTTAGCAATGGAGGTCATGTAACATTTTAAAGTCAGTAATTATGCCATTTGGCCATTCAGGCAAAGATAATTTTCAAAATCATATGGCCAATTATATGACATGGCTGTTGAAAAGAATCCGGGTCAGCTCGGCCCTAATACGTACTCGGCCCCCGAGTCAGCTCGGCCCTATTCCAACTCGGCACGGGTCAACTCGGCCCACTTTTTAATTATTAATATTAAGGTTTGTGTTATCACTATTTATTGTTATTATGAAATTATTTATAAAACACGGATTGACAGTTTCAGAGGCTTTTCTTATCAGTAGAATTGCGAGTAAAGATTACCGATTGTGTATCTCAGTGTATGTCTGACTCGTGGTAGGTGGTAGGTTTTACCGTAAATTTAAATACATTCAGTGTCAAACAATGTGTTGAAATATATACTGAGAGAAAGCTAAGATCACCAGCTTTAAATTGGTGTAACAAATTTTAAAATCGGACATTTAATCGCCCCAAACTAGCGATTTAAACACGGCTAAATTTGCATTCTTTTGCGAGCGAAGGGAAACTAAGGATAACAACTTTTGCTTTTTCACTCGATATACCTCGGTTATTTACGCAGTTCAACAGAGAGAGTTTATAAATATAAGACAAATAAATAATTTTTTTTTTCTAAATATACTTTATTTCGGCAGAAGTACAATGTATAATTATATAATAATAAGATATTTCTTATTATTCATTTACCGTAACAACATGCAAAGCAAAGTTAATACGTTATATATATTTTGTAAAGGGGGCCGAGTTGACCCGTGCCGAGTTGACCCGTGCCGAGTTGGTATAGGGCCGAGTTGACTCTTTTCCGTTGAAAACATTTTTAAAAACTATTGACTTAAATCATTCAAGCATAAGAGTCCCTGTAAAAAATGGAATATAATCTATCAGTCATTAGAGACCCTGTAAAACTATGGACTTAAATCATTCAGCCATAAGAGCCCTGCAAAACTATGGAACATTATCATTCAGCCATTAGAGACCATGTGAAACTATGGAGCATTATCATTCAGCCATTTGTGATTCTGCTATTAGAGGCCCTGTAAAATGATGGATATAATTATTTACCCATAAGAGGCATTGTTAAACTATGGATTATAATATTTAACAATTAGAAGTCAACAATGAATAAGCTATCAGAGGTCCATTAACAATATGAAATAAGAAACTATCAGCCATTAAAAGCCCTGTAAATCTATGGATTATAATGATTCAGCCATTAGAGGCCCTGTAAAACTACTGACTATAATTAACAGGCATTAGAGGTCCTGCAAAACTATGGAATATAATCATGCAGCTCTTAAAGGCCCTGTAAAACTATGGACTATAATCATTCAGCCATTAAGGCCAAGTAATTCAAACCTTCAATCTATGGTCTGTATGAGCGAATGATTTCTCTGTATTCTCCAGACTCTCTCTCAGTTTCTGTAGCTCTTTAACTGATGGCAGTTCTCTTGTACTTTGTAATAACACCTCACATGTAGACACCAGAATAGGACCTAACTTCTGAACGTCTACTCCTGTGAAATACAAGCAGGTTAGCAAATGTCATATACACATGTAGAATAGCAACAGTGTGGAATTATTGGGATCGAATAAAAAATGAGTTGAAATAAATATGAATTTTTTCAGATACGTTATCAAAGAGTAAATAATGTTGCCTTCACAATTTGTGATTATATTTTGTTTATAAAATGTCACTTTCTCAACTTAATCTCTGAGGATCCCTGATTTATTAGATGTTTGTTTGTTTGATTGGGTTTTATGTCAGACCGACACAGTATGTCATATGGCGATGTTGCAGCTTTACTGGTGGAGGAGGGCCTCAGGTACCTGTCCAAGCATTATTTCAGGCACAAACGGGCACCGGTGCAAAACCACCAACGATTCGTACAAAGTCCCTCTCGGGATTCGAACCCAAAGCGGTGAGGGGCAAGTATTAGATCTTCAGGAGAATTATTGCATACTGGGCACATGTACTATACACACACATTTTGTGTGCCCTTGAAATTACTATTATAGTACATAAACTATTGAATGAACTAGTTATGCTCTACCGAACTTACTCAAATAGGCATCTGATGTAAGGTACTACAGTATACATGTCCAAGAGCCAAAAAAAACCTTTTTTATGTACAGGTGCATACATGTTATCTACTGGTACCATAAAACAATAAATAACATTTTTATTTCATTTTTTTTTTTAATGGGGGAAGGGGGGGGGGGGGTTGGGTTACATATTGCCAACACAGAAGAGGTCATGTGATGACTTTCCAGCTTTACTGGTGGAGGAAGACTTTGAGTGCCTCTCCAAGAATTATTTCAGACATAAACAGGTTAACTAATAACAACTTTCCAACTTTACTGGTGGAGGAAGACTACAAGTTCCCCTCCAAGCATTATTTCAGACATAAACAGGTTAACTAATAACAACTTTCCAACTTTACTGGTGGAGGAAGACTACAAGTTCCCCTCCAAGCATTATTTCAGACATAAACAGGCAAACTAATAACAACTTTCCAACTTTACTGGTGGAGGAAGACTACAAGTTCCCCTCCAAGCATTATTTCAGACATAAACAGGCAAACTAATAACTGTAGACAAAAATAGCAACTATAACTGTAGTGATGATCTACCATACTTACTCTTATGAGCGTCCAGTCTGAGATACTGTAGTATGGCTGTAATAGATCCAAGTAGACCTATCTGTACAGATGGTATTATCATATCTCCACTTGACATTGTCAAGGTCAAGGTCTCTAGTGTCCGATCTAGTACTTGCCGCCACACCTTGATAGAACTAAAAAGAAAAATGTGTGTAATTGCCAACAAATGAAATCTTTATCATACAAGAACCGGGTGATGCTCCCTGAGTAGGTTTTGGACACAGAAAAGTATACCTTTTTAAGTGTCAGAGTTATGTCCCGGACAAATTGTAAAAATAATCAAAAGGGCAATAGTTCCAAAATAAAGCAAGGCAGAGTGACGGTTCTTGTGCATTGCACATCTACTCAATGAGATCTATCCACCCACAAAATTTAATGTTGACACTTCTTGTTATTTCAGTTACGTCCAAGACAAGAATAGCGGACGGAGGGACGGACTGATAAAGCAGCGACTATATGCTCACCCTTCGGAGAGTTTAATAAATGCCAGTTCAAGAAAACTTGCTTAAATATTATTTCAAGAAAACAGAAAAATAAATGCTTTCACACTAGCATGAATACCTTGTCCATCTCTTTACAAGAGTAAAGAAGAGAGCACTGCATGTCTGAGCAAGTTTGTGTCGAAGTTCTGACAGTGAGTTGGTAAACTGAAAAATAAAATATGTCATTTATTTTTGCATAGAAATGAATTGATAGGTCGCAATTTTTACAATAGTTACCTCCCTTACCAAAAGTGGCAGCCATTTTGGGGGTGGGGTTCAATATTCGACATAATGTAATTGACAATACATATGATTATAGCACTAATATGTTAATTTTTTTATCAAATTTCATAAACATGATTGATTTTTATCTCATCTTAAAGCTACATGCCTCCATATGAGTAAAAATATTTCAATGAAATCGAATTTTAAGTGTAATAGATGACCAAATTTACTTTATATAAGTACTATATTTCTATTTAATTCTGATATCTTAATTTCCATTATGCTAGTACTGATACTTTACAATCACCTTTGAAACACTATACGATCACTTTTCTTGTTTAAAGTTAGGCAATATTATTACGCTGCTAAACAATAAGTATTGGAATCATTTGGCACTTTTTGCCAACTTAAATTTATCCCATTTCTGTATGTTAATTGCTATTAACAAGTGTCTGTTAATTAACATGTTTATAACGTCACTTTATGACGTCAAACTCGAACGAACACTTGGACGTGAAGGTTTGACGTCATAAAAAGACAAGAAGCGCTCTGAACCACCATTGCGGTAAGCCGTTGTTTTCATTTCTCCGGAAGTTTTCCGATTTTCTTTTATTCCCCCTACCTTATTTATTTTATATGCATGTTAATTATGAAAATATGATGACTTAAAATATTTAATACAATTCATAAAAACTTACATTTGCCTTTATAATTTATTCTCATTTCTTTTGTTTAATTTACACAAACGGTCCTGTGATATCGAACCGAAAGACTGTTCCCCGTTTACACTGGTGCCGTGACCAGGATATGCAATTGTGCTAAAATTTTCTACATATTTCTTGTAATAATTTGCAAGTTCAAGAAAACTTTTAACATCAGAAACAGACATCGGTTTTGGCCAATTTTTAACAGCATCTATTTTAGCTGGATCACAAGCCACCCCATCCCCAGATACTACATGGCCTAGATAAGCGACCTCCCTCTGAAATAATACACATTTCTTTGGTTTCAATTTTAAATTTGCTGACTTTAATCTGTCGCAGACAAGCGTTAAGTTTTCTAATGCTTTCTCAAAATGTTGTCGGCCATACACAATTATGTCGTCCAAATATACAGACAGCGTTCGAATCTCAGGCCCAACTTAGTACAAGTTTCGCATTAGACGTTCGAATGTGGCTGGACTGTTTGCTAGCCCAAATGGCATAAAATTAAAAATGAAACAAGCCTCTGTGCGTCGGCAAATGCAGTTTTTATGTTTATCATCAGTATCCATGGCAACTTGCCAAAAATCCACTAGCTAGGTCAAGAGTACTAAACCAAGAAGAACCCGCCAATTGTTCAAGAGAATCAGAAATATTAGGCAAAGGATAGGCATCTTTACGCGTAATATCATTCAACTTTCTATAATCTACACAGAATCTAACTGAATTATCTTTCTTTCGTACTAAGACAATAGGACTAGCAAAAGCAGAAATTGCTTTCTGAAATATACCATTTTCTAACATGTCATTTATTTCTTTATCGGCAATTTCACGTTGCGCAATAGGCAAACGTCTTGGAGGAAGCTTAATTGGACGGTTTATCAACCGGTGTCTATTGTATGTTTTACTACATCAGTACAAACCAAGTTTCCCATTAGGCCCTAACAAAAAAAATATCTTGGTAATTTATCAGAAAATTTCGCAATCGTTCAGATTGTGATTTCGAAAAAGATTTTCGCAAGACTTTTCATACATGGGCATTAAATGCTCCGGAAGTACATCATTTTCCATAGAAACGTTGAAATTTGTACCGTGTGAAAACTACTTCCTGCTGACGAAATTTGAGATAAATTTGCTATTTCATAACCTTGTTTCAGCTTTACAGGCTCTGAATTTAAATTCAAAATAGAGAATACAACTTCTTTGTTGTTGCTTTCTACAAGAGACCTGGCTACAAATAGATCTTTACGCTGCAAAATTTTATCATTAGTGTTCTAAACGATACCAAAAGTACATTTTCCCCATGAATCAAGTAATTTACCCTTTAATAACAATTCACATTTTGCAGGAATGCTGATCGTTTCGAAACTGAAACGCGAGTGCATACATTTGTATTTTTCTCTTTTCAACTGCACTTTGAAATTTCTTATTTTAAGAATAACCCTTGCCCCAACTAGTAGTAACATAAAATTTTTCTAGAAAGTCCTGGCCCAATAAACCATCAAATCTTATCTAACTGGGCAACAACCAAATTGTGTTCAAACATACGACCGTTAATTTTAAGCTTGAGTTTACATTGTCCGAAAAAATATTCAATGGAGTACCGTCAGCGCCTTTAAGCACAACATCTATGTTATTAGCGCTGGCAAACTAGCCAAGGATTTATAACAGTCATAGGTCAAAAATACTACAAGACGCACCAGAATCAATTAATAAATCCTTTTCACTACCATCATATAACACAGGGTAGAAACCAACAACCCTGTGAAATAGCTCTAACATTAACAGAAGGCCTTATGTTCGAATCACAATTAAAATTTTGCAAAAAGGACTGGGCTTTCGGCCTCAAACTCAGCCCGTTCTAGTTTAAAACGAATTTTGATTTGTGGTATTTTTAATTTCATTTAGGAAGCGTACATGTAGACTGCGCTGGCGCATTGCCAAGGTTGTAATTATCTTGATTGTATACTGATCTATTCTGTTTTAACGGACAGTAGGTACTAATGTGACCCTCTTTCGTGACAATTATAACATACTCTTTTGACGTCGAGCGGATCTATTTGCCCTGTCTTTTATTATTAATTCCTGACATTTTATTGACTGAAAGTGAATCAATTTTATCATTTAGAGAAGAGACAAGTTTTCTCTAGCGATGTTTGAGCATTTAACATCTTGATTTTGTACCGGACGGATATATTCGTCATTACTAGGGCTTAAAGTCGTAAACTGAGTAAATGCCTCAAACTCTGTTGCAAGAGAAAATGGCACTATCTAAGTGAAGACGGGTGCCCGAATTGCACGTGGCACCTGAGTTCTGACCTATTTAATCCCTCTATAAATTGATCTACAATTAAGGTTTCTTAAATGTTTTGTGCGGCATGTCGGGTAAGCTTTTATAACCGAGACGCTTTAAATTTATAACCATATTCAGCAGGGGATTCTTGCTATTTCGTCTCTTATTTCTAAATTCAAACTTATAACTCGAGAGGTTCTTTCACTTGGGTTGAAAACGTTTATTGAGAGTTCTCTCAGACAAGAATATGGCTCAACTCTGTTTTTTTTGAGACAATTCTTCCAAAACACATTCGCACACCGGCCTCTGAGGCAAAATTGCCAAGTTTTGGGCTTTGTCAAGTTCAGACGCACCTGTTGTAATTTGCGACCTGTTCAAAATGGCTAATAAACAAGCCAAAATCAGATTCGCCATTGAATTTATCGGGCTCCCTCTTTCTCTAACGACGAGGCAAGTTCTCAAATTGGCGATAGCCAAGATTTAGTGGCGTTATAACCTTCATTAAAATCTATCGATTGATTTTGGTTTATTATCTGTCCACAATGATGACGTGTAGGCCTACTGTTTACATTAGTGTCGTAGCCATTTTGACAGCTAGATGTACTATTCATGGACATTGCTGTTTGTGGAATTGTAGAGGCATCGTGCCAAAAATGTCCGGGCAAGGGTTTGCTCTGTTTCATTAAAATCTAATTTTCTTTTTGGAGTTTGCATTACGGATTTACTGGAGTTACCTCTCCATGGCGTGAGAAAGTCAAGCAAACTTTTGAACATAATTATTGAAGTACAGACTAGTAAAATAAATACGGAAAAATACTGATGGTAAATTTATATGTACAGTACACTACTATGATAATAATATATAAATGCACAAACGATCCTGGTCACGGTGCACCAGTGTACTTTTAATTTTTAATTTTGTTGAATTTTATTTGTGTACTTGGATTTATTGTTAATTGTTAGCCAGTCTCTAATAAGGTGTGTTGCATAACTGTTATTTATTTAACTTACACATTATTTGGTCATTTTGACCAATGTACATTGATCTAAGGTAGGGGGAGTGTAATAGATGACCAAATTTACTTTATATAAGTACTATATTTCTATTTAATTCTGATATCTTAATTTCCATTATGCTAGTACTGATACTTTACAATCACCTTTGAAACACTATACGATCACTTTTTTGTTTAAAGTTAGGCAATATTAAATTACGCTGCTAAACAATAAGTATTTGGAATCATTTGGCACTTTGCCAACTTAAATTTATCCCATTCTGTATGTTAATTGCTATTAACAAGTGTCCTGTTAATTAACATGTTTATGACGTCACTTTATGACGTCAAACTCGAACGAACACTTGGACGTGAAGGTTTGACGTCATAAAAGACAAGAAGCGCTCTGACCACCATTGCGGTAAGCCGTTGTTTTCATTTCTCGGAAGTTTTCCGATTTTCTTTTATTCCCCCTACCTTATTTATTTTATATGCATGTTAATTATGAAATATGATGACTTAAATATTTAATACAATTCATAAAACTTACATTTGCCTTTATAATTTATTCTCATTTCTTTTGTTTAATTTACACAAACGGTCCTGTGATATCGAACCGAAAGACTGTTCCCCGTTTACATAAGAAAAATGTACTAAAATTTTAGGAAAGTAAAAAGATTCAAGATTCGAGTAATTTTTTAACTGTTCTGTGTGATAAATGACTGATTTTCCAGTATTTACAACTATATTTCTAATGGGTTAGTAACACTGTAAAAACTATTTATGCATATTTTGACCACTTTTTGGTATGTTACAAGGATTGTAAGACTTAGTGCCATTCAAAATGTGTAAATTGCTTCCTTTTGGTTACTTAACAATATCAAACATTCAGATACATATTCAAAATTTTCATCAAATTGTCATCAATATTAGTCTCTATTGCTGACAGCTCTTTATATTGGAGATATGAAAAATTTACAATTCACCTGTGCATGTATGGCTTCCAAAAGGTCAACTATAATAAGTTCCTTCAAACCATCATCCAGCTTTAGTTCCACGACCTGCGAAAAAACAACAACAATTTAATATATCAGCCTCTTTTATACACAAAAATTAAAAGTCTATATCCAATTTCTTATTCATCATGTTAGAAGATCAAGTCAGCAAATGCAAAACTTCAACAAGAATTTTTTTTAAAGTTCATAAATGACCATACCGGTTATTATGTTTAAGCCCATGCTAGAGTTCTGGGCCTTGAATACTGACCTCATTTTATGATTTCAAATAAATTGTGTGAAGTAACAATTTGTTTGTTTGTTTCATTTTACACCTTTTCCCAACAGTATTTCAGTCATATAGGCAGGTAGTTTCCTAACCATCGTTCCTGGAGAGTTACACCAGTACTAGACTACCTTCCTCCGCGCTAATCTACCAAAGCATCTCCCAGGGATCGAACCCATGCCAGAGAGGTAACTGGATTAGAAGTCATCTACTCAGAAAATAACTTGAGCGTTTGATAAGATATGATGACTTGTTGTACAACAAGTTGCGTGTAAAACCTTAACCAACTTGTAATACTGACATCTATGCTGTGGAGTGAGTAGGTTCACCTTCCTTTTATTCCAATAGTCGAACTAAAAATCAAAAACCTTCCTTTACAATGTTTCTTGGCTTAACATATTATCATATTTTATTTAGAAGTGATTAATTTAGAAGAATTGGTTGTCAAGTAATTAGTCTTAACTGTTTTGACATACAAGGTCAAATGAACTATACAAAGTCAATATGACCTTGACCTTTAATCCAGCGACCTCAAAATTAATAGGGGTCATTTACTGGCCAAGAACAATACACCTGTGAAGTTTGAGAGCAAAGGGTCTATGGCTTGGCGAGACATTGGTTTGGAAACCTGTTTGACATACAAGGTCAATATGATATTAACCCCACAATCAGTAGGGATCATCTACTCCCCAAGACCAATGCAGCTGGTCTATCGGACTGACTGACTGGCCCATAAGTGCAAAGCAAAAAATAACCCACTTCTTCGAAAGGGAGGGGGGGGGGGGGGGTGGGGGGTCGGGGCAGGGCACAATTATTAATTAACTATATTTGGTTCATTGACTACATAAGGGATACTTACATTAATCTTTGCTAGAACAACTAGGAAATTCTTCCAGGCTAGAAGCAGTTTGTGTATGGGATGATCTGTGCAGTCTGTGCTTGTGTCCATAGAGTTGTCATGTGACCCTTCGTCTGCTTCCTTTATACAATCTGTGATATACTGTCATTGAAAAAATTAAAACTATATTATCTGAAGCCAGTTTAGACAAAAAAAAATACTTCCTTCAATAGAAAAATGTTTGTATATTTCCCCATAAGCAGATGACACATGTGCGAAATCATCTCTCTAAATGGTTAAATGCCTACTTAAAATAGAAGCAATATATATTTTGTTCCAGAACCAAAGAGTTATTCTATTAACATACAATATTAAAATTATTATTATAGTAAAAGTGTTACTGGATTTGTGAATACTTTCTTACTCACTTAATATAATTTTCCTTAATAGATGTTATCCGGAACATAGTTAATATGGGTAATTTTAATCAAATTCAAGGCTTCAAACAAATTTTCACAATAAAAGCTTCACAGTGAACTACCATTCACAGACGAGAGACAAACTTGGTATGCTTATTATTGAAGCATTTGCTAAGTTGTAACAGTAAGTTTGTTTGTAACCTGGGATAGATGGGGAAAAAAAACAACAACATTTGCTGAACTCTGGTGGGTTTTTTTCTTTCTATTCTTCCTTTTGTGAAAAAAAGTATTAATTTGCCTAGAGTGTGTTCAGCTTTAATTGTATTAGATAGTATGAAATACTTACTGTTGACCAGTACTTGACCCTCCCTTTCTCTGCCAGTTCTTTCAGGATCTTTGAAAGATTATTATCAATCTTCGTACTGGAAGAAGAAAAACACACCAATAAAACAGCTTATCACACCCTAAATCCTTAAGATTCACTGTCCAATCACTTTTTATGGCACATACGTCTAAGCTATGTGTTGTTTTGACTGTTTCAATGACTAAGTTAAGTGCTCGAGCATCACACTAAATGCTGTATTCCTGTACATACCGGACACAGCGCTTGAATGATTAAATGAGAATTTCTTGCTTTTCACATGCTGAAATGCACTTTAAGACACCTTATCCATCTTTTCACACCAATTTATATACCAGAATGAATGAAAAATGTCAGAATCGGCAAAAAAAAACGCTATTTTTCTACTTTGTAATCATGATTTCTGAAAGCGTCTACAGGTGAAGATACAACACTGTAGTGATTTAAATCCATTTAAAATACACCCCTGAATACAAAAGCATGTGGCTGTCGATGTGGCTGCATGGCCAAGTGGTTAACGCGTCAGACTAGTAATCTATTGATCGCTAGCCGCATGGGCTCAAAACAGGTCGGAGGAAAGTCGTTGCTTCCTTGAGCAAGAAACTTTACACCAATTGCTCAATACTGGTTGGTTCCAGGAACTGATTCGAAAATGTGTCTATATTCGAAAGTGTGTCTATAAGCTTAGAGCTTCCTACACAATGAAACTAAAATAAATTCTGTATAATAAACCAATACAAAAGCAATCTAAAATTTTTTTATTTCTCATACCTAGTATAATCGTGAAACTAAATCTATTTTATACAGTCAAGACTGCCTTAGCGACCCCCTGGTTTAAACGACTCCCTGTCTTATCCGACCTTGTTTCAGTACTCCCAACGTATTTTCCTATATAAATGGTCTGAATTAAACGACTCCCTGTCATATGTGACAAGCGACCTTAATTGTCTGGTCCCAATGCAATGTTTGGTCTGATTTAAACGACTTTCACACCTTTTTATTATCCGTTAATCAGAAAAGAATACCTATTTTAACACCCAGAGGGCCAAAATAATTAAGTCCAATTATAATCCAGTAGCAAACAAAGTCTAACACACCTCTATCTCAATTACACAATTAGCGTGTATATACCGGTAGATACATGCAGGTACCAAGTGACGTAGCGTCTGTTCATGGAAAGCATGATCTAAATCAATGTGTGTGTAATGTACAAAATGGCCTGAGTACTTGTGTTAATTTTTTTTAATTATAGAGTGCCCACTGGAAGATTTTTTAGGCAGCATTTTTTAAATTTACCTTTCTATGGCTGCATAATTAATACGGAAAAAATATTGATACCGAACCAGAAAAAGCTTTGGATATGGAAAATTGTTTTTAAGATCCTGTAACACAATTTTTTCCTGGTTTTATTTCATAAAATATGATGCTCAAATTAAGATTTGTCAATATTGTAAGTTCAAATAAGCATTATTATATAAAGATATCCCCAATTTAACATTTCATGTAAATAAAGGCCATTAAGGGAGGTAATTAGAACTTTATTTTCTATACAGTCTAAGTCAAATTTTCCAATAAGAAATCAATGCATGTAATTTATTGATTAAATATAATGTGAACAAATATTTGCAGTACACATTTTACATATTCTTTGATGTTTGAAAATTGTTTTATTTGCATAATTATATCCATATATTTGTTTGCAAGATACGTAAACACAGTAACAATATCAATCACAAAACATACAGGATCTGTAAGTCACATTGGTATATAGCTATAGACAGATAGATGATATTTAAATTTAATTTTCTTTGAGACTGTATTTAGAGACTCCCTGTCATGTGCGACCTTTTTCTGAAGATCCCTTGGAAAGTCACATATGACAGTCTCGACTGTAGTTACTAATGACATACCTATTTGTAACATAAATCTCCTGGGCCAGTACTTTAAAGATATAAGACACTGTCTTCAGTTTGAATGTCAGCATCTGAAATAAAAATAATGTATTATAAGCCATGTCAGATTTAATATTGGACTTTTGTAAATATTGTGTAGTATGTTGACTTTGTAAAAAATATTAACTTTTATTGTATACAGAACAAAATATTCGGTTGCTATTTTGAGTGGTTTTGGCGATGATTTTATGCATGCTCCACTCACTTGTAATAAATTATACTGAACATTTTTTTTTTCTACGTATTCTCTAACCATTTGAAAATTGCAAAATAAACACAAAAATAAAATCCACAGGCAGTGGCCATCATATTCATGTGCCAGTTTTTAATACTTGTTCATGAAGAGCAAACTAAAGTAAGTTTATTATTTCATAATTTATGCCTTAAATTATCGGTAATTGCCTCAGTATAACCCTTTGAAAATTAAGTACCACATAAATGTAAAAGTTGCTACCTATCATATAGGTATTAAAATCCAATGAAAACATAAAAACATCCCTATTCTTGACCAGTGACCGTTAAAATGAGATTCAATGATCAACATAGGAATAATTCTCCAGTTATAAGTGCAAGAGTTATGAATCATAGCACATGTGATGAGGGTAATATTTATAAACAACTACTTGTCCAAATGTTTTAAGTACTCAGATCCTTTAAGTAATCAGAAAGGACAAACTGAACAATATTTCAAGGCATAAAAACAAAAATGTTTAGTCTGAATATGGATGCTTAAGCTGTAGTATAAGAACAGCTCGGCATAAACTTTATTTTGCCTTTTTAATGCCGATTTTAACATATTTTTGTTCATATTTTGGCAGTCAATCCATCTAATTGGCTTTTCTGGATTTTGTTTGTTTATTTGTTGGTTTTTGGTTTTACATCGCAACCTCACTGTCTAGGTCATATGGCAACGTTCCATCTTAACTGGTGGAGGAAGACCTCAGGTGCCCCTTCGCGCATTATTTCAGGCACGAACAGGCACCTTAGTAGAACCATCGACGTTCCGAAAGCTAGTGGAAAATTCCCCCATGAAGAATTAAGTCCTGTCGGATTCAAACCCCCAGGGTTTAAATGCAAAAGGTTTGAAGTCAACTATTAGCCACCCGCCAAAACCCCCCAGGGTTTTCTTGCCAGTATGACCCGTAATACCCCCCTCCCCAGGGGACAGCTATTTATCTTGAATACGGTGAAAGGGAAAAGGACATTAATCAATTTTGAGATTGTCACGTAGAAATTACGCCCCAAAGGGTCTAACCCGCTACCCCCGGACTATTTAAAGCCCTCTTAAAAAAATTAAAAATTTTTAAAAAAAAAAGAAACCTTTTTCGGGAGTTTAAGATCTTTCAGTCGTCCCAACCGGGTCGGCCAAAAATATTTAAATAGGATAAAATAAGGATAAAAAAAAACATAATTAGTGAAGTGCTGAAAGAGTCATTTGGCTTAGATTTCAAGTTCAATATCCTGAATAAAGCATAACTAGCTACTTAATCGTTCCCACATTTCAAAGTTTCATTCCTCCAGATGAGCAAAAGTTTCAAAAATTTCAAACATCAGAAAAATGTATTTATAAATAAAACAAATAATTTTTGGTAATTTCAAAAATCTAATAATTCTGGGGGTATGCATCTTTAAAAAAAAAAAATATACTTAAAAAGACTTTTCAACCCCTGGATCTTATTGACCCTTCTTTAATTTTTTAAACGTAACTAAAGATGCAAAATAGACTGAATTCCAACAAGAATATGACATATACGAGAGTTGTTAAAACAAATTACTATTTTAAAATTATGAGCTTACTTATAACTTTTAACATACTGGTCCTGAAAGTTTTAAGTCTTTGCCACCAGTATAGAGACAGGCAAGCCTACATATACATACATACATACTCACCAGGCTATATACATTGTACTGTTGGTAGTTAAACTTTTTGTATTTTGATACTGAATATCCCTTAATTTTGAATGAACTGTTCCAAATCCAAAGGTGGGTCAATCCACTATACAAATTCAGGAGGTTACGGGAAGTAAACACATAACTGACAAGTCAATGATAACATTAACCCTCAACCTGCTGAATTTGTGAAATGGATTTACCCAGATTTGGATTCAGAAGAGTCCATTCAAAGTTGAAGGGATTTCAGAAAGAAACAAGACGACTCACTTTGCCCTTAAAGCTGCCATTGCTGTTTCTCTCATGCCTACCCACAATGCCTGTATAAAGTTACAGCATGCACACAGCAGGTCCGGGGGACACTGGTACGAGCCTTGTCTCCTCACGTCCATCAAGTCCAGTACTGTCTGTAGACAACTGGTCCTTCCAACCAACACATCCTGAATAACACCATGATGGCAATGATATAAGATTAGACATCTATGTCAACACACACACCTGGGTGTATCATACATGTGAACTCTCTCACTTTGAGCGGGAGACTCAAACTTTTCTGCAGCCATAATTTCAAAGATTTTTCTTAAAATTAGGGGTATTTTCACAAATTAAAGAAATCTCCCTATTTTTGATGTCAGAACTTTCTTCTTTGTTTATTGCAAATTCTAAAATCTCCCTCTTTTTGAAGAAAACCCTTCCACTTCTTATTCAACAATAATTGACACATTAAACAATAGAGCTATTTAATACAAAGAAAATGATTCAACTTTTTCCCTCCTGCCCCAAACATTTACTATGTATGAAGCTTTATTGCTGTGTAAAATTCTGTTATCTTATAATTATACTAAAACTGACTGTTTCCAGTTGGGTTAAAAACTGAGCATACATGTATTATAAAGTATCATAAAATTTGACATACATTTCAATATTTACGGTACCATATAATCATATTTATTTTCGAAGGACAAATTTTTTGCATATTATTATTTGGACATAATTATAGCTAAACCTATCTGTTTGCATATACAACTGAAACTACAATAACTCTAAATGCCAAGTATACACATTACATGTTGGCACGGAATTTCAGTGTAGTGAACATTAAAGTGATTTTATAGAAAGCAGCTAGGCTTACCTTGTTAGTAGCAGAGGGTTTTGTGGTTTGTACATTTAGGAACAGTTCTATCAACCCTGGCTGTGTGTCCACACAGACTGACATAAGCTCCAATATGCCTGTCTTCAAACTTAGATCCTTAAATTAAACATTTAACCATGCTATAAATAACAAAAAATTTAGTCTACACATTATTTATTCAATAATATTATGAAGAAATCTCATTTATTCAATATTGGATCTGAAGAAAGCTTTATTCAATATCATTATGAAAAAAAGCTTATTAGAGTTAGTGATGGGTTTTTAAAAACAACCACATAGAGATGGTCATATTGCAAATATCCAGGTTTACTGGTGGAGGAAGACCTCAGGTGCCCCTTCGTGCATTATTTCAGGCACCTGAGTAAAACCATAAGCATTTCATATGCTAGCTAAAATTAAAAGTCCATAACAGGATACTAACCAATAGTGGTGATGGGCAAGTGGTCTGAAGGCAACGACACTAACTATTGGCCCAGGGACGCCAAATGAAGTTTTGAAATAATATCTTTAGTGATTGAGAGGAAAGAAATTACATGCAAAAGATAATGACATTACAGATGTCTAAGTAGGAGAGCCTAAATTATAAACTAAATCAGGCTAAAAAGCAATTTAAAATAATTGCAACTTAAATTGGGTTCATCTCAGTTTAAATGAAAAATTCTAAATTATTTCTAGTCTGAAAAAGCAACACAAATTAAGACAAAGAAAATTATAGCTGTACCTCGGTGGCAGAATGTAGTCTCATCAAATATATATCTCTGATTGCCTCCCCTTGTCCCCCGAGACATGCCAGGATAGACATAGGTAATACCACTGCTAATCTACGAAGGAATAGCGTGGCTAATTTCGGTAACAGCGGGTTGGTACGATGGTAAATATACTCTACAAACAAACATTTTTTTAGTAAATAATTATCTATTTTTTATAGTATCATATAACAAAGAAGATCCTCAAATTTAAACAAATTTTTTGCCAATTCAGCAAATTTCACATCAAACCTACTCTCTCGGATAAAAACATTTTATCTCATATAATACTCCTTTATTTGGTGTGAATTTTAGTCCAACCACCACAGCAAAGGTCATACGGAGGCTTTACTGCTGAACTTACGAGAAGATCCTGAAATGCTCCTCCATGCATTATTTCACACATGAGTTAACCGTATTGAGAAACATTGCCTTTTTGTAAGCCAGCTGGACAGCAGAGTCATTTGGAAAAAAAACAAAAAAAAACAACAAAAAACCCACAGTCTTTTGAAGAGTCTAACCCTGTTTGTTGAAGTGCAAGCAACTAATAGTCACTGATTGTTTAAACATAAATTTTACTTGTACCATATTTCACTGTATGTAAATGTATTGATATGTATATGCTGCTTTGTGCTAGAGACCTCGTACCAATAAACATTTTGTCATTGTCATTAACCAATCTGCCCAGGAGAGCCAAACATATTCACACCTACAATATAATTATACATATACATGTACATGTATAAGTAATACAATTTAGTAACAGACTGCTCTAATGACCTCAAAAAATTGGAGGCTAATAAGTCATAAAAGTTCATCAAGTCACGTGACCTATCTAGACTGGTTCCCTACCTGCTATTACAGCAACACTATCTACACTGGTTCCCTACCTGCTATAACAGCAACAATGTGTTGGTTCTGGTACCCGGCTGGTTGTGAGGACAGAGCTACTTCTACTGGTGATAACTCATCATGTGACTTCAGTAACAGCAGACGGTTCATCACAGAAAACCCGATCTGAATCAACTGCATTAAATCTTCACCACTTCCCTCTGTCAGACTGAAAATAAATGTCATGGTTCAGAACTGGGGAGATAATGTGTAACCAGCCAAACTGCTCAGTCGGTAGAGCCGCGGTATGGTATTCCAAGGGTCCTGGGTTTGAGCCCCAGTCAGACTGTATACTTTTCTCAGCCAGTGACATTTGGCGCCCAACAAGGAACCATGATGATATAAACTCCGAGTCCAATTTCACATTGTTCTCTGTACCCATTAGGAATTCGAAGACGAATTTCAATATAGTGGGGGAGTATGTCATGGTTCAGAAATGTTCACTATTTAGGATGATAGTTTGTAAGCGGCCAGATAGCTCAGTCGGTAGAGCTGCAGTAAGGTATTCCGAGTGTCCCGTCCAAATATGAGAAAAAAGGAAAAGGAGAAATTTTGACTTTCAGCAACAATACTCAAAATGCTAATTATTACATTTCTTACTTTACAAAGTAAAAATTTTAATAAGATATTGTTAGGAGTCTCATACTTTAAGAAACAAGAGCCGGTTGAACAAGGTGATGCTTCTTGAATAGGTTTTGGACACAGGAAGGTATACCTCTTGTTGTGTCAGAGTTATGTCACAGACAAAGTTCAAAGTGTAAAAACAACCCAAATATTGTGCACGACACATTGTCTCAATATGGTGATCATTTTTGTGAAATAGTTGTAAAATCCGAATTTCAAATAACAAAGTTATGCGCCTGACATTATTTTGCTGCAAGGTCATGCTGTGACCTTGACCTTCAAGGTAGTGACCCAAATGTTGCATGCGACACGTCGATTCAATATGGTGATCATCTCTGTGAAATAGTTGTTAAATCCGACTTTAAGTAACAAAGTTATGGGCCGGACACGATTTTGCTGCAAGGTCATGCTGTGACCTTGACCTTCAACGTAGCGAGCCAAATGTTGCGCATGACACACCATTTTAATATGGTGATCATTTCTGTGAAATAGTTTAAAAATCTGACTTCAAATAAGGAAGTTATTGGCCGGACACGATTTTGCTGCAAGGTCATGCTGTGACCTTGACCTTCAAGGTAGTGACCCAAATGTTGCATGCGACACGTCGATTCAATATGGTGATCATCTCTGTGAAATAGTTGTTAAATCCGACTTCAAGTAACAAAGTTATGGGCCGGACACAATTTTGCTGCAAGGTCATGCTGTGACCTTGACCTTCAACGTAGCGAGCCAAATGTTGCGCATGACACACCATTTTAATATGGTGATCATTTCTGTGAAATAGTTTAAAAATCTGACTTCAAATAAGGAAGTTATTGGCCGGACACGATTTTGCTGCAAGGTCATGCTGTGACCTTGACCTTCAAGGTAGCGACTTAAATGTTGTGCATGACACGTCATCTTAATATGATGATCATTTCTGTGAAACACTTTTTAAATCTAACTTCAAATAGCGAAGATATGGGCAAGACATGATTTTGCTGCAAGGTCATGCTGTGACCTTGACCTTCAAGGAAGCGACCCACATGTTGCGCGCAACACATCTTCTCAATATGGTGATCATTTTTGTGGAATATTTTTTAAATCCGACTTCAAATAACAAAGTTATGGACCAGACACGATTTTGCTGCAAGGTCATGCTGTGACCTTGACCTTCAACGGTAGCAACCCAAATAATGCGCGCGACACGTCGTCTCAATATGGTGATCATTTCTGTGAAATATTTTTAAAATCCAACTTCAAATAACAAAGTTATGGACCGGACACGATTTTGCTGCAAGGTCATGCTGTGACCTTGACCTCCAAGGTAGCGACCTAAATGTTGCGCGCGACACGTCGTCTCAATATGGTGATCATTTCTGTGAAATATTTATAAAATCCGACTTCAAATAATGAAGTTATGGAACGGACACGATTTTGCTGCAAGGTCATGCTGTGACCTTGACCTTCAGGTAGCGACCCAAATGTTGCGCGCGACACGTCGTCTCAATATGGTGATCATTTCTGTGAAATAATTTTAAAATCCGACTTCAAATAACAAAGTTATGGGCCGGACACGAATTCAGGACGTACGTACGGACGGACTGACGGACGGACAACCCGACGACTATATGCTCCCCCGAAATTTTTCGGGGAGCATAAAAATAGCAAAATATATATGTATTCGGGAGAAGCATTCGGCAAAACTTCAGCCTGAAAAAAATTGTGAAATAAGGGTCCTGCAGGATTACAATATTCTACATGTACATTAATTGAAAATGAAGAATATTAAGGCAGTTATTTGATATATATATATTTATGTAATACCTTGACTGTTGGGCCAACAATATCTCTAAAGGTTCTACCCCAGTTGCTATTATCTCCAGTAAAGCTCGCCCTGCTTCCGTGAATAGTAGACTGTACACGCACAGATTCTGTATATGTGGCCTGAAATATACAAATCGAGTCGCGCCATGACAAAACCAACAATATGGGTTTGCGACCAGCATGGATCCAGACCAGCCTGCGTAAACGTGCAGTCTGATCAGGATCCATGCTGTTTGCTATCAGTTTCTCTACTTGTAATAGGGTTTGTAAGCCAACAACATGAATCCTGATCAGACTGCACGGATGCGCAGGCTGATCTGGATCCATGCTGGTCGCAAACCCATTATGTTGCAAACCCATTAGTCTTATACAAACTAGTACTAAACTTGATGAGCAGCACCTAACATCCCACATATCTACGCTTAACATCACATTTACATAAAATATAAAGAATATTCAATAACATAACATACAAATATAAAACAGGGCTCGAATTTAACACTCGCAAACTCGCAAAATGCTAGTTGAAAAATGATTTTGCGAGTTAGATTCATGACTACTCGCAATTTTTTGCGAGTTGAAGAAAAAGTGGAATACGCTTGTCAGGAAAATCCGAAATATAAATGGGGCGTAATATTCGCAGGAAGCCGAGTTATAAACCATGTGCACACTTGCTGTCTGATTTACATTTTCTATACCTTAACCTCGCTTAAAAACGTACACAAATTTAAACCAGTCCAAATGTCATTTTGTCCGTGTAAATCAAGTGTGATCGGAATAAAATGTCTTAACGAAAAATAACGAACTTCTTCCCACTTATTGAAGCAAATGTGTTCTTCCGGATAACAATTTAACTCTGAGTACAGAAAGATGATTTCACAGTCTATCAAAGAAAGTTCAATGAGACCTTCAGTTAAAAATGGTTAAAAAATTGGGAAAGAAAGAAACTGCACGTCAGTCATGTCAGTCTTCGAAAGAACAGCGATGACGATTTGGAAATGTTGCCAAAATTTTTGCGCCGATTGTTGTGGCATAATTTTCCAGAACCAGACATGGTCGTTATTATTGGCGACAATATTGCATTATTATTTTTTTACATGTAGATTGACATTTTTGATAAGAATTCCCTGTCCCCTTAAAATCAGTTTTTAAGTAGAAAGTTCTTGCTGATTCGTACCCCGGGCAGTTCTCGAACTCGTCCAATAAATTACATTTTTAAACATTTTGGAGATTTAAAAAATTCATTGTCGTAAAAGTGCTAGTTGAATTCCCGTTTTTTGCTAAGTTAAAAAATTTGTCCACTAGCAAAAAATTGCTAGTGGCCAAAAAAGTTAAATTCGAGCCCTGATAAAACAAAAATACTGTAAATTGTATAAAACAAAAATACTGTGATTAACAATGTTTGTTCTGTGGAAATTCTTAATCAGGATACAACAGTTCTGTTGAAAACCATATAGTGACATGATGTGAATTGCTTGACAGTTCAATTTGGGTCACCATTCTATAAAGCTGTGAAGCTGTCCATCTGTTACGTGTTATTACATCTTATAATAGCCAGCATAGCTCAATCAGTAAGAGCGTGAGACTTTGTAATTCTCAACATTGTTTGGGTTCGATTGTCCCGGGAGCTGGCCAACGTAAAATTACTAATTCAGTCTTTCGGATTGGAGACTTTAAATCAAAGGTCCCGTGTATGAGTGCTGAAAACACTTTGTGGCATGTTAAAGAACAAGGGAAGCTTTCTGGAATTGGGGATCTTTTTGTATCTGACTCTTGCCACTATCCCTCCAAAAAAAAATGACTAATACTTGGAGGACTCACCATTATGGGGAAACGGTGGCGAGTATAAATAAAACTCAAATCCACCACTTATACATCTTTATGGAGATAAAAGTATTTTTATTGATGTGATATTCACAATTAAAATTGGTTTTTAAGGCCATGACATCAGAGTCCAAACAAGTTTTTGAATAGAAAATTATAATGAATAAGAATCTACAAACTTACTTATCAGAGTTTTTCTTTTTCTTCGGCAGCCTGAAGTTCAGTATCTTATGAGCGATTTTCAAACATTTGTGACCTGAAAAAAAAAAGAAAAGTGAATCAACCTTTTATGAGATGATAACTCTAACATGGAAAACTATCTTCCTGTAAACAGGTTAAGATTAAGTATCATCGTTTTAAAGCAACACCACTGAGATCAACTAGACCTGGCCAATGTCTTATATTAATGGGGTTTTCAATTTTAACCTTTTAAAGTCTGAGTTTTATAAATAACAAGTTTTTATATAAGCTGGGCTGCTGAAATTTGGTTTCTCTCAAAATGGAACATGTTATACATAATTGAGGCAGCCCGCGGGCTTTGTTCATGAGGTTTGTTGCTGTCAAACATTTTTTCCCTCTTAGAGTCCCTAAAAGGTTTTTTAACTTTGTAAAACCTGTAGATTTTGTGTTAATGGATTCACCCAGCTTTGAATTTGGAACAGTCCATTCTCAGTTAAAGGAATTTCAATATCAAAAAACAAAATAGAGCTACAAACAATATAGAGCCTTGTGAGCAGAGGAGCAGACTAGTGGCAAAGACAATTCATTTTCCGTTCTAGCAGGTTTACATTTATGGTAAACAAACAACTTACCAATTATTTCCCTCCGTACAGAGTTATAGTATCTCCACTTTTGAAATGCTGGGAAAATCTCTCTTAATATGTACATAACTACTGGTTGTAACTGCATCTCATGCCCTATTTTGTACAATGGCTGAAAAAGAAATTAAATACTTTCTTCATTGACCATTCCATCACAAACCGTATAGCACAATGGCTAGGAAAAAAATGAAATAATTTGTTCACTAAGTTTGTACAATGGCTTAAAGATTAAAAAAAAAAACAACAAATATTAACCATTTCTTTACATACTTGGGTCACTCATTGAGTCCAATTTTCTTCCACATAAACAAAATGAAAACAAAATTTGTAATTAAGTTTAAGTGATATTTTCCCTGTATTTTACAACCAAATAAAGGCTGTTTCCCCTAGCCCAAAATAGGTATATTTTCCCCTTATACGTTTTCTATATGTCTATATGAAAACTCCCGAAAACTTCTTTAAGATGCTAATATTTTCCTTTAAAATACCCTGTGCACATTCTTTACCAGAACCATGACTTAACAGCAGCTGACATATCAGCTAGTCCCTATAGATAGACTCTGCTATGTACCATGCATGTTAAATTGAATTGAAAATTTTATAAAATGTGTGGGTAAATTCCATTCTCAGTAATGTTGGAATTTGATTTTCCCCATTTCTGATTTATCAAGCTATATTTTCCCCTTCAGAAAGCCACAGGTTGATTTGAAAATTGAAAAAAAATCACTGAGTTTTAATTTTGCCTCTATGTAAATGCTGCATACACCTTTGAAAGGTAGGTCATCAATGTCCCGATGCCAAAATCTATAAATTTAATTTGGATTTTCTGTCTGTTGACCTGCTATTTTAAATCAATCAATTATATCGGAAAATAAATTCAACTTACCATGACAAGTTCCGATATGAAATCTAAAAATGCCACAGTGACCTGATACTCCCCTTGTGGTACTTCAAAACCCGCAAGCAAAGAGCCATATAGTCCAGGGCTCAAACCTCGACCACTGAAAATATAAACAATTGATAAGGAGTGACATGGGATCTTTTGCAATGACATTTCTGGCAATAATACAATACAGTACAATACAGTTTATTTGCTTTAAACATAATACAATGTTTCTAGCATAACATATAGACAGGTAACATATTATATATACAGTCATATTGGGTTTTATTCAAAAGTAAGCAAATTTATGCCCTTTGTATATTTTCTTCAACATATACATACTTTGCAACTAAAACTAAAATTTTCTTCACAACAAACAATATATCACATTATCCTGGAAAAGGTACTGCAGATAATCTCAACTTTTATTTTCTTTTATATTTGCCACGTTAAGGTCCAAAAGGTCAGCATCCAGCCAAATGTCATCCATTTCAGTTAACTGTGACAACTTTAAATTTCCATAAAGTTTTAAAAAACTAGAAATGTGTCCATAGGACACGGATGCCCCCACAAGCCACTGTTCTGTCAATCTTATGACTCTAGGTCAAATATTTTTTGAACTACATGTGCCACAAGTTGAAAACTAAAAATCAACAAAGGGCCATAATTCTGTAAAATTTGGTCGCAGCAAAAATTCCTTCCTTTACTACCATCTACACATTAAGGTTGTTAATCCCTGGAAGTTTAAGTAAAATCTGCCATCCGGTTTAAGAGGAGTTGCGTTCACAAAATTTCTACATTATTAGTATATAATGAAAAAATCAACAAAGGGCCATAATTCTGTTAAATTTGGTTGCAGCAAAAATTCCTTCCTTTACTGCCATCTACACATTAAGGTTGTTCATCCCTGGAAGTTTAAGCAAAATCTGCCATCCGGTTTAAGAGGAGTTGCATTCACAAATTTCTACATAGTATATAAGTGAAAAAAATTAACAAAGGGCCATAATTGTGTAAAATTTGGTCGCAGCAAAAATTCCTTCCTTAACTACCATCTACACCTTAAGGTTGTTCATCCCTGTAAGTTTAATCAAAATCTGCCATCCGGTTTAAGAGAGTTGCGTTCACAAAATTTCTACATAGTATATAGTTGAAAAAATCAACAAAAGGCCATAATTCTGTTAAATTTGGTCGCAGCAAAACTCTTCCTTTACTACTATCTACACATTAAGGTTGTTCATCCCTGGAAGATTTAAGCAAAATCTGCCATCCGGTTTAAGAGGAGTTGCGTTCACAAAATTTCTACATAGTATATATAGTGTGAAAAAATCAACAAAGGGCCATAATTCTGTTAAATTTGGTCGCAGCAAAAATTCCTTCCTTTACTACCATCTACCCATTAAGGTTGTTCATCCCTGTAAGTTTAAGCAAAATCTGCCTTCAGGTTTAAGAGGAGTTGTGTTCACAAGATTTCGGGACGTACGTACGGACGGACGGACGGACAAGTGCAACGCTATATGCTCCCACATTGTGGGGGCATAAAAATGTTTTCAACATCAGATTTTGTAAGTTTTAACCTTTATTTGTATTCACTTAATTGAATGAAACTTTATACATGTACTTTATTATTACCTGAGAACTTCTGCCATGTTGTCAATATTTTCTGTCAAAAAGGGGAGGAGTCCTGTCTGTTTCATATCATGCCACGCCTCTTTTGGGTGGAGCTTAGCTACACATGTTATACAATCAATACAGGCAGCCAGCAACTCAAGAGGTGGGGGATTGAATGATGAAAACCTAGAAATAATCCACAGTGAAAGCAATGTATTAAAACCACAGCTTATCAAACAAATTGTTTCAAACAAGAGCTGTCAGCGCACTCGACTTTTTCAAGTGCTTGGCAGTAAGAAAAGGGGCATAACTCAGGTAAGTCAGAATTATGGGACTTGTACACATCATGGTGACAATTGTGTGTGAAGTACCGACTCATTTTCTTCTGTAGTTTTGAAGATATCAACTTGCCCGCAAACACTTAACCAAAGCATGACTGCAATATGCCTAGTCAAATATAATTGCTCTCCTTATTCTTTGAAAAGTTGAGCTAATAAAAATGATATATTTTTGACATTTAATTACAATATAAGATTTTTTTACACCATTTACAATGTACTATTATACAGAATATCTTAAATGGACTTGTCCACCTATCAATCTGGACAAAACCATTCATCAATTTTAAGAAATAAATTCAAAATAAGTATTGACTGCAGTATTGCTTCACATAGAAACAGACCAGTAAGTCAGTCAGGTTTTGACGGCCCTGGAAACTCAACATGTTACCAGTTATTTGTTTCATTAAAATATATTTTCAACTGGTTCAGATTCTACAGAGAATGTTAATGAGGATAAATGTTTAAAAAAATGTGTTACTGAAGTACACAAAGTAGATGTTCTTTGCTATACTAAAAAAAAAATCCGTCTTGGCAATGTGCCAAAAAATTTCAGATATAACATGTCTGTTGATAGATAATATACCTCTGAATGAGTGTATACAAGAGAACTATGATGTCTGTGAGGCCGTCTGCTGCTGAAGGTTGTGACCTACATATTGCTCGAACAAACTGGGCAATATCAGTAACTCGCTCTACCTGTACTGGCTGAACCATACCTAAAAATAATAATAAACATAATTGAGCCGCATCATGACAAAACCAACATAATGGGTTTATGACCAGCATGGATCCAGACCAGCCTGCGCATCCGCTCAGTCTGATCAGGATCCATGCTGTTCGCTATCAGTTTCTCTACTTGTAATAGAGTTGGTAAGCGAACAGCATGGATCCTGATCAGACTGCGTGGATGCGCAGGCTGGTCTGGATCCATGCTGGTTGCAAATCCATTACATTGGTTTTGTCGTGACACGGCTCAATTTTGACAAAAAAACAGGACAATGCTCTAAAGGGAGCTGTGGTCTTGTGTTCCAGGTTCCCGTCTTACAAAAAAAGGTGTTAGGCCTACTGGTGTCACAACTATGGTTAGTTCCATTAAGCAAACTCAAGAGTTATTAAGATAAGTTCATTTAATGTTCTTTAGCTAGATTAAGCTTTAAATTATGACAAGCTACTGTCATATATATGTGAAATTAACTAGCCGTTTTTGCACCATTTTGCAAATATCATTATTACACCTTTAATGTTTTTTTATTGACGTTGGTCCCTTCAATACCTAAACAACTGACAGAAAAAGGAATTCCAAAATAAAGGAAATCAACCTTGAATTGTCATCAACTTCACATATCCATGGTCAGATGATTAAGGTGAGGAAATGCTTGCTAACAGAGAGATACCTTTCAAACTATGAATGCGTCCATATGACACGGATAACCCCTTCTTGCATATCAGACTGGCGTTTCTGTTAGTTTTACCCATGCCGGAAATTTCATCTGGCATGGGGGGTTCCAGATGAGTCGCGTGCTGTACAATGGCACGATAAAGACGACGTCATTTTACCGTTATGAATGATTTTGTAATTCATACGCTGTTGAATGAAAGTAGTAACGGTTGTAATGATATAAATTTTCATTGAAAATAAAGATAAAGAATTTAAAATATAATGGAATATGGTAGAATATGCAAGAAAAAATATCTGACATATGTTTGCAGTTCGGATCGGAATATCCGTCCCTCGGTCACCCGCCCATGGGCGGGTCACCTCGGGACGGATATTCCGATCCGAACCGCAATATATGACAGATATTATTAATCTTCCACTATGTAGTCACCTTAGGGGGATCAATACTGACAAGGGCATATTTATATGTCCACTCCCTAATAGTAGGAGCTTTAAAAAGAACTCTTTTCTCCCTACCTGCACCTCTGGCCACTTGACTGAGTAATTCCTGAATTTCACCCTTCAATAACTGCCATCCATCGTAAGTAACTTCCCATTGAATTATGGGTATTTCAAGGTTAGACACTGGTTTCCCACCTGTAGTTATCAACTGCCCATATACACCAGCTGGTATCCGGAAATCTCCTAAATATATAGATATGAATTTTCAATAGTGCTATATAATTGCACAGTTACACTGTTCACCTGTAAATTAGTAAAAGTGGAACATAAATAATTTTGGTGTTCAATACAATCCTTGTACATGTGTATATACATTTGTCTCATAATCAGTATGAATCAGTATGCGTATTTTATGCAAAATAAGACGATATTAATTTTTTTATCACATCTACTAATGGAATAAGGGCTAGTTTTACTAATTTGGACAAAGTGAAGAAAATATCTGTAAATAGGAAATGTATAAGGGTAGCTTTTATTACTTTATTTAAATGCTTGATATTACTTATATTTTTTCAACCTACCTCCCTTCAAGCAAATGTTGGGTTATTTATAGTCCAAAACTGAAATTTAACAGTGTTCAGCCTATTCTTATACAAGAAGTAGGCATTCAGAATTTATCCAGCTACTCCACAAATAAACTACAATCATGCCTAACAAAGCCTCAAAATTGGTATAACAGCATGTTGACAATTGCAATAACAAAGCATTCCTTGAATACAAGAACATTATATCATAAATGATAGTTATTTTTTCCAGACAATTTTATAACTTAACACTATATAAAAATTCCTACCAGCACCATAGGGGGTTTTATCCCTTGCCAACTGGCACACCAAGGGGTCACTGGTAAATCTGAGGTCATGTGAACTGTTCCTATCCAGATATTCTGTGTACCTTGGTAGTTCTGACCACAACTCTAGAACCTGTCAACATTATAAAATAACACATAGAGGATATTCACGTTTTTTTCTATAAATACAGGATTTATTTTCATTGTGTGGTAAAAAAATAAATATTTCATAAGCCATAAGTGGAGCAAGATGAAAAGAAACTTGACTTTTCTGTTTAAAATAAACATTATTCTCTGTTTTGATATACCGTAACAAGAGGGCCAAGATGGCCCTAGATAGCTCCCCTGTCCCATCAACCACATCCGAGCAATGTCTTAGACAAGCATCCTGACCAAGTTTGATGACAATTGAGTCAAAAATGTGACCTCTAGTGTGTTCACAAGGTTTTTTCCATATTTGGGCAGTGTGACCTAGTTTTTAACCCCAGATGACCCATATTCAAACTTGACCTAGAAATCATCAAGACCAATTTCCAGGATATTTGAACAAACATCAGTAGCCACTAGACAGTTCACAAGATTTTCTATTTTTAGCTCCTGTGACCTAGTTTTTCCTCAGAGATATCCATATTCGAACTCCTCTAAGTAATTAACTAGACAAGCATCCTGACCAAGTTTGATGACAATTTAGTCAAAAAAGTTACCATAAAAGTATTAACAAGGTTTTTCCATATTTGGGCAGTGTGACTTAGTTTTTGACCCCAGGTGATCCATAATCGATTTTTACCTGGAAAATACAACCTTCCTGACCAATTTCCAGAATAATTGGCTCAAACTGCAGCCACTTATGTTTACAAGATTTTTCTATTTTTAGTTCCTGTGAACTAGTTTTTGACCGGAGATGACCCATTTTCAAAACTGACCTAGAAATCATCAAAACAAACTTCCTGAACAATTTCCAGGATATTTGGAAAACAACAGTAGCCACTAGACAGTTCACAAGATTTTCTATTTTTAGCTCCTGTGACCTAGTTTTTCATCAGAGATATCCATATTCGAACTCCTCTAAGTAATTAACTAGACAAGCATCCTGACCAGGTTTGATGACAATTTAGTCAAAAAAGTTACCATAAAAGTATTAACAAGGTTTTTCCATATTTGGGCAGTGTGACCCCAGGTGATCCATAATCAAATTTACCTGGAAAATACAACCTTCCTGACCAATATCCAGAATATTTGGCTCAAAACTGCAGCCACTAGAGTGTTAACAAGCTTTTTCTATCTTTAGCTCCTGTGACCTAGTTTTTAACCCGAGATGACCCATCTTCAAACTTGACCTGTATTTCATTGAGGCAAACATTCTGACGAAGTTTGATTAAAATCAAATCAAAACTGTGACTGCTTGAGTGTTAAAAACCAAAATGTTGACAAAGCATGATGCGAGACACCTGACATGGCCCCATCACTATACCTCTCCTTGACCACTTTGTGGTCACGTGAACTAAAAAAAACTACTTGTTACCAATTCTTGAAATTTTGAACAATCAATGAAAATGGAAATCCACTAAAAAAAATCCTCCTTCCCGTGGGAAAAACCTGGGAATGATGTGTTATAATTCTAAGTATTTTAAATACCTTAGATGCACTGTCAGCATTGGCTGAGGCTAAGGCTGTACTTAGTTTAACAAGTGTTGAGAAATCCAGCGGGAAGTTGAGTAAAGCTGACTGGTACATGTTCCCTACACCTTGCTCTAATCCCTGTAAATATATATACATACATGTATAATTATACATTCTAAATACATATATACATTCAAAGGCATTAAACTATTTGACATGTGAGAAATATTGCTATCTAAATACATGTATAGCTTATACATTTGAAATATGCTTGTTATTTATTTGGCTTTTAAATGGATATTAAGTTATTAACATATGTTTTTGACATATTGCTGCAGTCAATCCACCTTACAAATTTTCCTGGATAACTAACCAGTAATTACCAAATTCTTCAAAAGTGTCCAGTGTCAAACTACTTTTCCCACATGGTTTTTTGAATCAGTGCTAACAGACAAATGACCGATAGGCTCATTATCTGAAATCAATTGTCCCAGAGAAATTATGCCCCACCCGTGTAAATAATATTCAATTAAATGAAACATCAAATTTGTTAATAAAGTCAACTTCAGCACTTTCCTTACATAAATTTTAAAAGTTGAGAAAGACCTATGAACATCTTGTAAAACTTAACACACATACTATCACCTGAATAGAACCACAGACTATCTAGAAACTTTCTCAATTGAAAGAGGTATAAGGCTAGAAATCTAAGAGGTAAGGCTAGGAATCAATAGGTAAGGCTAGGAATCAAAGTGGAAAGGCTAGGAATCAAACAGGTAAGGCTAGGAATCAAAGTGGAATCAAAGTGGAAAGGCTAGGAATCAAAGAGGTAAGGCTAGGAATCAAAGAAGTAAGGCTAGAAATCAAAGAGGTAAGGCTAGAAATCAAAGCGGTAAAGCTAGGAATAAAAGAGGTAAGACTAGAAATCAAAGAGGTAAGGCTAGATATCAAGGAGGTAAGGTTAGAAATCAAGGAGGGAAGGCTAGAAATCAAGGAGAGAAGGCTAAAAATTAAGGAGGTAAGGCTAGGAATCAATAGCCATAAACCTTATTCATTCAGCAGAAGCACTAAAATGTGAAAATCGCTAGTCTGTTCCAGGCATTTTGTATTGAGATGACTTACAGAAACAATATGAGGGCTCAAAAAACACACAAGTCAAGGTCAATACACCAATTTACTGTATAAGTGGATATTTTGGCTAATTAAATTTTTTAGTCATTTCGCTTGAGGAAATATAAGCAAATCATGCAAGGGGTTGAATCTAATAACAGGTTGTTTGATATTTACACTAGAGGGAGTTTTAACAAATTTCGTGAATTCACGAAATTTGCCAAAATTTACCCGTCCCTTACTTAACCACTTCTACAGTAATAGCAAGGCATATTTAAAAACCTTGTCATAAATGCTGCACTAGGAATATAAAGTAAAAGCTACCTTTTTCCAAACATTTCCAGCAATGAAATCTCTCCCCATCAATTTACAGGTGATATCATATAAATCCTGTAATCATAATAGGAATATTAAATAAAACACTGTATCATATCATTTTCTTTACTCTGATTTAACAATGAAGAAGAAAAGTACATTATACGAGGGTTGTTTAAAAAGTTATAGGACTAAGAGTCTTGTATATTCATATTTCTCTCAATTTAGAATATTTTCATATGTACAGCAATTGTAAAAAAAATTCTACAATTTAAGCATAAATTTATTAATTTATTGTGCTAAACACCAGTTTCCTGTAATATTGAATAAACATGGTTACATGCACCTGACGCAGCACATCAAAATATAGTTATGGAATCTAAGTTGTATTTCTATTATTTTTTTTTCATAATTTATTATATGTTTGTCCATATATTCCATCAACACGTTTGATTCTATTTTATTGACATTATGTCCAAATTTGACGTTATTTAGACATAAAATAGCTTAATTATTACGTTTTGAACAGTATACTATTGTTAGGTTTTCAAGTCAATTTAGCACTGCTATGGTAATATGGCAACTTTCCAGCTGTAATACTAGATAAAGATCTCAAACGCCCACAATTCGTTACTTCAGGCATGAGAGGGAACCTGTGTAGAACCACCTTCTATGAAACGGAAGATTTGGAATCCACTTGAGACATATACATTTTAATATTTAGCTATTCGGTATCATTGGCACTATATGGGCAGACAGATATTATTAAGCTGTTCAGGTGGACATTCAAGTCTTTTCATACCTTCTATCTTATTTCTGACTGCATGGCTGGCTTGAATGACTGAATCCATGGTCTCTGATGGGATTCAAACCCACAACAGTGATGGTCAAGTGATCTGAAATCAGCCACCTTTAACCTCTCAGCCAGACAAGCCCCTCAGTTAAAATATTATAAAACACTTAGTGTTAATACTATTTATAAAAGTCTATACCTGCATTTCCGAATTATTTCTGGTCAATGTTGATTCATCGAAGGCTGTCAGGGCGGCTAATAAAACTGTATAAATAACACAGTGGGAAAGTGAAGCTGTAATCTGCAAAAGAAATTTTTAAAAAAATGTTTAATCTTGAAAAACAAACTTTCATGCTTAACATTGATTAAATGATGAGTAACCCCTACAAAGCTGAAATGTAACAGAGTTGCTACTAAACTACTCAAACTTCCATAACCATGTTACAGTAAACAATAACCATGTTACAGTAAACAATCAACATGTTACAGTAAACAATCAACATGTAACAGTTAACAATCACCAAGATGAAATAAACAATCACCATGTTACAGTAAACAATCATCATGCTATAGTAAACAATCATAATGTTGCAGTAAACAATCACCATGTTACAGTTTACAATCATAATGTTGCAGTTAACAATCACCATGTTACTGTTAACAATCATAATGTTGCAGTAAACAATCACCATGCTACAGCTTACAATCATAATGTTGTAGTAAACAATCACCATGTTACAATTAACAATCACCATGCTACAATTTACAATCATAATGTTGCAGTAAACAATCACCATGCTACAGTTAACAATCATAATGTTGCAGTAAACAATCAATATGTTGCAGTAAACAATCATCATATTGATGAAAACAATCACAATGTTGAGAAAACAATCCTCTATGTTAAAATAAACAGTATTGCAGTAAACAATCAGTGTTGTGGTAAACAATCACAGTGTTGCAGTAAACAATCACAGTGTTGCAGTAAACAATCACAGTGAATAAACTTTTTTTGGTACTTTTTTAAGGCCTAGCAAAACAAGTAAGGCACTCACAGATTTTCCAGAGATTGGTTCCAAGTCCAGCATCTCGGATAGAAAATTGAACACATACAATTGTAAAGCCTGGTTCCCATACTTCCTTGTTATATTTGCGCCTTCACCTTCCAGGTACAGCTGTCTGATCACAGCCCAACTGAGCAGTAAAGGACTATGTGGCTGATCCGAGCCCAGTAATTGCATTGAATTTTCTACGGACTGGAATGTTGCTTTGTCCTTTAACAAACTGTGATCATCGAAACTGGAATAAACATATCAAAATGTATTACCAATAAAACTCAAAGATATTTTGTATTATTACCTGATACCTTATATAAATGTAATTTGGTATTTTTTACTGTTTTCTGAAATTCTAAAAACGTCAACGTTCGCGAACTGTTGACCGGTCAATAGTTTTGACTGTTTCCCTCTCCTACTCCGACGTCATTGACGTCATAGAGGATCCCCACTTGTTCAACGTCCATCGATCTTGATCATGAACCAGACGTGATGTGACATAGTTAAAGTATTAAGTTTAATTATGAACATATGTGCAAAACTATTTTCTTGTTCCTTTTTCTTCTGCAAGTACTGTTAAAACAGTAATTGATCAGGTAATAAAACAATTATTTCATATGTGATTTGGGAACAGTCAAACAGTTGTCCCTCGGTGTCGGGGATAGTGTTTTGAACTGTTGCCCTCGGCCTACGGCCTTGGGCAACAGTTCAAAACACTACCCCCTCCACCTCAGGCCAACATTTTGACTGTTCCCAAATAACATATGAAATAACTGTATACTAATGAATCATCTTTATCATGCATAGCTATCAGCTATATCAATTTGCCAATGATGGCATTATAAAGCCATACTAGACCGAACAGTTCACTCGCCCGGTTAGCTTAATTGTTGGAGCGTTGGGAGTATGAATCGGGTGTCTCTGGTGAAATTAACAGACAGGACATGTCATTTTCTTTGTGATTGACCTATGAAATCCTTTCTTTGGTCATTCACACTGTACCACTGCTATGGCATATACATATAAAATCGGCACTGGTATGTGATAAATATTAATGTTCGTAACTCACCATTTACTATAGCTCAGTCTCTCCACTGTCTCCATGTCCATGGCTTGAAGTAGTACCAGAACTTCTAATGACCTATTGCCACAGGGGAAAAAGAAGCAAAACTAATTACTTTATAAACCAACATAAATACTTTCATTTTTGAGCCGACTAAAGAAAACACTCAACAGTATAATGAGCGATAAAAAACGAACATGGAAATAGTTTCTCAAACATCTATAAAAAGCTTTAAATACAATAACAAAAGAGTTAAATACCCAATTTGTTACGAACAAGGAAATAGTTTCTAAAACATCTATAAAAAGCTTTAAATACAATAACGAAAGAGTCAAATACCCAATTTGTTTCGTTAATCTATCAAACGACTCGTCAAGAATGTGTTTGTACGACTGTCTTCTACCAAAACCTTGCCTCTGAAATAACAAGTTTAAACCTTACCACACTAAATATTTTAAATGGACTGATCCATCTTTCAATCTGGACGAAACCATTCATCATTTATAGGGAAAATTTCAAAATGAGTACTTAACGAATAGGGAACAGTGCAGACCATGATTAGAGAGTATTTTATGTATCAGCTGATCTTGGTCTGCACTGGTCACATGGGTTAATTCAGTCACTGCTAATAGGTCAAGGTTTAAATCTCAATATCATTCATAACAGGATTTATCACACAAACCATTTTAATTACTATACCAACAGATTCTTTTTTAAATTAATATTGTCAAATGATAGTGGGTGATACCTAACAAAATATTTTATTTCTTTATAAAATTGATATACAGTTAAATAATGTTGTTTCAATAATCAAATGAGATTGTTTATTGACACAGTTGTTACATAGAATTTGACTCTGTGATATAGAGATCCTGTAACACATTTTTTTCATGAAATATGATGCTTAAATTAAGATTTGTCAATATTTTAAGTTCAAATAAGCATTATTTATAAAGATATCACCGAATTTAACATTTCATGTAAATAAAGGGAGGTAATTAGAAATTTATTTTCTATAAATTCTAAGTCAAATTTTTCAATAAGAAATGAATGCATATAATTCATTGATGAAATATAATGTGCACAAATATTTGCTGTACACATTTTACACATTCTTCGATGTTTGAAAATTGTTTTATTTGAATTATTCTATAAATACATAATTTTTTTGCAAGTGTGGTATATACACCTAGTAACAATATAAATCACAAAACATACAGGATCTTTAACACACATGAATTTTATATGTAAACAGAATAAAATGTTTTACGAACAAAATATCATGCTGCTTTTTTTAAGCAGGATTTTAAAACCGTTTAGCAATGATTTTATGAATGCACCATTCACTTGTAGGAAACTATATACCAAAATACGTATTTCTTTCATGAATACAAATGTTTTGGAATAATTCTTTTTCAAAATTAAAATTTTTCATATGATCTCAAAACTATACCAACATATTTCAATAATTTATCTAGTCATACATAAAGCATTATTAAAGATGCTATCCTTCACATGGAGGTTTGAAAATAATGTCATAAAAAGTTAAAATTACACTACAGATATCCTGTATAAGTGGATATTTCCTTTAGTCGAAAAGTTAGTGAATTAAAAATTGCAGACATTCCGCATGAGGAATAATTGGCGAATTGCCAGTGTCAGAGTAGCGTGAAAATAGGTTGATTGATATTTACGCTAGAGGGAATTTTAGTGATTTTCAAAAATTGAAGAAATTCACCAATATTTCCCCATCAATAACTAAACCACTGAAGACAGTATACTTTTACATGAAGCTAGACACTAATATTTGCCTTGACCCAAAGATGCAAGCTTATGAATATATTGGCTTTTTTATCTCATACATGGAATTTTTCAACCATTGTGAAATTTTATTTCATGTATTAGATAGGAGCTGCTTTAATGCCCTTTAACTTAAGAAGATGTAAATCAAAGTTTCAAAACTGAAAATCAATTTTCTGCTACTTAATACTTAGAAATAAACTTACATATGTACTTGTGCATGTAAAATGATAATTAAAATTACTATTAAAAACAAGTGAAAAAGAAAAAATTACCTTAAATTTGTCTAATAATCTGTTGAAGTCTGGTGCATTGGCTTCAAATTCCTTCCAATACACTAGAAGTATCTTTAACAGTTCATTCTGGTTGGAAACAAGAAAGCAGTTAACAGTACAATTCAAATCTTTTACAATGTTTTCAAACTTGAATCAGTGAATTGTAATAATATATCAACCATCATAAGAAAAAATTCAGAAATATCTCAGACGCAATAAAGGGATCATAGATCCGCAAACGTATTACTTTGGTTTTGTTATGACGCGGCTCAAATTTAATTTCACACTATGAAGTATTAATTCAACATACTTGTTCTTTCATATTTTGATGTGCCCATACCAAAGCCTGTCTTTCATTCTGAAATCATAAAATAATCATGTAAATAACAAGAGTTGTCAGTTAGAAAGTTAGCTCGACTATTCTCAATGCCTCAATGTAAAACAAGACGTGGAAAACACTGAATTTTCTTAGTTCAAAAAGCGCCATAAATCAGTCAAAATTCATGTTAAGAGTTATAGGCCTCAAACAGAGACCCCTTATTATGCTCTCAAAATAGGTAAGTGAAATTTCAATCCATTCCCTAAATTAGTTTTGGCGATATTAACTGTCACAAAAAAACTTAACCAAAGTGTAACTCTGACGCCTGGCTGTGTACAAAAGCTCTTCCCTATTCTCAATATAGTACGTCAAAACTTTAGACTAAAATCAACATATCTTTCAAATAATGTTATTAAATTTCATCTCAATAACTCATTCATAGTATATAACTAGTTTACACTAAAAATGACTCGAAAAGTTTTAAACCAATTAAAACAAACCCCCAGCCCCTGGTAACCATGGTCATTTATGTGCCGAACTATGATCTATGCTTTGTAGCAAAAAATCATAATATATACATCATAGCTATGTTGGAACATATTTCATCTTACAGAACTACAATTTAGCAAAATTACAAAACATTTTTTCATCACAATAATTTATATAGGTTGAAAAACAGATAAAATACTTGTTAACATATGAGACTAATAATCTAAGCATTGCTAACTACATGGGATAAAACCTCTACAGGGACAAGCTGTTGTTTCCTTAAGCAAGATACTTTACACTCATTGCTCATTACTGGTTGGTTCCAGGTATCGATTTGAAAGTCCTTCTATGAGCTTATGAATTTGTAGCTTCCTACACAATCAAAAACTAAAATGATTTCTGTATTTATATATAAACAATCTTCATTCTGGTAAAGAATGCCTACCATTAGAGTTCCGTGTGTTTCCCAAGTAGGCAGTGGCTCATCACACAATAGGTCAACCTGTTCTAACAGCTTCTTTATCAGCTCATTGTCCTTCAACAAAATGTTCACAAAAACAGTGTACTCCTCCTGTAGACATAAAAGAATTTAATGCCTCATAAATAATCAATATTACCAGTTGCAAAAATAATGGAAAATAATAAAAACTCCAAAAGCAGGATTAATGAAATACTAAAAGGTTCTCGAAGAGCTTTGCTACATGAAATTTGAAGAAAATCTATTTATGACTGTTAAGGTACAAAAATTCAACGTTTTTTTTTCTTCTTCTTTTTTTGGTTGGGTTTTACGTCGCACCAACACAGTATAGGTCATATAGCAACTTTCCAGCTTTAGTGGTTCAGGAAGACCTAAGGTGCCACTTCTAGCATCAGTGCTTTTTTAAGGCCAATTAAGGGCTGAAATTCTGTCCGATTCAAATCCCCTAAAAGAATATATTTTAGAAAAAAATTCTCCTACAAAAGTTTAAAATAATAGTTAGAGAGAGGAAGGCGATCAAGTTTAAAAAACAAGAGCTGTCGGTAGGACAGCAACGCTCGACTATTCTTAGTGCTTGATAGTAAAAAAAATGCTTGATACAGTTACCTCCTCCTGTTTACAGGTTGGGGTCATGATGGTGAACAAGTGTGCAAAGTTTCAAAGCCATATGTCAATGGACTTTGAAAATATTTGAACTATTACAAAAACTTTAACGTAAATTCTAAGTCGAAAAAGGGGCTTAATTCTGTCAAAATGCTTGATAGAGTTACCTCCTACTGTTTACAGATTGGGGTCATGATGTTGAACAAGTGTGCAAAGTTTCAAAGCCATATGTCAATGGACTTTGAAAATATTTGAACTATTACAAAAACTTTAACGTAAATTCTAAGTCGAAAAAGGGGCATAATTCTGTCAAAATGCTTGATAGAGTTACCTCCTCCTGTCTACAGGTTGGGGTCATGATGGTGAACAAGTGTGCAAAGTTTCAAAGCCATATGTCAATGGACTTTGAAAATATTTGAACTATTACAAAAACTTTAACGTAAATTCTAAGTCGAAAAAGGGCATAATTCTGTCAAAATGCTTGATAGAGTTACCTCCTCCTGTCTACAGGTTGGGGTCATGATGGTGAACAAGTGTGCAAAGTTTCAAAGCCATATGTCAATGGACTTTGAAATATTTGAACTATTACAAAAACTTTAACGTAAATTCTAAGTCGAAAAAGGGGCATAATTCTGTCAAAATGCTTGATAGAGTTACCTTCTCCTGTCTACAGGTTGGGGTCATGATGGTGAACAAGTGTGCAAAGTTTCAAAGCCATATGTCAATGGACTTTGAAAATATTTGAACTATTACAAAAACTTTAACATAAGTGGTTACGCCGACGCCGACGCTCGGGTGACTGCAATAGCTCTACTTATTCTTATCGAATAGTCGAGCTAAAAATGGCATTGTATCACAATTTTACATAATGAGGACTATTTTATAGTTTCTGAATTTCCCTGTATCTGTGATGCAATTTCCCCCTCTACATATGCCCTGCAAACATTCTCCTAAAAGTGACAAAAAGCACTGTGCACGAGCGAGCAGCACAAGTGTCAAACCACAGATGTTCTGTAAGCTAGCTGGATTTTGTCAATTCAACAAGCTCGGGTCACGCCAAATTACAGCTTGATGCCATTTTTCCATTATGACACCTGCACTAGTTTTTAATCAGGGAGAAAACGTGTGCCTGAGATATTATCATGAGCATGTCAAGAGAAATTCTTTATAAAACAAACATACCCTGTATGGGTGGTTTTCCGACTCCGACCAGAATGTAAGAATATGTAGGATACACTGCAGTAAGTATAACCGTTCACTGTGGTAAAAGTCACGTATCTTTACCATAAACGCATGACTATGTCTTTCAGTACTTAGACACAGCTGAAATATACAACAGTACAAGTGAAATATACAACAATACAAGTAGAATATACAACAATACAAGAAGAATATACAACAATACAAGTGAAATATACAACAATACAAAACAATACAAGTGAAATATACAACAATAGAAGTAGAATATACAACAATAGAAGTTAAATATACAACAATACAAGTAAAATATACAACAATACAAGTAGAATATACAACTCATTTTGTCATAATTTGATAAATATTGCTTGTTAGGGATTTAATTCCACAAAGCAAAAATTGAAAAATAACTCCTTTAAAGTGATAGAGGAAAATTTGCCACCTTTTTCATATAATTAAGCAAACAAAATTGTTCAAGTCACTGATTTTCAATCATAATGGCTTCATAATTGACTTCTCTCACTCTCCAGTTACATCTCTCTTTCCCAATTTTTGTGAACAGGTGTGTACAGCTGTGGGTAATGAGATTTTTCATCTATACAGCTATAGAAAAACATCAGATTTACCTGACATATCATCATTATAGAATGATTGAAAGAAGCAACTTTTTACCATTATCATTTAATCATCATTATATTGTTACAATATCATTATATTATCATTACATCATCATTATATCATTACACTATCATTATATTATCATAACATCGTCATTACATTATAATTACATCATAATTATATTGTTACACTATCATTATATTATCATTACATTATCATTATACCATTACTATACCATTATATTATCATTACAACATCATTATATCATAACTATACCATTATATTATCATTACATTATCATTATACCATTACTATACCATTATATTATCATTATACCATTACTATACCATTATATTATCATTACAACATCATTATATCATATCTATACCATTATATTATCATTACAACATCATTATATCATAACTATACCATTATATTATCATTACATTATCATTATATCATTACTATATCATTATATTATCATTACAACATCATTATACCATTACTATACCATTATATTATCATTACAACATCATTATATCATATCTATACCATTATATTATCATTACAACATCATTATATCATAAATATACCATTATATTATCATTACATCATCATTACATTATCATTATACTCAGTATTATATATATAAGACAAATATTGGTGGAACAATATATCACCTGCAAATTTTTTTCAGAGCCTCTAAAATCCTGGGAAAGGTAAGAAAAGAACACCTCATAGCTCTGGTCTTCTTCTAAGTTCTAAAACAAAATATATGTATATACAAAATCGTCAAAATGCATAGAGATGACACTTAAAATTTTGGTATATAGTACAGACAAACCTGATTTTGTTCAACAGTCAATTTCAGAGTCACAGTGACACTGTCATATTACATCAATTAACTTATAGTACAGTACTACTTGTGCATAGCAACACCCTTGACATGACAAAGGTTGGTTTATACAGATTTTATTTTAGTTTAGTTTGATTGTGTAGAAAGCTATTAGCTTATAAACACACTTTCAAATCTGTTCCTGGAACCAACCAGTACTGAGCAATGAGTGTAAAGTTTCTTGCTCAAGGAAACAACGACTGGCCCCTTGTCAGGTTTGAACCCAGGCAGCTTGCGATAATTAGATTACTAGTCCGAAGCATTAACCCCTCGGCAATGTTGCCACCATGACAAAGATTGTAGTTGTTCCTATGAGGTGTTGCTATACTGAGACTGCTTTTTTTATCAAATATAAATGTATGTACAGCATGTTTGAACAAACTTTAAAAACAACCTTCTTACCAGGCTTAACAAATTCAAATTTTCATCTTGTTTTCCCAAAACTGATACATCATTACATGTAATTGAAATCCATACAAAACATTGGAGCATTTTTAGAATTTGTCCGCAGCAAAATTCATGTTTTAAAATCCTAACCCTAACCCATAACACTAACCCTTACCTTAACCTAGCAGTAATCTGAGTGATTTTGTAGAAAAACATAAATATCGAAGAAATAATATTGGGAAAAAATCATAATGTTAAAAACAGCTGCGGACAGTCTAGCCAAAAGGTTCAGAAGGCTTAGGGTACAACTAAGACATTATCACATAAGCAATTCAGATTTAATGCACAGTGTACATATATCTTATTATTATTATTATATTGTCAAATTTTTAATCCAAAAAGTAGTTCTATAAAAAATATCTTACCAAGAATGTTGTTAACTTGAGAACAAAGTCTTTCTGTTGTTTTTGTAGATTTTTGTCTTTCAGCAAATCCCCTTGAGGTGCCCTTAAACAGAAGTATATACAATGTATATGTCATTACATGGGACGATCCGGAAATAACCAGACTTTGTTTATAATTCTAATAAATATTGCCACATGTCTTCGTTTATATCTGTGCCAAGTTTGATGTTAAATTTATTTCATCATAAAATATAATTCATTTCTTTTGTTCAGTACCATTTCACAACACCTTTTATAACCATGGTTTCAGTACTCATGGACTCTCAGTGGCAAGGTTCATGGAATAATTGTTTGTTTGTTTGGATTTTTACCACATGTCAACATATAACTGGCCATATCGTGCTGTTTATGGAATAAAGCATACATTTAATTTTATACAGGGCACTTATAACCTAATAGCGGGCAAGGACTCCGAGGTACAGGAAATGTTGCTCCTTTTTGAAGAACATATTAATAATTACATATTCAATTTTGCAAAATCATCAAAAGAAAATTGTCTGGATAATTTCCTCAGATAACAAAAATCGGGATTCAAACCTACTTGTCATAACTATAAGATATATCAGTACCTGGGCTTTTTATAAAACAACAGGCCATTTAAAATTTTCTCTGTATTTCTTGTCATTTCTCTCTTTATCAGCTCCTGAAATGAAAATATTACAAAAAAATTTTAAGAGACTGCATGAATGCATAGATTTATAAGGAGAGGGTACAGTTTAATAACCTCAGACCCCACAATATGATTTACAAATCATTATAGATAGATAACAATAGGTTTATAGCAAACTAGCGGGGACGGGCAACAGTGGTGCATGACACAGAAACAGGGGTTATACAGTAGACTGACTATCAGGGCGCTGTAAAATGAGCGAGTTAACAGACCATCAATCTTAAACCAAAACTACAATTTTTCATGATTATTAGATTACAATTCAACTGAAAGAATTATATATAGACCATCACAAAAACATTTAAATTAAGTACAACTAGAATTATGTCCATAAGACACTGATGCCCCACACTTCCAGTGTTTTGTCAGTCTCAGTCCAAGGGTAAACAAAGGGACAGCACCACCGACAGACAAGAGCAAAAAGATATATGCCCAGTCTTTCCGAAAGACCGTCGGCCCTGACCGGTAAAAAATCAGAAGGTCCGATAAAAATATATGTATTGACGGCCCAACGGTCCTGTAAAAAATTAAGGTTTTATAAAAACCTTACATTTAACATTTTGCAAAGGCCGATCATTTACCTAAATTCAAAACATATCAAAATGTTGTCATTACACAATATAAGCTCGTGCAGTGCTTGTCAACTGTTATGCATTCTCATAATGCAAACTTTTATATAACTACGTAAGATAAAAATATCCGACAACTAGTACAATTAAAAGTCAATAAGCGGCCGCGTAAAATTACATAAGCGGCCCAGATGTGAAAGGTCACCCGCTATTAGTTTGTTTACACAGATGAAAGTGTCAGTGTATTAATTGGAACAATTTACGTCTTTAATCCACAGACTTAGAGTAATGCTTAATTACACACGTGTAGTGTGCTCAACTGGTGTTTAGCTATGAAAGATCGTCCAAGATGTTGACAAAAATTAAACTATATACTGTGAAGGTACCAAAATCATTGAACAATTAATCTGTCAACTTCACTAAATTACCGATATATATAATTCTGTTTACATATGCCAGACTTTTGCTGAAATTTACCCTCTCATTTTGCTAGTATATAGTCTGTATGGAATTAAAGTTTAAATAGCAAAATCCATTGAATACATGTATAACAATATTTATGTTTACATTTTGATTGTGGTGAAAAAAGATAACAATATAATTTTCTTTTTGTACACAAATTTTTTGACTGCTGACACTTATCAAGTGACTCAAAATGCTATACCAATCAGTTTTTTTTCAGTCCAGTAAAATCATATTTGGTCCAATAAAAATTTTCAGTTTACAGGACCTACTGTCCAGTAAAACTCAGAAGTCTTTCGCATAGACTGTATGCCCCTCATGCTAAGAGGAGGGGGGGGGGGGAGGGGCATAAAAAGTATCAATACCCAATACCTGTAGCAAATACTTATCTCAGCTGCTCTGCTTCAGCTGCTCTGCTTGATATTGACAGTGATTATGTCTTCTTTCTCTGGTAAGTGCTTATAATTATATCTGAGGGAATTTTATTAATTAATTTATTTATTTTTTATATTTTTGTGGGGGTATTCGGGGCATAACACCCCTTAAAATAGCATGTTTTTATCCCATATAATTTATAATGTGGCCTGATTAGCAAAACATGAGGCTTTAAAGGAACAAAGGACATTAAGGCTCGGAAGGGAGAAAACTACTGTAAAAAGATAACAAACTTCATCTACAACTAAGAAATAAAACAATGATTTCTCAAGAAATTAATTTCAAGTCATTACCCTTGGCCTGAGGATGCCTGTCCCACTGATAAACTGCCATAAATGGCGGTTGCCAAAACTGAAATTTAAAAAAAATCAACAGGCATAATAACATATAGATAAAGGCATAAATTATTTCTTGCATTAATTTTACTTAAAGTTTAATATGAAATTAGGCAATGCCTATGAACGGGGAAGTCGTTAAAAATTCCTTTCATTCTTTCCGTTTTAAAGGTGTCATTCGGTATTACATTCACCGCTTCCGTTTTCACTCGGAACACTCGACGATTATAATTTATCCGAAAAGTTGAGATTTGTTCCGTTATCGGAATACCCCGCCTATTATCATTGAGTTACATTGTAAATGGCGGTGCCCAACTAGAACTGACACTGAAAATTTCATTGATAGGTATAGAATTCTATATATTTTTTAATTGTTTTTTATTTGATTTTCTTTTAAATATACACGTGTAGTCTATAGCCGGGCAAGCCAAAGCCCGGCTATAGACTTCGCAGGCCCCGTCTTTGACTTCCCCGTATGAATGTATGATATTTGGACAATATTTGGGTATCTTTCGGCAGTATTTGCATTCAATCGTTCACCCTCAGATATGCTATCCGAAAATACGACTATCCGAAAGGCTATTAAAATTCAAAAAGAACATTAAAACATTTGGTGTCAATGAACATTATGTAGCAAGTTCCATCCATCAGTAATAATATTTTTATCAATATACAACGAAAAGGTGATGATTAAGGTAGAATTTTACAACAAATACCTGTCTATTTTTCTTGCATTTGAGTCCGCCATGCCGACAGAGATGTCAAATGCTATCCGAATGTAATAGTAAAGAATGGTTCCCTTACTATTTTTAGTGGTCTGCTTCCCGAGAAAAAGTTCGTAAAGTTCGTTATTTGAAAAAAAAAATGTTGAATGACTCCTAAGTTCTTTTTTTAAATTAGTTTACCGTCGACAAGGTCCTAATGAAACACAAGACATGTCCGCGGGCAGAATGTCGAGTCCGTTCGTCTTAATTCAAACCTGAACATTTAAGCTTCAGATCAAGGCATACAGTGCCTAGATACCTTGCCTTTTCAACTTTGTTTTTGTCGAGAACTGTACAACCTACGGAAGTATCGATGGCTCTCATTTAAATGTGAAAGAGCCAACGTGTGCGTAATAGGTCTTTAATAAGATTGTCTTTTTTAGGATTTAAACAACATTTATAAATGTGATATTAAATGGACGTGAAATTATATAATCGAACCATCGTTTAATGACATAATCCGTGGAGCTTTCGGGGGCTCCTCCGCCTGAACCCCCGCAAGCGCTCTGCCCTGGACCTGCACGGGGGCCTACGCGGCCCCCTTGATCTCCTGCGTATACATTTGTGCGTACATTTAAAATTGCCTTAGTTAAGCCCCTGGGATTATGCATGTGAGATGTGCGCAACAACGCATCTGTTCGTCTTAACCTATAAGCTTCATATGAAGGAGAAAAATGTATACATGTATAGGTGAGATGTGCACAACATATCCTCTTTATACCCAACATAACATCATTAAGGTGACATTGACCTTTGACCCGGTGACCTGGTTCATGTGCATCACACAAAGTCTCATGATGAGCATTTGTGTTTAAAAAAAAACTCAATTCATGTTATTTGAAAAAACTCAATTCATGTTATTTGAAAATTTATGGGATGGACAAGTTTGAACGGACGCACGCACACCCGATGTTCATTTTACTCAAAACGACTCAAGTCCCCTTGAAAAACATTTGTTCTAAGTTATATTAAAATCCGTCCATGTAAGTTATTCTCGCACATGAATGTATTTTTTAACTCATATATAGTGTGGCCTTGACCTTTGCCATGGACACCTGAATTTCTGGCACAACACTCTGCCTCACTATGGAGAATGTTTGTCGTGAGTTATATTAAAATATTTCCATGCATGTAGAAGATACGCTTCGGAAACGGGTTTTGCGCTGACCTCGAAGTGTGACCTTGATCTTTGAGCGGCAGACCTGGTTTTTTTTTGTGCGACACACCAACCCCATCATGGTGAACATTTGAACCAAATTATTTTGTAACCCTCCAAACAATGAGCATCATATTGACCGGACAAATCCTGCCAATCGCACGCACGGACTCACATACATCGAACTATACCCCAAAAGTGGCGACTAAGTCGAGTTCACCGCAGGTAGGCTCAACAATAAAAAGGACTTGTAATTGCGATTTACACATTGAGCTTAAAAAAACTTCTGAAATTATTTAAATCTTTAACTACACACACAGTGGGGGGGGGGGAGTCGAACCGCATATGGATCTCAAAATTGAGAATATGTGAATTTCCGCTGCTCTATGCAGGAGAAAACAGGTCAATCACAGGGTATTTTTTCAACGTTTTAAACATTTATATAAAATTCAATTTTTATAACAGAAATTCGAAATGTGATTCTACCTCTTAGCTTTCTTCTATATTTACCCATTTTTTGTACCGTTTTTTATGTAGTCTTCATCGAGATATTCTTTCCGTCGTGGGTTCATGTGTGCCCAAAATATGGTATGTGTATAAATGAGGATACAGTATAGGAGGAGCTTACAAGCCATCTTGGCTTAAATGCTCAGGAGAAGAAGAAGATAAAAATAATGATAAAAAAGGTCGTTAAACATACACCAAATGCAGAGTTTTTACAAAATGTTACGACCAAACGATGCTCAACATTCAAACAAATCCCTTACTGCAACATTTATTGAGATTGGGTTTAAAATAAAGAAATTTCTGGTCAAAATTCCAGTCGAGCTTCATATGTGCTGAGGAGATCCATAGGTGATATAGAACATCTACAAAACTACGGATCACTTTCATTATATGTAATTGAAGAGCCAATCAAAAGGAACAATTAAAGTTCAGTAGCTTTGGCTGAAAGTACATACATTTTGTTTTGTAAGTACATAAATTATGTACTTATGTGCTAATGATACCCATAGGTGCATGATATAGCAATCATCAACAAAATAACGGATCATTTCCATAAAACAATAAATGCTTTATTATTTTGTGTATCATTCTGTAATAAAAACTAATTAATATTCGATATAGACACATTGTCCCAAGTCGAGCTTGTATAAAATCATAAAAGACATTTACTAAAAGCATTAATTACAGCTATGTTTGGAAGTCAGTGAATATCCAAACGTACACGTGCGGGACTTCTATATTGTCACTTATGCCGATAACGATTTAATTGAGGGTTGAAGAGGTAAAAACGCCATTGTCAGTTGTCACTTGTTTCATTAAAATTATTTCAAATTATTCTACCCCTTACTTCAATACACATGCAATTAGTATTTGGCATACATCATTGTCGCCATAAAGTACTTTAATTTCATAAAATGTTATGTGAATACCACTTAAAAAATTCGAGTTAAAACGGAAACAGAATATCGACTAGTATACTGGTAACTCAGCACCCCCATTTCACTATATATAAATTACTACAAATAAAAGTATATCTTATCGGTGTGGATTATATAATCACGAATGATTATGTTACAATAACAGTTTGCTGTCAAAATTATGAATAGATCTAAGGTCATGTATCTTCATTTACCATTGTCATACAAATATTTAATTGATTTTGCGTTGTTTACTTGACAAGAGAATAGAATATTTATTTTCAGGACAGTTTTAATGAAAGAAGTTTACTTGCAATTCACTGCACAGAAAATACTTGTGCATTCGGTGAAAATCTGTGAAAATCCGTTATTCTGTGACAATTGACTTCATGTAGATTATGTAAGAGGAGTGATTTAAGAGATATACAGACCTTTATACTGACTGTAGTGTTCATTGCGTGACTTTTAAGATACACTCTGTCATGTTCGCGCTGTTAGTTATTTCAATGTGTGAGTAGCGAGATCTGTTAGTCATTATTAGTGTTTTGTGTGCGACAGGTCAATGTGTGAGTACTGTCATGTTTATGTCCTGTGTATGGCAAGTCACTGTGTGAGAAACGTCTTGTGTGTGTTAGGTCAGTATATGAGTAGTGTTATGTGTGCGTCAGGTCAGTTGTGCGTGTAGTGTGACTAATGTTCTGTTTGTCCGGTTTGTGTCAGGTCAGTCTGTGAGTTGTGTCCTGTTTGTGTCCGGTCAATTTTGTGAGTAGTGTCCTCTGTGTGTCAGGTTAGTGTGTGAGTAGTGTCCTGTCTGTGTTGTGTGAGTAGTGTTCTCTGTGAGTCAAGTCAATGTGTGAGTAGTGTCCTGTCTGTGTCAAGTTAGTGTGAGAAGCGACCTGTGTGTGTCAAGTTAGTGTGTGAGTAGTGTCCTGTCTGTGTCAAGATAGTGTGTCAGTAGTGTTCTGTCTGTGTCAAGTCAGTGTGTGCGTAGTGTTCTGTCTGTGTCAAGTCAGTGTGTGCGTAGTGTCCTGTCTGTGTCAAGTTAGTGTGTGAGTAGTGTTCTGTCTGTGTCAAGTTAGTGTGTGAGTAGTGTTCTGTCTATGTCAAGTTAGTGAGTGAGTAATGTTCTGTTTGTCACGCTCGCCATTACAAGAGTTATTTGTATTAATTTCTCTTAAGAAAGATTGTTAGTTATTTTAGTGGAGTAGCGGGGGATCGAAGTCGCAACCCCTAGACTTGTAGTCAGACAGTGTTACCACTGCACCACAGCGCCCGCTCTGATTTAAACTATTTTGGAAATCCCTATATACATTATCACATAAGTGGCCAACAATTGAATTTTCACACCTCAATAGTTAATATAGTGGTAAGGTCTAAAGTGTTTTACAATGGCTGATATTCGTATTCTTGTTAGAGGGATTATGATAAAGAACTTTACACAAACGAATAGTAACAAAAAATAAGTAAGACTGTTGACAAGCAATAAAACACATACCGGAAAAAGCCTTGTTCCGTTAAATAGAACTAAAGTTCGAAAATTACAATAAGTAAGCTGAAACCAATACTTGTTGTTCATGATACATGAAGGTTTGAGACAAGTCTTTGTAATAATATAGTTTCACTGGTTAAATATAGTTCTGTTGGCGGAAATTAGGTGAAAAAAAGTTAAAGCAGCATACCTCCAGACTCATGCTAATTTTCATCAACATTTTTCAAATGATCTGTAAATTAAAGGTAAATTATTTTCAAGTGAAAAAAGAGAGTAATTTACATATTGCAAACAACACTTTCGATCCACGTAATTTACCAAATTAACATCAAAATGTGCAAAATCAGCCCTAAATGCGTGAGTCACGAAAAATAGTTTTATTTTTCATTACAATCTTAGTAAATTCTATCTTAAGTTGATTTTCTTGAATACTTTTTTCATGAAGATGAAAGTAAATCCGGTTCTGGCATTGTCTCTGGAGCCACCATCAACTGCCTTATACCGCCATAAAGAAGAAGCTCTAAACTTACGAACAAGCCATTGTTCAGAGATGTCAGTGCATCGAGTCGCGGTGAATGAGCTGCAAAACATAGGGGATGCGCTGAGTGTACAAGTTTCACGGTGGTGAATATACGTAAATTTATGCGTTTTCTTTGATCTATACGATTTGTCACCGGTTTCTTTACATACATGTACACAGTGATTGTTTTAGAAAAGTTGTCATAGGTCATAAACATTTATATTTTTACATAAATCAGCATTGATTTTTTTTATTTTTACCATTTTCACGGATCATTTCATATACTTGTACATAATTTTTTTTACCTAGTCAAACATGCACAATCGCACGTTATGCATAAAAAATGCGTACTGAATGTAAAATCATGATTCTTCGATCTGTAAATATTCAGTGATGAGTGAAAAACCTATTACTTCATTTAGATGACATTTGTACGGTGGC